TTGGGTGTCTTTCTCCTCAAGGCATGCTCACCAACGCTTTTTGAACCGGAGATCTGGGCGGCGGCATCGGGAACTCCGAGGCGTTGAACAGGATGGTATTGTAATCGAGTTCGAGGTACCGACTGATAGGACGAGGTTTGGTTGGCATCGGTGCGATTGAGCGTTGCGGGGAAAGAGGTCGTGATATTAAAGTCGTGGGGGACATCAGCGGCGTCGGGACCGTGATAATGATTAAGGTGATGATGTGGTTGAACAGGCGGAAACGGTGCTACCGAAGGCAACATCTTGAATGTAGAGTGACCGGGGCACTCTTCTCTTCCCTCACTCACCGGATTCAACAGGTATTATGCAATGAGGACGAATGATGACGGGGAGATTATAAAGGTCAAAACGAAAAGCAAAGCCGACCGAGAGTCAAGAGTGAGGAGTTTCGTCGATCAAATATCGATAGCGGTCAAAGATTCAAGACACGCACGTTCAGTCTTGCTGGATTTTCAACAAGCATCCTCCTTGAAACGTTTCCTACACTTCATCCTGGACTTGAGCCGGCTCACTTAACGCGACACTTCAGCGAAGCGCCCCACGGCTTGTCTCTGGGTTCGACATGAACGCAGATTGTATCGACGATAGGCTAAACGAAGGAGGACTTGAAGACGGCGAGGAGACGTAGGTGGTGGCAGCAAGAACGAGGAAGGTCAGTCGGCTCGGGGATACCATCCAAAAAGCACCCGGATTCCTGAAGAATTAAAAAAAAAAAAAGGAAAGTCAAAAAGAAAAAAGAAAGCACGCAGGCGAGTAGCTTCGGCGGCACTATTTGCTGTTTGAGTCCGTTGAGAGGTGAAGAAGCGATGCAAGGGAGGAAAGGGATCGAAAGTCGCAGCCCTAGTCAGCTTTCAGAGAGCACCCACACTGACGCAGGTGTCCGCAAGACGCGATCAATCACCAGAAGATACCACGCTTGGCAGAAATGTTGTACTCGGCGCGAAGGGAAGGGGGTGGGGGGGGGGGGGGAGGGCAGAAAAATAAAAAGAAAAAGAAAATAAAAAATAAAAAATAAAAAAAAGGTTATGAGAGACAGAGGGAAATAATAACTGGGTACTAATAATAACAAAGACAAGACACAATCCGAATCAGGGAAGCGATAGTGTAGCAGAGGAGTTGAACATGGCACCACTAGTAGATCGGTTTAAGATTATCCTTTGTTCCTTCGGATTTTGATTTTCGCCCTCTCAAGAATCGAGATTGAGTGATCGATGCGCCGTTGAATGGTTGAACCGAGAGGAGCAGGAATATTGGCTAGAAGAGAGGATTGAAGAAGAAGAAGAAAGAAAAAAAAATTATTAAAAGAAAAAGGATGCCTAAGGAGCAAGGCAGGAAGGAGCGGACGCAGGGCGTTTGAGGCGGAGAAGATCCAACGGCCGGCGGAGAGTTACAGACAATACAAATGAAGAGGGAGGGGAAAGGACAAGAGAGGATCACCAATGACGATGAATAGCGCAGGACAAACCGACGAGTCCGGGGTAGGAAAAGGAAAATTGAGCCAGTCAAGAGTGGCCTTGAATACGCGCTGGGGGAGTTCTGTATACTCAGAAGTAGGAAAATTGAAATATTAGAAAACAGGACGAGTGAGAGCGATGGAGCATCGTCATTCAATTCAAACAGAGGGAAGGGAAGCGGGATGGGGCTATCATGACAGAGCGGAGCTTCACAAACGAAATCAGTGGGCTGGAAGCCTAGAGCTTCCCCGTCGGAGGAGGGGGGGTTCTTTTTTGGGTGGAAGAGTGGAAGAGAGGAGGAGGAGGGGGGCAGAGAAAGCGAATTGGTGTGGATGGGGCAGCGGGAGTGGAGCCAATGGCGGCCGGATGGTCAAAAGGTGGGTGGGGGGAAAGAACCCACTTCTTACTGCGTTGGGCTTGGGCGCCTAGACAGATTATGTGGCTTGTGAGCTGCCTCTGGGCTGATGAGACTTGGTTGAAGAGACGGGTGTGGTGTTTACAAAGTGCAGGTACAGACTGTGTACTGTAGACTATGGTGTAGCAGCACATACTCCTAGGTATCAAAAAAAAAGGTCGGAAAAATAAAAAGAAAGAGAGAAGGAAAAAAAAAAAAAAAGAAAAATCGAAAAATGAGAACCCGCCCAGACCCCCTCCCAAAATAAAATTAAAATTAAAAAAAAATACGAAAATCCATCACATCCTGGTCCCACCCATACGATCCAACGGCGAGGATGGACCAGAAACTAACCACTTGGGCGCAGTAGCAAATTCGGATTCAGGCCTGTTTAACGTCAGTGGGACCGCCTTTCCAGACCCCCCGGGCCCCAGTGGCGCCCGCAGTTGATCAAGCCTTGGGCCTTGAGAGGGTTTGTTTGGAGCGCGCGGATGGCCGATCTGGCACCTTCGGTGGATTGCGGTGGAGTCGCTGGCTGCAAGTTGGTCTTTGGCATGTTTTGTCTTGGGGGAAAAGTCTGGAAGATAAAATTGAAAATTCCTATTCAGATTTAGGGAGGGGGTCGTCTGTTTGTTCTCTTTTAATTCTACGTGATCGTAAATTTTTTCTGGACCTGGTCTGTTTGATATTGGGGCGCAAATTATACCTACCGGTGCCGATAATGGAGTAGACGCGTTGACCGGTGGATGATAGCAATCCATTAATCCTATATTACATGATATTATTGCATACAATAATATCATATATGAGGTGCGCATATTTCCATAGATGCGAGCATGGAAAAACACAGCCAAGAGACACAAATTAAACTCCGGGGAAATTAATCCAAGACGGTCGATCCGGATGCGAAAGGATAATGACGGAAGAGCGAGAGAGGCTCAGACACTTGGCCACAACAGTCAGCGCGTTTACTTCTGCAGCCTCGATGCAGCCAGAGGCTGAAAAAGCAATGCACATGCCAGCAAGAAATCAGGCGAGGATATCAACGGATCGAAACTCTCCCTCTCAGGGGGTGGGCTTGCTCCGTCAACTATGCAGGAGACACCCATGGCTTTGATAGCGATCTTTGATAATGCAACGACAGGGGCATCTGGCGGCCTCCCTAGACCTACAGTACACCGAGTAGAATCCCAAACAAATCAATCATGTTCAGACGCAATTAACTAAAAACAAACCCGAAGAATCACAATCGGAACCGATGCTGAACTAACTAGTCGGTCCAGCTCAAAATCCATACCGGGAGTGGAGTTGAGTCCTAAACTTTTCCATCAGCCAGTTTTTCATCGCTGTCCATTCAGGCCGGCGCAATTCAGCCATCGCCCCCATCCAGCGCCTTCCTGCTGGTCAGACCGCATTTCATTATTTCTGATAATAATAATAGTAATAATCATAAACATAATATTTCAAATAAATTATTACTGATATGGTGTCGTCTTTGTTCTCTCGCCTGCCCAGACCCAGGGTCTACGAGAGCGGGAATACGGGGCCGCTGGCACCGATCAGCCATGTCACGACTCACGACTCACGACTCACTCCCTCACGAGCGGTCTGACGATGGTCGATCGGCAAAGTCTGCCAGTTCGTATGATGATTGTTTAAAAATACTCTTATCCCCTGCCGACAACGGAATACTCCGTCGCCAGATGGAATTTCTGCACTGGTTCCACGTTCCAGGAGCAGGTGAGAAAGCCGAGGAATGACAGAATGGCAGGGCAAGGTCAGAAAAGAATGGTAAGATCGTCGAGGATCTGACTCATCGCTCTCACTTCCTTGCCTGCTGCGTCAGACATGCGGGTTTATCATCTTATGTATGTACGACCGGGCGTCGCTTTGTTCGTGCTGATAGCCTGATACCCACTCCTGGAGAGACGACGGTATCCTGCCAACGCGAGTGTACAGCGTAGATAGTCGAGGGGATGAAGTGTACTTACACACAGACCGACCGACATTGTTAATGTTGACATGGAAGTGACGGTCTCCATTAATGCTGCATTTGCCCCAAGACGCACATGTATCCCAGCGCGTATCAGGAACCCGACCGCAATGATCATCCCAGTCTGTGTGGGGAGCATGGAATCTTCGGTGTGTCCCTCCCGCCGCTTTCGCGACCAGATAATAATAGTAGTGGGAAAATTTACAGTGCCACCATCCTTTGCCTTGTATCACAGGGATTACCCCTGGGACTCATGATGTTATATTCCGGCAGAGACAAGAGGGGCAAATGCAGCGGGGAAAAAAAAAAAAAAAAAAAAAAAAAATATTTAAAGAAAAGCAAAAAAGAGCAGAGGCGGTAACTACAAGGAGGCTAGGCAGGCCGTTCGGGATTTAAAGAAGCCATGTTTCAGATCATATCTCAGCATCCAGGAACAATATCTCCCAGACATTACGAGATATCGGTCCGAGATCGCTTGGAATACGGAGAACAAGTATATTGCAAGTACTCCGAAATCTTAGGCAGATATCCAACGAGAACTCAGAAAGCAGCTTGTCGATTTTACCGAATATTGAACATTCCACACAAATAATCATCTTCATTGAATTTTACGAACGTGTCAAAAACACGCAAGACTAAACTATTACGAAATCCTCGAGACATAAGCCAAAGGGGGTGTTTGTGATGTTGACCGGATAAATGGACCACTGTATCCACAGAAAGATGCACGAGACATCCTGCGAAGATACCGCGGTGAGTAGTAGGTCGAGTTTAATCTTCCTTGCTTAAAATAAGCTTATACCACGATGCACTCAGTCCAATCCAGGCCCGAAGGCGGGAAAGGGACAGTACGAGCCAGAGTGTTGCAAGGGTTGTGTTTTGAAGGGGGTTGGTGATTGCCCATGTTCCGACTCGCATTGATGGCAAGTGAAACGCGGTAATCACAGAGGGAGAAGTTTGTACAAGCGAAGAAACACCGGAACAAGCATCAATTTGCAGAACACAATTGGGAATCTTGTCATTACTTCGTAAGATAGGGGTTGTTGTCAAGAGATGATCATATTCTCCTAGCTAGCATGTCGACATGAAATCATGACCGCCGGGGTATATTGACCATTTACTCGGAGGGGACTAGGTAAACGTTAGTATTCGCGCGACGCACGATGGAATTGAACTCGACTCACTGTCAATCTCGCCAGCCTTGATGTCGTCAGAGACATCCTTGGGGCTGCGGCCATCAACCTGGCAACCAACGGAGAAAGCGGTACCGAGGATCTCCAGGACGGTACCCTGGAGCTCCTTAGCAAGAGAGCGGAAGCGCATCTTGCGGGCGATCTCGATGATCTCATCCAGAGGGACGGACTTGTTGTGCTTGATGTTCTTCTCCTTCTTGCGGTCACGGGGGGGCTCCTTAAGAGCCTTGATGACGAGCGAAGAGGCGGAGGGCACAACGGAGACGGCAGCCTGACGGTTCTGGATGGTGAGACGCACAGTCACACGGAGACCTTTCTAATAACCGCGGCATCGCATGTTAGCCATCTGATCCATAGCACACAATCCATTTCGACTGGGGACAATCCTTACCCAGTCACCAGTGTTCTTGGCGATATCTTCACCGATCTTCTTGGGGGACAGACCGAGAGGACCAATCTTGGGGGCCAGGGCAGACTGGGCACCGACCTCACCACCGGTCACACGGAGGTGGCTTCAGCAATTGTTAGTGTCATCGCGACAAATTTTGGGTAGGTTCGAGCGACCTCAGATTTGCGGAACTTACATGATCTTCACCTCATTGGGATCAAACTTGGGAGCTACACCAAGTCAATCAGAGGTTAGTGCGCCATTAGAGACAGCCAAGGAGATGATACTTACGCATGGCGAGTGCGAAGGTCGTCGATCGTCCTTGGGGTTGTTGTTGGTTGGGTTGGTAGGTACAAGGAAAGAAAAGAAAAAGGTTGAGCGGAAGTCGGAGAGTATTTAGCTGGGTCCGCACCTCAGGCTAAGCGAGGCGTCCAGACTAAAAAGCTCGCTAGGGCTCAAACCCACCTGAATCACGTGATATAGACGGGTGACCGTTGAGGGCTAGTGTACTTTTCGTGCAACTACAGAACGGATATTGGTTGACAATTCATTCACTTGATCTAAAAGGTTGCTATATTTCTGGGTAACTAAGCGAATAAAAAGACAATAATAACCGCTAAACATACAAATGACCTGTGAGGGTCGATATGCGACCACTCCTTCCGCTCTTCATGGTCATTACCTCGTTAGACCTAGCTAGTTCCCGAAACAGCCAGCCTGGATGACAAGTTAGTTTGTGTCTAGCAGATTACTAATAGTTTCAATGAGTACTTACTTCATGAGGTGGTCCATGAATGTTTGCAGCGATACATCGTCGGTGAAGATGGTCTGCGATGTAACACCACCCCCATATCCACCCGTCGTGTGCGTAGTGGAGGGGTTCAGCTTGGACAAGAGGAAACGGGCCTGAGAGCCACCGGCGTCGCAAACAATGAACCGGGGCAGTGGGAAACGGTCGGCAATAAGTTCCTGGTGTGGATAATTAGCGTGGGTCTGGATAAACCATCAATGGAGGGCAAACAAACCCTAGCGTCCTCCTTGGGCTGCTCGAGAAGAACCTTAAGGTTTTCGTATCCCTCCTGTTCATGGTAACCTGCCTTCCTCCATTCCGCGATGGTCTCTCCGTGGAAGATGAGGATATGGAAGAAGGTGTCCAAAAGAAGAATATGGGCAGGTTGAATAGAAGCCGAATCCAGAAGAACGGGCTGGCTGCCTTCATGCTCCAGAGAGTAAGAATCCAGCGTCGGCTGGATCATGACAAGCGAGTCGCCCACGTCTTCGTGGTTCAGGACATGTCTGTAGAAAGCCGTCTCATCAGGGGAGTTGTTAAACACCTGCAAGAACTGGCTTCGGCGAAGATGGAACATGAACTGGGGATAGAGGGTGAAGTTCTTTTCCAAGCGGAATGAAGTTGGGTCGTCCTTTCGGTAGTCGGCGAAGCGGGAGCAGAGTCGAATCAGCATCCGGTCAACCCATCTGAGCACATCGGGACCGTCGTCAACTTCGGCCTTGAAAACCGCGATACGTGCCATGAGAACCGCAGCAGCTTCCTGGTCGAATGATTGCGCAAGCGTGGGATCACCGGCAGGGCCGCTCAGAGTCCGCGCGACAGTGGTTACTCGAAGATGATAGGTTCCGGAGGAGTGCTGGTAGTAGGTAAGGAATTGCATCATTCCCCTTTGAGGGCCCGGCTGGACCGCAGCTGGCCCACCCTGGTTGGCGATCTCGAAGTAGACACCGTAACTTGATGCGGGATCAATACCACACATCTTCCACGCGCAGGTGTTGCCGATACCACACTCGGTCTCGCCGACAGAGCTGGATTTCTTGTTCAGGGAGACAGCATGACCAATAAGTCCAGTGACCTTCAGCTCCTTGGTAGTGAGAACCTCAAGGGAAGCGTTGAAGCCCATCAACAAGTTGTCGTTTCCGTCCTTATCGAACACTCGCACAAAAGACTGCTTGAACTGCGATGACGTGAAACTATCTGTCAGAAGCATGTGTCCTCCGGTGTAATTTGATAGGTTCTTCATTTCCAGAAGACCGACTTGGTCGAGACAACCAGCGAAAACATCAACAACATGTCCGTTGTTTGCGGCACGCTTAGCCATGTTATCATAGAACTATACTAATTAGTATCAAGCTCCGCGCAAAATGCTTAGGGTGTGCCTACCTTGATGGCCTTCTTGTAGTACTTGATGTTGTCGCGGTCAATGTCGTGGTGAGAACGGATAGGTTCCTTCAACTCAGGTCCAACAACATGACCCGGTCCCTCAGTGGCTGCACCGCTCGTAAACAGCATGATGCGCGCACCAGCGTTCTGGAAGGATGTCTCGAGCAAACCGACCGCGACGCCCAAGGCAACACCAGTACATCTCAAGGGTCGCTTGTCATTGGCAACGGGCCAGGGATCGCGCTGCATCTGCTCAAGGACGTTGGTGATCTGGAACTCGGCCTGCTGAACAGGCAGAAGGAACCGTGCTGCCGGTCCAAGAGGAGGGCGGGCGGGTTGATGGGGCATGTTGGGACGCAGCCCCGTGGCAAGGCCCAGCATCTCCTGAACTTGCTTCGCAGCATATTCCTTGCTTCCACGGAAAACGTACGACTTAGCACATTCAGTGTAGCCGAGCTCGTGAACTTGTGCCTATATGCAAGTCAACAACGCAATTTCCACCAACGGTGCAACTGTTCTCCTTGTTCCATACCATTGTACCGAATGTGATCAAGCCAACCAGAGCATTCGCCGGCAGCAGTGACAGACTCATGATCAGCGAATCCTTCAAAGCCTTCAGGCTGTCTTCTTCTTGGCAGGTATCGACGACATATAGGAAGATAGGGGGGGCGGGGGCGGGGCGCGCCAGTTGGTACTCGATAGTCGTACTCATGGGATGAAGCTCTGGAGGTATCGTGCTTTCGGTGATATCCTTGTAGTGAGGCGGCAAAGGATTGCGCATAAGACAGAAGGGACAGATCCAAATGCGAGCGCGCACGTCAACATTGCTATGGGATGTCAGCCATGAGGTTCGCATCAAATCACGGAGTATAGGTCGTACGCGTAGGGGTTCAGAACAGCCCGGCAAGGCGGTTTGCAGGTAACCGGCTCGTACTGCAACAACGGGGCATCGGTCTTCTCCTTCAGAGGGGTGTAAACAGCACCAATGGGGACCACGAGTCGGGACGCTTCCTGTAAACCAATCAGTCGATCATGTAGAGAGATGTCAAAGCATAGAAACGAACCATACGAGTGCTTGGAAACGTGTTCCAGCTGAGTCTGATTCCATCACGGTCCTCGACATCGCTCCATTGGTCCTTCAACGCTTCATAGTCCATGTTGTCGGAATGGAGAATGGGACTCGGTAGCTCGGGGGATAGGGGGGGTTATCGAGTGGGACTGAGGCTGGTGCAAAAGCAATTCTCTATCAGGTCGCAAGTTATAGAGTAACAGGAAACACTTAGATCATAACCCAGTCTCAAGATGGGCAACGCCGACAGCTGTTGTCCGAAGACTAATGCGGGGGAACAGGGAGTATGTTGTGTGAAGCTGTACTTGTTGGCATGAGGCCAGGTTGCAGCGTTTCGGGTCGGCCTCGACTGCCGTAGCCCGCGCTAGTGGCCTTTAAAAACCCGGCGGCGTCCACATTCTTTTTTTCTTTCTTCTTTTCTTCTTCATGAATTTCTTAACGCCGACGACCTTTACTATTTAGCAACTTCGGTCTCCCAATGACGAAGGTGTTTTCGAGTCGAGCGAAGAACAATTTCGACCCGTTGCTGGGCACCTGGCTTTGAAAGGTCGTTATGATCCTTTTGGATAAACTGGGAATCAGCAGAGGTTACAAACCTATTCTTGCATTAATGGCGTGCAATTTTACTTCACCTATAGCGGCGCAACTTGTAATCCTCTTACGTCCGATGGTTCGAATTTGGAAAAACCTTGAAAATTAGATCTCGTAGTATATTTACTCCTAATGCGCGTTGAGAATATGAAAGGAAGAAAGGGATAAAAAGCAATCCGCATTTGTCTCCATGGCCCAACCCAAAACGCCTCATGAAAACACTTCGCAGGGGTAAAGGAATAATCAGCATCAACCGTATCACTGCAATCATGGACCTATTACGCAGACCCTTAAGCATTCTTGGGAGCTTTGCCTGCCTGTTTAAGGAGGTAGCTCCGCTTGAAGTAAGTATTGGGGTGGACAATAGTGTCCAAGTCCGTCTGACTCCATGATCCGTCCTCTTTGACTCTCTTGATGTCCGATTTATGAGCCCACTCAAAGACTCGGTTACAAGCAATATGGTACCGAGTCTTTTCGACGTCTTCTCGTACACCCCGGAGCAGATCTTTGTCATGGACACCTGTCGACTGAAGAAGCCCAATAAGGTTGTCGACAGAGAAATGTCGGTACGGACAGCCATGAGTCTGGCCAGCACCGGGGTTGGAATCGCTGAGGATCTTTTGGCACGAATAGGGAGGGTATCCTCGCCCCCTGCGGTTGACGTCGCCGCCGACATCTCCATAAGCGTGGCGGACGTTGTACTTGTATCGAGAGTTAAACTCGTCGTCCGTAAAGCCCTTGAAGGATTGGCGCCAGAAGAGAATGCACTCCTCCAGCGATAATCCAATACCCTTGAGGAACAGGGTGTACTGAAGACGGCCATAATGCTTGAGGTGATTGTTCTTGCGCAGCGACATGTGCAAACTGCGCATACAGAGCGGGAAATGCTGGGATAATTTGTCGACATTACCGGCCGTGATTGGAGCACCGTCGACGAAGCCTTCCCCTTCGGAGTACGTTGATTCTGCGCTTCCGAAATTCTTCGACAGATGATCAAGGATAGGCGTAAGTCGATCATCCTCGTCTAAGCGCGGCAAGGCTCGACTCGTAAGCTAGGTATCATTAGCTCTAAGGTTTAGTGGTACGCGACCTCGAAATTGCAACGCATACCTCAAGCGCACGCTCCAGTCGAGCGGTAAACTCCGCAATGATCATACTCAATTGTTCTTTGCCGGGAACGTATGCCTTTCCTTTCGACATAAACACCGAACGCTTTTCGACCAACTCTGGGACCCTCTCCCAATCCACCTTGTACCACGCTTCTTCATTAACGTGGCGCAAACCCGGTGTCGCGCCTATGAGGTGTTCCGAAAGGGCATCCCTTTCATCATCGCTAACAGGATCCCAATCGAGACTAAGACTTTCTATAAAAGCACGCTTCTCTTTTGTGTCATCTTGTTGGAACCGAAATCTGAAGAGCATCGTTTCTGCCCGTGCGAATCGCCGGCGGAGTTCCTCCGTGGCAGAGAATGCCAATCGAAGGATAAAATGCGAATAGTGATCTTTCTGACGCTCATTTTTCAGTCGCGGGTCGGCAGCTCCGAGAGTAGAGGAAGTGTTCGAGGAAAGGGGGAGGTATTTCTGAAGTAGAGGTGTGATGTGCTGCGCAGTTTCGGCGGGCGACTTGTTTCGATAAGAGCAGGCCTCAATTTCAGCCAGAACTATTTCATACGCTGAGCTTCCAAGTTTCCATAGAGACACATTGAATCCGAGGATGTGGAATCGCATACCTTTTAATCTATCAATAGCCCATTGTTCAAACTGTTCCAGCGTAATCTCTGCAGTCGGTGGGATCTCGTAGAAGTTCAAACGGTGGGGATAGTCCTGCTGCTTGAATATCGGGACGGCGAACTGGGTCTTTTTATGGTCGAGATTCGACCGTCGCTTCGGGTCGACCCTCTGGAAGTCCTGTCTAATCATCTTGGACGGCGGTGGTGCGACGTCTATCCCAACCAAGAACTCGTCTTTGGTGTTGAAATCATACCTCTGTTCTGCTGCGGCCCGCCCGTCGCGACTCTCGCGCGCCGCGTGGGGAAGCGCGTCACAGTCACGTGAGCACCGCCAACCGAGGACTAATTAATGCCAACCGGCTAAACCCGTTTGTTGAAGGTCGGAGTCGGTCCTTGCTTGTGATCGAAGCAGTATGAGCCCGAGCATACACTATGGAGGATCTCCGCTATAAATGACAGTCTCAAAAAGGGATCTTTCATCTTTGACTTCCTATTCCTGACCCCTGTTCACTCAACCCCGAACAACTCATTCTCATATTAAGGGCCTGAGGCACCTGCGATATCGCCCACCGGAGATAAGTCCGATACGAGGCCCGTTCACCGACTGCCTAACCGGGAAAGCATCTATAACCCCACGGAATTTGCGCTTCCCCGGTTTGATGCAACCTTCCGAAACCTTGAGCTTTCAACTATAAACCTGGACACATCAATCGTCAGCTGCCGTTATTTAATGCCAAGGTACAGGCAGTAATGCTCATTTCCTAGTGCCGTTAAACCCCGAACCAGAATGGGAATAAATTGACGTCCCTTCTACCGTGACCCGCTTCCCTCAACATCTCATCTCAACGGCCCGCAGCTCGAAGACGCCATTGCGCTCCAATCCTCCAGGAACAACCCCTTCTTTTCGTACATTGAAACAATACCTTACACATCATTATAAAGGGTGCAATGACGCCCACCACCAGACAGCTCAAAAAGGCTGCCCGTATCATCCTTGTCGGAGCGCCAGGCGTCGGAAAGGGAACGCAGACGGAGAGACTTCTCGCCAGGTTTCCCGAACTGGCTTCCATTAGCTCCGGAGATCTTTTGCGTGAAAATGTTCGCAACAAAACACCCTTGGGTAGGCTTGGGTTTGATCGCTGAATTTTGAGTTCCCGGACTCCACGGCTAACCACTTCAATCCGCACAGGTCTCAAGGCAGAAGCCACGATGCAATCCGGAAATCTCGTTCCCGATTCGATGATCCTTGACCTTATATCCTCCGAATTCAGATCCAAGGGTTGGACGAGTGCCTCGTCACCGTCTTCGATATCCTCTTCGGCCTCTTTTATTCTCGACGGGTTCCCACGCACCGCTACCCAGGCGTCGAGCCTGGACTCCCTTGTCCCCGTGAACTTTGTCGTCCAGCTCGTCACGCCACCATCTGTCATTCTCTCGCGGATAGCCTCTCGCTGGATCCACGAGCCATCTGGCCGGGTATATAACATTGGGTTCAATACACCCAAGGTGCCTGGCCAGGACGATATCACCGGCGAGAAACTGACACAGAGAGAAGACGACTCAATCGAGACATGGACTCAACGGCTTCGCAAGTTCGAAGAGACCAGCAAGGCTTTGCTCGAGCATTACCAGCGCAAGGGCTGTCTATGGCGCGTTGAGGGTGATACCAGTGATGAAATCAGCCCCAAGCTGTTCGCGGAGATCGAGCGAAAGTTCTGCTAGCGTTATCATCGCCCCCGGATATACCTATCTTAATTCCTTCCTATGTATTATATATTACTACTCTCTGTTGGTTGGCGTTCTGCATTTTATCATGTTTTCCTAACGGGATATTGTGGATGATTACTGGGTTTATGTGTGTCTGGGCAAAGAAATTGGGCACATTTCATGGTTTCTTATGTCTAATGGCTCTATGTATTTATTTACTAATTTACAAAGCAAGCGCACCGCGAGCGAGGCCGATCCTCCGTCGGTCATATCAGAGTCATATCGCGGCATCATACCCTGGGATATCAATCGTAAAATCATCAGAAACGGCCGTCCAAACATCAAACATGAAGAGCACAAGACAGAACGTAAGCAAGAGTACAGTATATATCATCGCATCATTTCTTCCCCCCGTTCTCCTGCGACTGGTCCTGCGCGCCCATCCTAGTCTTATAGTCCCTCGGACTTTCCCAGTCCTTATTACCCCGGAAGCCCTTCCACAACCCCGACCCTTTCTTCTTCGCCCACCATTCCGCTTTCCTGTATTTCTGCTCCATCTTTGGACCGCCGAATTCCGATCCAGCTTTTGCCTCGTACACCGTCGCCAGTCCCCGCCTCAGCATCTCATACGACACGTCGCGACGGCGAAATGGTATCGGGAAGTCCAGCATCCGCCGCACATACACGGTCGCCACGACACGCTGGTATTGATCCTGGCGATGCACGTACGCGCGGACCCGACGATTCGTGAGATACGAGGTCAACCACTCGTGCGCGTCGCGAGCAAAGGGCTGTTCCGGACGACCGAAATGCGCCAGCTCAGGGGCATCTATACCAGCCAAGCGCACGTGAACCTAGACACGAAACAACTTATTAGTCTCACGCATCCCACAAGGATATTTAAACATAACATAACATGCCACAGCCTAGACATGGCATAGCAAATAACGCACCGTTTTATCCTTCAAATCCTTCTTCGCGATCGGAACCTTCTTCCACGGCAACCAACCCCACCCAAACAGCCTCCCGCCAGGGGTATGAAAGATCCGAAAGTTATCCCCATCACCAACACTCGTGACCTTGCCCAGGAGACTCCTCTTCCGGAAGTACCATGGCGAGATACTAACGGCATCAGGGAAGCGGCGCAGATAGCGGCGGTGGAAGCGTGCGGCGCCCAGGATCGCGGTCGTGAGGATCGCGGTGGGGATGAGGGTTCGTGGCTCGGCGAAAGCGGCCCAGTCAAGCTCCGACAATGATTTCTTGAGCTCGGTGGCTTTGGAAGAGGCGGTGGAGGAGAGGGACACGATCAGCGATTTGGATTCATCGGTTGTTTGGGCTTGCGATTCGGAAGCCCATGGCGGCCAGCGCATCACGGCTCATGCCTTTGGTGATAGGGTTGTGTTTGAGGGTTGAGTGTGAAATAAGTTCGTAAAGGCTATTTAATCCCTCTGGTGTGATCACGGGCCTGGTATAAATAGTTCGCGGTTTGATTTGGTTTGGTTGAGGCCGCTTTGGTTGTTGCCGAGGGAATCGGTCATTCGGGGGGCGGTCAGGATAGGAGATACTGGACCCAGTATATGTCTCAGAACTATGAAGATTCATTGTTTCCAAATATATATATATATACTATTCTTGATTCATAGAACTAAAAGGGCATGTACATTAACCCACTGCATCAATCCGATCCATTTCTCTTTAAAGAATAAGGGCTCAAACACGCGAAAGGACATTGATATATTTTTGCTATGGTGCTGGCGATAAATAGCGGTTAAACACGGAAACTCGAATATTTACAATTTTTGAGGTCAATTTCCTAGTGTAATACTTGGGTTTCAGTCGACAGCAACCCCTGTAAATCAAATCACTACTATGCAGGTACGATGAGTTGTATCATATATGTCTGTCTAGATTTTATTCTTAAGAATTATGGCAAGTCCTATACTCGATATTTGCCGGGAATTTACAGGAAAGTGCTGACTCTAGAGCGTCAAGAAACCATAAATCTACAAACCCACACGCCATAAATCACAACCAAATAGTAACCAAAGAGATGCATCCCAAGTCCAAAAGAAAACGGTATAAGAAAGGGCAGTCAGTCATTTAAAACGGGCAGAGTAAGGTGAAAGCACCTATTTCAGGGTCGCGGGGAGGCTGGTCTTAGCCTTGGAGGCAGCGGTATCGACGGCCTTGTGAAGCTTCTCTTGCTTGATTTTCCGCAGGTAGGCGAAGAGAAGAACGAATGTGAGTTCCATCCTAGAATTCATTAGCTTGAAGTCATGTCCACCAGCTCACTCAGGCTCATACCTTTCCTTGGTCATCATTAATAGACCTTGCACCAGAAGTCCCTTCAAGATCTGGGGTCCAATGCCCTTGAACAGGGACAGAGGTCCTTCGTTCTTAATGATAAAGCGCATGACCTCGCCAAAGGTCTTGAAAGGCTTCCCCTCACGACCAGGAGGGGGCCGTGACTGAAGGCCGACCTTGGCAACAATCAACGGCTGCGTGGCGATGGTAGCCAGAGCCTTGGAAAGAGCCCCAAGAACTATAAAGTACATTAGCCCGATGGCGGAAAAAGACAAATTACTCCGTTGACTTACGGAAAGCCTCCCAAGGCTTCAGGTTGTTCTTTCCAGCAAAAAGGATGTCTTTCAGACGCTGGTAGGCACCGTAGGTAATGGCAGGGTTGATGACCAGGATAAGACTGGCCTTAAGACCTCTCCACAGACCGGACCAGCCATCCTCGCTGTTGACAACTTCTTTACCCGTTTCGATCAAGCCCTTCTTCTCCGCCTTGGGCTGAGTCTGTTGCCTCGTCGTGATGACCGCGACGGGGATCGTGAAGATCTGAGCGACAGCACCCGCAACAGCTCCAAGCGAAAGCTCGATAGCGGTGCCGGGGGGTTTAGGTACTTTGTTCGATGCCATGTAGAGGGTCCGCACGACGCTGTACCAGTAGAAATAGGCGAAGTTGGTAGAGGCAACGCCGAGTAGGGATCCTGCGATTCCGGAATATAGACCCTCGACTCCCTCTCGCTCCATAATCTTTGTGATGGCATCCAACGTCGACTTATATTGCTCTTCGTTCGCTCGACCGTCTTTCGAATCGCCGGTCGATTTCACTTGGACTTGAAGTTTCGTCTTGACCCTAGACAACAACAGATGGTATATCAGCGCACAGTATTCCCGAAGAACTCGACCCGGTGAGTGTTTCCACATACAAATCAAGAGGATATACAATGGCATTGGCAAGTACGGCGCCAGTTGCGCCTGCAACCGCACCGGCCCAGGGGGAGAGAGCGGGTTTCGATTGACCAGCCATTTTTTGTACTCAGGCGAGAATTCTGTTGAAGTTCGAGTATGATAGTGTCGTTTAAAAGTGAGCAAGTATATTCAAGCCCTAGTAGTCAAATGTTGGCTGGTTCTCTTTTCTTGTTCGGTCTGAGAGAAATGCGGAATTAGATCGCAGTTAAATTCCGAGCGGGGGAAAAAAGTCCCTCGCATAAAAAGACGTAAGAAGACAAAAGAAGAAAAATATGATGATTGTGAACTCTAGTGAACAAGATCACTCTGCCCTGAAAGAAAGAGAAAACAAAGCGACAAAGCCCCCCAAAAGCGTAGATCTGGGAGAAGAGAAGTTGAAGTTGGAATGGAAAGAAAGCTACCCTACTCACTCTCGGTAGAACCAGCGAGTCCGTGGGCACACCTCGGCGCGCCCTCCAAAGCGGACACGAGCCGAGGTCCATCGCCCGAACTTGTTCTTCACTCCCGTTCCTCCCCACCGAACACGCTAAGGTGCTTCATCCACTTCCCCCAACCCGCTCCATGGTCTTACTTGGAGATCGCCTTTAAGGTTAAATCGCAGAAAAAGGTGAGAAATCCTCCCCCTCCAACAGGCCTGTGTTAGTATTTGGTAATCGTCGCTCCCCTGTTGATTGGATCCTGAGAGCGTTGGCGTCATCGACCTCGGATGTCACTTTCGGGCATTCCACGGGGCCTTTCGGCAGGGCTCACCTGCAAACCAAACTGTTGGCTCTGATAGGCCCCGGTCGAGGCTGCTTATGAATGTGATTGAAGACTGACTTCTAAAGATCGATCGACCCTCCCGCCTCGTGGGCCAGGATGTCTAGGCCTAATGCTACCGCGCAGAAGGCTTTAATTACCAAAGCTCTGGTACCTACCTACTTGAATATTCACTGCTCTCACTGTTCTATACCAACGTGACAAAAAGAATCTTAGCGCCGCGATTGACTAACCAGTAACCAGAAAGCCGAAAATGATGTATCTTCGGCTACTTCTCAAAGACAGGCCCTTCAGGCTGCGATCGACGTGGCTGAGAATTACATGAAAGCGTTGAACTTAGCAACGTTTTCAGTAGATAAACAGACATTAGATGCAAAGTGCAAAGACTGGCTCACCCGAGCTGAAAAGATCAAGGTATCCCAGGACTGGCAATCCATTGCGCGTGCGGAGGAAAGAACACTCCCAACATCCACCCGCAAACTCACCACCCGTGAAGAAATTATACTCCTAGAAGGCGCCAAGCTGAATGGATTCATCTTTCCGCCGTGGTCCGGCTCTCCAAGTCTGGACGAATTTAAAGAGGAAGATGGGGAGCTCTTTACGTATGTTGTTGATTCCTTAGCATATAACTTTGAGCTATGTTTCTGAGACCTTGAACTGGCTGACTCGGAATAGCGACAAACCCGATCTACATCTTTCGGATCTTCAGAAGAACATATTTGATGGCTGGAAACGACCTGCTGAGTTGCTTGCAGATGTTGCCGAGGACCCGGATAGCGTCGTAGTACCCCTGATGTCTGTTACTGGAAAGACTGATCTTGTACAAGACGTCCTGACAGACTGTTCTGTTGTTGCCAGTCTCTGTGCCACCACTTCGAGACTGGAACGTGGTATGGGAAAGGTTGGCTTCCTTCGCATAGTAGCTTATATCTTCGGTTGGACTGATCAGGGAACAGCGTTTTCTACCCGTGGTTTATCCTTGTGAACACGTACAGGCAAATCCGGAACCGTCACTGTCAGGAAAATACATATTTCGATTTTATTTCAATGGATGTTTTCGCAAGGTGATCATTGATGATCGCCTGCCATCATCCAAGACCTCAAGATCTCTTCATGTGATTGACCGAAACAACCCCACATTCTTGTGGCCGGCCCTTGTTGAAAAAGCATACCTAAAACTCCGCGGAGGCTACGATTTCCCTGGGAGCAATTCTGGGACAGACTTGTGGGTGCTGACGGGCTGGATCCCTGAGCAGGTCTTCCTTCATAGCGAGGATGTGACGGGCGACGACCTCTGGAGGCGCTTCGCCAAGGCCTTCCATCAGGGGAATGTTTTACTGACGATAGGTACCGGGGAATTAACCGAGCGGGAACAGGATGAGCTGGGCCTTGTAAGCGAGCATGACTACGCGATTCTGGATATGAAGGAGTCGAAGGGTCGTCGACAGATGCTTGTGAAAAATCCTTGGGCCGGAGCAGATGCGGTACATGGCGAAGGCGAAAACACCTCTAACCTAGCTGATCCACCCCATAACCCTCAGTCTTTTGCGCCGGGCACCTTCTGGATGGACTGCGAAAGGGTTCTCCAGAATTTCGAAAACCTATACCTGAACTGGAATCCGGAGATTTTCAAATATCGAGAAGATATCCACTTTACTTGGGATCTCTCTAGCGGCAGAGGGATCGCCGGCTGCTTTGTAAAGAACCCTCAGTTTGCAGTTACCTGTGCACTGGGTGGTACTGTCTGGATACTACTAGGAAAGCATTTCAGGACGATTGCGCAAAACCAAGAATATGACGAGTCGGGTTTTATAAGCATCTATGTCTTCAATGCTAGAGGGAAGAGGGTTTCCTTGAGTGACGGAGCTTTGCATCGTGGTCCTTATGTTGACTCGCCCAACACTCTCATGAGACTGGAGATGCCCCCGAAAACGACGTACACAGTGGTTGTCTCCGAACAATCCTTACCTTCATTGAGTCAGAGCTTCACACTCTCCGCACTTTCTTCATCACCGGTACAGATCGCACAGGCCCAAAATGAACACATGTGTGTCAACAAGGTACTAGGCGCCTGGACACCTCTTACAGCAGGTGGGAACGCAGAGTCGGCGCGCTATCCTTTGAATCCCCAATTTAGTTTGGAAACATCAGATTTGACCAACGTGTCATTTCTGCTCGAGTCGTCAGATGGCGACATTGCCACCCATGTTAAACTTTTCTGGTCCAATGGCAACCGTATATCAAGAGTTCGAAGCCGCGATATTATTACTGATAGTGGTGACTATCGTCGGGGTGGATGCCTCGCAGAGAAAAGGTCTCTAGACCCGGGTCTATATACCATTGTGTGCTCTACATTTGCGCCTGACCAACTTGGCCGATTTACGCTGTGGGTTTCGTCTTCAATTCCCTGTCAAGTGAAAGCACTTGCTCCAGAGGCAGCGGGTCGTCGCGCAATCATTTCAGATATTGGCGTACTACCCCCGGGAAGGGATCGGATGTTAGCTCCTTTGTACGTCCCGCGACTGACACGGATCAAACTCATCGCGCGAAGCCGAAAGTCGGTGATTGGCGACCACCCTGTCGGACCTTCGCCTGCCTTGATGACCGTGGAACTCGGCCAAGGACCTTACAAAGAGACTCTGGCGACCTCGGAAGATGGAAACCACAGCGATGCGATATCGGGAGTGCGGGTCGAGGATTTTGACATTAAGCCAGGACTCGAGGAGAAAGGCGGAGCTTGGATTGTCATCGAGAGGATCGGTGGTCCTGGAGGTCAGGTTGAAGACCATTTCGAGGTGGAAGCGTTGGCTGAAGAGAAGGTGGAAATTGGGGAGTGGATAGTGGAAGATGTTTGAGAGTGATCGAAAGATGAAAAGCACTTTGAAAAGAGAGTTAAAAAGCGATTACATAGCATGTATTTTAATCGCGACTTGTAAACACTATGTTAGAGTTATATAATGGAATGATAACATACTACGTACGCAATTTCTTATCGTGGACGTGGAATAGATATCTGTATTTCTTAGATTGCAGCCTTGTCCAGCCAGGCGCATCTCCACAGTTTCGGGGCGGGCGCCGATGATAAAGCCCACTCGGAGTCCAACGTCATCCCGCCTTGACACCTTCCCTTCGCTTTGTCCCTTCGCCTCCGCCCACTGAACCAGGCATCTTCGCTCCTGACCTCCTATTGCTGTCGCACACATGGCGAGCAACATTCCTGCCAGTCTAAAATCCGCAGACATTGGGCGCTTTGCCGTCAGGGCCGCCCAGGTGGAACGCGTGAAGCCCGTTATTGCCTACTGGTGTGAGTGATGTGCGATTATTGCATGATTGAAAAGGAGCAGCTGACTAACAAGGGACAATCGTTCTTTCGTGGCAGGTAATTTCTGGATCGTTAACCAAATAATCGAAAAGGGTCTTCATTCCGACGACGAAGTCAAGCTGTACACGACGAACCTTGTGGACAAGTTGGAAACCGTACGTCTGGCGCAAAACCCGACCTTGAGGGGTATCGAGGAGGCCGATTGTGGAAACTGACATGTCGCGGCGTCAAGTTCAAGGAAGAGAATCCCGATAATGATACCGTGGCGGATGCAGTGGCCGCTAATGCCTACGTGGAGGAGTTCGGTCTGGACGTCTTCGCTCGAGCGGAGGCAACAATGAGAGCCAACAAGGTGACGAAGTATGTCGCGAGGGTGTCTAGTCACACAAGGGATCACAGCTAAAACTGTTCCAGAAAAACTGCAGATACGTTCCAGGCGGCTGCTACATTCCTCGAACTTTGCCAAATCTGGCACGCCCCGGAGCCCGAACTCGCCGTCAAGATCAAATTCGCCAAGTACCATGCGCTGAGAATTGTGAAGGCTATCAAGGCGGGCGAAGACCCAAATGCGACGAATCCGGTTCTTGAAGAAGATAATCTCGAGCCGAAGGAAGATGATCCGGAAGTTCAGGCGATTGTCCAGTCCCTTCCTCCAGCGGACCCCGAAAACCTACCAGGACAGCAGCAGCCGTCCGTGGAAGAAGCTCCCGACGAATCCTCCGCGCAACCTTCAGGATCGACTCCTACCCTACCACAAGTCCCAACCGCTTTTGCTGATAACCGGTCTATCGAGCATAATGCGCCATCTCCAGGCATGGATGTGGATAGCGACCAAGGAGCACCGTTGAATCTTCCCTCGGCGCCGGACACATTCGCATCATCTGCATCCGCGCCGACTCTACCTGATACCCCGACTCAGATTGGCAGGCACCACTCGTCTGGGGATCCTAATGCATTCCAGTCTTTCCCGCCTCCGTCGTCCAGTCCGGATAGAAGTCCAGCGGGAACGCCCTTTGATGCCAATGCTTTTTACAACCCTAACAGATCACCTCCGCCTCCCGCGCAGCCATCTCCTGGGCCATTGCCTGTGGTGTCACGTCCCACACCCCAGCCTATGTCCTCAGCAGCCCATATACCTGTAGCCTCTACGCCCAACTCAGCGAACGCGCCGGCAGTAGATGACAACGCTATTGCACAGGCTCAGAAGCATGCTCGCTGGGCGGTCTCTGCTCTGACCTTTGACGACGTGAACACTGCGATTAAGGAGCTCAAGAACTCGCTCAAACAGCTTGGAGTTGAGTAAAGGCATGCCCTAGTTTGTCAGTGGAACGAGAGGCGTTAAGTATTTCTTTTCCCATGTTAAGATCTCTTTCTATTTTTCTTTCTCCGTCTCAGGACGATGATGATGATATGTAATATTCCCCTTGCTGAATGATTGCTGAATGAATCTTTTCGACCCACGAAAGCCACTACATTTCACTGGAATAGAATTAAATGTGTGGATAAACATGCAATACTAAGCCATCAGTTACTTCCCATTTCAGTTACAAAATTTACATATTTTGTAAAAGATTAGTTGTCTGCCTGAACTACAAGGTCGTTCGCCCCTCTTGGAGATCTTAGGTTGATTACTTATTACAGACCTGCCTTAATGAGGTTGTTGTCTAGTCTACGAGAATTCGCGTCACCTGGTTCTATTTATGGCAGTTGACATTCACTCGTCGTTGACTAGCAGGCCCAGTCATCAGACTCTCTCTTCCACTTCTCTCACCTCACTTCTCTCACCTCGATTCCTCATCTTTCTTCCTCCCACTACCCATCCCCCCTCCCCTCCTTTATCATCAACCCTACTAGACTTGATCCTTCACTCAAACCCTTTCTCAAGGGAATGGGATCATCAATCAGTACTATGAGAAGCAGCCACAACATAACCCACCAGCCTTCTCCAGAACCTATGATGGTCCACCCCATGCGAGAGCTCCTGGATGAGGGCGGCCTCACCTCCAAAAGCCGCGACCGCCAATTCACCACTTTCCTTGACTTGAAACAGGATTATCACCACGACTTCATCAACCAACTTCGTGAACAGGTGCATAAGTATGGCTATGACTGGTCAGGACTGGAGAATTCCGAGAGCGAGCGAGAGCTCTGCGCGACCAGCTTTGTGGAAGAGTGGGGAAAAATGTATTGGGGCACCAAGACCAATCGCGAGAAGTATCTGTTGCCAGAGTCTTTAAATGACCCAAGCCTCTGTGTATACCCTGACCGGAAGGACGAGTAAGTCAGATCCCCCATGAGTATATATCCATGGTTATTTCAGTGTATTCTTTTGAGCCTAATACCTGGTAGAATCGTGAAGGCTTTGGCTATTCTGTTGAAGCGAAAGGCGAAGAGCCATATAAAATCAACTAGACCGTCGATGGAGGTAAGCTGAAATCATGATCGTGGATCTCTAAAGGTTGAGTCTAACGCATCAATCATCACAACATAGGCAACCGTCACTCCATCTGTGCCAAATCGACCTGTGCAGCCCAGTAGTGCCCCTCAGCCCCTCAGCCAGCCCACTTTTCGCAAGGAAATAAACGCGAAAAGAAAGATGAACGACCGTCGCAGCCAATCCCCCACTCTGTCTGACGACGAAATCAGACGCCCCGTCACTCGAAAGACCACCGGTCATGACCTGTCGATTCGGCCCTTCCGTCGCATCGCCAGTCCCGAAGAAGTCATTTCTGCTGATCGGAACAAATCGAAGCCCCAGAAGACCCAGGACCTCGTTACCACACCTCTTGACACCACCCGTCTTGACACTAATGCTGATATAGATACTGATATGGCACTGATGACTCACTTCCTCGTGAGTATCTCCAACCAACAGGGCCTGGCGCCCATCTGGGTTCCCTTCAAAAGGTTCTCCTCGACTAAGTCCTTTCTGTCCCACATGTTGAGCGAATGTACCCTTCAGTACTGGGATAGCCACAAACAGGCGCTCTCTGACGTGCAGACCGAAAACTCCCCGGTCGTGGTGGCGGCTTCAGTGAAGTTTGCCTGGTCTGATTTCGAAATGCGCCTTCGCCAGGGCAAGGACGAGGACTGGAAGCTAATTATGGCGCAGTTGGAGAAGGCGTGGAAAGAGAGTGAGCTCAGCAAGGATAGTAATTTCTACGATAGATTCAAGATCCTTGTAAGGGTTCATGTTATAGGATGAGCCAAACAATCATCAACTACTAGCTGTTACATAATGGTTTCAATATCGATATTAGTGACACTATTCCGGACATCCTCACAATTCAGAGAATCGAAAATTATATGCATATTAGGAAGCAAGAGGTCGATGGGATCATTGAGAGTGCCTCTGCAAATACCATCATATTTTGTTCTTGCGTCCTGGATGACTGGGTGACTGGATGACTGGATAACTGTTTGGCATTGGCTGAGAGGTCTACTTGGAAGTTTTGTTTTTTGACATATGTGCCACTGCCCTGGATGATGGAGGGAAATGTCTTGGATTTAATGGAGAAAAGAAAATGGGCTGGAAAGCAGCATCTCGAGAATCGATAGTACTTCGAATGAATATCAAATACCGATCAATAGCTTGCACTTGCAGACCATTGAGAAACTAGTAGACCTCTTCCAAATCGCTGCACGAACCATGGGTTGATCAGGACGATAATCCATGGAACAGCCAGTCGATCCTCGTCTGGGGAGCTTGGGGAGTCCGAGTGGAATCCGACATTATCCTTCTCTGGATCGGAGAATTCCATTTCCCTGGGTAGACCAAAGACTTGACTTGACGTCAACACAAGCTCGAGGCAGCCCTCGATCCCCTTGCAGGTTTTGCATAGCGGCTAACAATCCAGGCACTATCTAGACTCTGTAGTCTGTACTGGCTAGTTAGTCACTGACTATGACCTCAAGTAGCAAATACTAGATAGCAGATTGTTAATAATAGCCAACAATAAGCCCTAATCAAATAAACCAAAAGGATAGCGTCGGTTCTACGGAAACCATCTGCCGAACTCGGGAAATACAGTGTGGACTTCGGTCGGGAATGGGGAACTCGATTGATTCGATTCCTTGGGTGCTTCCTTTAGTCCCGGCCAATGGATTCGAGTTGACTATCAGATCCAAATCCATATGACAAATTCCCTCGGAGCTGGGAGCTTGTTCAGTGCTAGACCGCTCGGGATTGAGAGATAAAGAGAACGAGAGAGGGCGAAGAGACTCAGATAGGAAGGACTCAGTAACGGAGTCGATATATGGAAACGCGTCTCCACCCCGATGATCCTGACTCGGTCGGAGATCATTGAGACGATCCGTTTTGACCTGTCTCGTCCAGGGACTCAGGGAGTCGAACGGAGCGGGAGGTCCTGTCCATCAGAATTGGTATCTCTATCAACGAAGAATGGGAGATACCTATACTCTGTAGTGAAAGAATCCTCTTGAACTCTTGCACATCCCCTATTTCCCACGCCTAAGCTCGCCCAATTCCTTTAAAATGAACTCCCCCCTCTCGTTTCCACTTGGAGGCGGAACTATGATCGGACGGTGTCCCTGAAGAACGGAAAGCGTCCCACAACGCGCGCTTGGCAGGGGAAGAAATGATGAATCAAGTCGGTCGGAGTTGGGGACGCTAAACCCGGCGAAATTTCTAGATGCAGCGCTAACGGACTTTGTTCGGTTGGAAGTTGGCAAAGTTGGTGGAAAAGTTTGGTACCCTAGGTTTTAGGGGCCCTCTTCCTGGAGGTGTGGGATTGGGATTCATTTGGTCATTTCGATCCGTTTCTGGTGTTCGGCGTGTTTTCGATGCTGGATCAAGGCTTGGGGTGGCATATTTGACAGGAAGAAGATTGTTGGAGGGGAGGTGTTGCTCTGTAAAGGTTGCAGAGTTCAGGAGAGTCGAAGAGTCCAAGAGTAGAAATGTACGGAGTGGAAGATTCAAGTAGAAGTGTAAATAGGAAGAGAGAAGTGCCGGAAAGGACGAAACACGCGCAATCAACCAGAATCGCTAGCGGTAGTTAATTCGATACTAGAGGCATTAATATTGACTGGGAAAAGGATGCTTGGGCAGCTGATCGCCTTCCGTTAACTCGTTAGTCTCGCTCTCTTTATCCTTTCCCTTTTCTTTCATCTCCCTTTCCCCTCGGGTCTCGTTTCTTAATTAATTCAGTCCAATCCAATCCAGTCCAATTCAAGCGACTATCTGCTCCCCCTCATTCTGGGTGCGCCGAAGAATCTCAGACTTCTCAGTCCCTCTCAGCCTCTTCTTTCCCTGCCTCATCCTTGTCTTTGTCCTACCGTCTGCCCCTTTTCCTCCCCGCATTGTTTCTTTGGGTGCGGGGCGCCAACAGTCAACCGTTCACCACGCTGCAAGCTCGAGTTTACCTCGTCTTGTCGACTGCCTGATTTCTAATTATTATCATTCTTCTTTTTCACCTTTGTAATTATCGTCTCTATCATGGCTGACGACAAGAAGCCGTCCGTGTTGATCGTTGGAGGGTTGGGTACGAGCTGCTCCCCGTTTCTCCCTCTCGCTAAACCTGCGCCCAACTAACCCGCATACTCGTCTTGGTAGGATTTATCGGTCGTCATCTGGCGCTTTACATTCACGAAAACAACCTTGCCTCGGAAGTTCGACTGGTCGACAAGGTGTTGCCGCAACTCGCGTGGTTGGCGCCCGAATTCGAAGAGGCTTGTTCCAAGGATAAATTCGTTCAGGCGGACGCGAGTCGGGAACGTAAGTTGCGATTGGAAAATTCCGCGTCGATAGGAAAATACATTGCTGACCTTGATTCTTTTTTTCCCCGCCGGCTTTCTAGAACATTTCCCGCGTATCTTCGATCGGAGTAATGGCGAACAGTTCGACTACGTGATCAACTGCGGCGGCGAGACGAGGCATTCCCAGCCCGACGACGTCTACGAGCTCCGCAGCTACAACCTGACGGTGGCGTTGGCCCGCGAGGTCGCTCGTCGTGGCATCCGCTCGTATGTCGAGTGTTCCACCGCCCACGTCTACAAGGGGGGTTCCACGCCGCGAAAAGAGGACGACAAGATCCAGCCGTGGAACAAACTCGCCAAGTGGAAGTTGAAGGCTAGCGAGGAGATTCAGAAAATCCCCGGGTTCACCTACTGCGTGCTGCGCCTACCGCACGTCTACGGAGAATATGACCCCGGCTATTTCGCGACGGGCATCTGTCTGGCGCGCGTCCACCAGGATATTCAGAAGGATCTGGAGCTGCTGTACACCAAGGACCTCAAGATCAACACCGTCTACGTCAAGGACGCTGCCGACGCCCTGTGGAAGGCTGCCGAGTGGAGAGCGAAGACCACTCCCGGAGAAAACCAGCCCATCGCCTTCAACGTGGTGGACCACGGAGACACGCGCCAGGAGCACATCGCCGAAGCGCTGTTGGACGTTCTCGGCATTAAAACCTCTTTCCTCGGCTCCCTGGCATCCCAGCTGGCCAAGATGAACCTCGACGACGTGCTGGACGACATGAACGAGGAGTGTCTGCAGGTCTGGGCTGAATTGATCGAGCAAGCGAAGATCGAGCGACCCGGACCCATTAGTCCCTTCCTGGAGAGGGATGTGCTCAAGGACCAGGACATGTCGATTGACGGTACATTGTTTGAAACGACAACCGGTTGGAAGCCCACTCGAGAGAGATTCAACGCGGACTCTGTACGGGCGATGGTAGAGAGCTACAAACGCATGGGCTGGTGGCCCTAACATCCTCTCTCTCCCAATAATTTCTATGCACCTTAATCCTCATGACTCGACCATCCTATGGATAGAGCTTGGATGGATATGCAACAGGAAAGTGAAAAGAAGAAAACAGTTGACAACAGAGTATGAGAGCGACCAATCATGACCACCCATTGACGAGCGCTGTTTATACCTCGACCGGACACGATTATTCCAATTTCTCATTGAAAAAAAGGGAAAAGAAACGCAACATCCCCAAAAACTTATAGATCGATTGATTGATCTCGACCTTTACCTGAGCACATAGACTGCACTGCATTCAACCCATGATCTCCTACCCTCTCATCACTCGGCATTGCCATTATCATCTCTCTCAACAGCCAATTCTCTCTCCTGCCTGTAATCTATAATCTTCTGGCTCTCAACTTTTACATCCCGTTCTCTCTTCCCTATCTGTGGTTGTCCATGAGCAACTGGTTTGTTCTATAACTCCATCTATGTTCCGCTTTTTGGATTTGATATCATTTGAAATAGCATTTTCGTTTTCATTTTCATTTGTCTTTCGTTTTTATCATGAACAACACACTGTTTTATATCATTCCAATTCATCTCATGTCCTTTCCATTCGACTCCCAGCTTTGGTTGTCATAGTGTTTCTTCCCCTCATACCTATGTCTCCATATGTATGAGGTGGACGTGTCTATTGCTTGATCTCTTGATCAACTACATGTATACATATGCGCAATTCTCCTGACTTCACTATTTACCTATCTTCTCATTTCCATGTGCAGCGTGCACATTACATCCCCAGCTCATATCTACATACAACGAGCCTGTTATCTATTGACTGTTCCTTCTTGGTTGCCCTGCTTGCTATGTTAGGAAAGTGTACATGTACATGCATACATATATGCCTGTTGTTTTCTCCTTAATTTTTTTTGAGATCCGGTTCGTGATTGCTCTTCTCTGCTTCTGTATTTTTGCATGGACGAGGATTGACAGGACTCGTTCGTTTCATCAAGCGATGGGTTTATCTTATTTTATGTATGCTATTATCTGGGTTAATTGATCATTAATCAAATCGAATCTAGTCAACTCATGCGACAGTCTACAAAAATGATTCATTCATGAGTTGTGTGAAAGTCGTGATATACAAAAAGTAGAACCTAATTTTCCATTTCATTCAGCCAGGAGATAATGGTTGTGCTAGAAAAGAGAAGTTCTGTATGATCCTGAAACCATGAGTCTCTGATTTTTGATCCCTATATCTTTTTAATTCATTTTTTGTCTCCTGGGTTAAATTTTCATTAAATATAGTATAGCCAGTGTTTTAAATGTAATGGAAAAGAAATTGAAATGATCTTGAACCAAAAAAGAACAAGATGAAGCAAAATACACACAGAAATGTTCTTTTCGAAGACCAAAGGCTGCGCCAGTCATATTGTATAGGTATGGTCTAAGCGTCTTTCGTATTTAGCTTTCCAATGTCGCATAGCGCCAAAGGATAAGTAAGAGCAGCACTGGTTGCGCTTATGCAAAATAGTGCTTGTCGAAGAAAGATGGAAAATCCAAACTTAGAAGGGAAAAAAAAAAAAAAAAAAAAAAAAAGGTAAAACAACCTGTCTACCATCCCCCCCAAAAAGCAGCAAAGAGCAAAGAAAAAATAAAGGAAATATATAGGAACAGATCGTGCAATAGTACAATTTCGAGCTGATTTCAGTCGTGTGTTCGTGAGATCGGGACGTTTAAAATTCCCAGTCCCCTTCAACGGACTTAATAGCCCAATCGAACTTCTCTCGCAAGGCCTTGGAGAAGAACTTCTCGATGGGGACATCGAATTTCTTGCTGAACACGACCGTAAGACGAGGATCAATGTAATTCTGCTTTGTATTAGTTCGTCTGTCGATCACGCAAAGACAGGAAAAGCAGGGGTGTCACTCACGATCTTGGAGGTTCCAAGGGCAACTTCCTTGTTGTCTTCCTTGTCCTGAGCCTGGAGCTCCATGTTCTCAATGCGCTGTTCCAGTTTCTGGATGGCGTTCTCCAATTTATCAACGGTGGGGCCCTTGCCCTCAGCTTCTACCTTGCCCGTCTTGTTCTCTTTGTTAAATTTCTTCTCCATCTCTTTCACGACATCCAGACGGTTTTCAAGTTCGCTTGCCTTCATCTCCTTCTCGCCGTCGGTAGCTAGTTTCTCATTATCCTTTTCAAATTTCTTGGTGATTTTCTGTCGTTGTTCTTCAACCAAGAAGGCCTGGTGTTCTTTGATCCATTCCTTGTCAATGTCCTCGTCCATCTCGAAGAACTTAGCACCCTTCTTTTTCTTGAGATTGGGTTCCAAGTCAAGCATCTGCTGCTTGAGACGCCATCTTTGGTAACGAAGACCTTTGATCTTTGAGCGAAGAGAAACAAGTCAGCGACCAACATCAATTCGGACAAGAAACAGGGCTTACCCTTTCACTCATTTTCTCCATTTGGCCGGCGTGGTTTGCCCCCACTGTCCTCTTGTGGTTGCAAAGGATGGCAACTTTGCGGTTGGCATCATTGTACGCCTTGACCTTCTCGGCATTGTTACCGGTCGCCTTCATGTCCTTGAGCAGAGTAGACATGGTATGAGAGGCGTTGTAGGTACGGAAGACCTTGGCGGTCAGTCCTTGCATGTAGACTGACAAATGCTTGTTAAGGGCGGAGGTCTTCGAAAGGGTCAGCATTCTGTGAGGTCAACCAGGCTGGAAGATGAGGTGATTGATCCTTACCGTCAATCGATCGAAAATTTCATCGCCCTCCTTCTTGGGTGCCTTCTTGAAGATTTTCAGGTTTTTGAACACCTGCGTGTCGACTTCGACTTCATCGTAAAATCGAATACTGTCTTTACCCAGGAAATCGAAAACGACCTTGTTTGGCGGCTTGAGGGTAACGTTCTCGTACTTCAGGGAACAGCAACCGACAGTTTCCGCCTCATCTTCGCCCTTTTCATTACCAGCTCGCAGGGCAAATTGATCAATGAGGTAGACAGCAGTCGCCTTCTGTCGCTCCACCATCAATTCGTGCTTGAGGTTCTTCTTGTAATCCTTGCGGATGCGATCGATGTGATGCTTCAACTCGCGGGCTTTCTCGAACTTCTTGAAATCACTTTGACCCTTCACATCGGAATTGGCTGCAAGCATGACGTATTTGTAATTGCCGTTGATGTTTTCTTGCCACATGGCAAGCCATGTTCCTTCTTGATCATGCTTGATTTCTTTCCACTGGTGACCCTCGGGAGGTGGAGGAACCGGCGCATTCTTTCCAATGTTGATGGTGATCTGCTCGGGCTGAACTCGAGACTTGACGCGGCCAGTCTTGGGATGCTCACCGCGCCCACGGAAAAGCGAAGGGGGTTCGACGCGGAAGTTGCCCACTTTTTGCTTGCGGCCATCCCAAATACAAAACATATAGGGTGCCTCTTCGACATCCTTCTCTGCTTTCAATCGCTTTTTCTCGGCTGGAGGAAGAGCCTTCTTCTCGGCACGCTTCGCATCGTAGTAGGCAAAGATCGGCTGGAAGTCACACTTGGCGAATTCCTTGATATCAACCTTGTTACCCTTGGAGTCCTTCGCACCGCCAGTTTTCTTGAGAATGTCTTTGAAATCCATGAAGAAGTTCTGTTGGAAAGTGGGATTTTCGACGTTCTGAGTCGAGTTCAGCATGGTTCCAAAGAAACCAGCCACCTCTTCCGCATCTGGATGGAGAGTGACTGGGACACCGTTGTATTTCAGCTTGACGTCCTTGGGAAGAGGCTCGTAGGGAGGAGGAAACACAACGCCGTTGTGCTCAAGGGTGTTCCACTTGACAGTGCCGTCACCCTTGGTGGGATCCTCCCACCAACGGTATTCCTCTTCCTCACCCTCCTCGGCTTCTTCAGTTTCCTCCTTTTTCACGCCCTTGGCTGGCGTTGCAGCAGTGCCTTTCTTCGCAGGAGTTGACTGCGCAGACTTGGGCTCAGCTTTGACCGGCTTTGCCGCTCCTTTTTTCGCGGCGGGTTTCTTTTCCTCACTAGCAGGCTCCCGCTTAACGCCGTTTGCCTGCTTCTTGGTGGCGGCCGCCGTCTTCGGAGCGGCCTTCGGGGTGGCTGGTTTGCGGCTGGGCTGGGCGGCCTTCTCGCCCTTCTGCTGGATTCGTTTCTTTTCCGAAGCGAGCTTTCTCTCGATGGGTACGTCGGAATCGGATTCTTCCCCGATAGCGGTCTCCGAGGCCTTGGGGAGTTTTCTTCCATTCAGGGCCAGGGGGACGTCTTCGTCCGATTCGGGATCTTCGTGTTTCACGGAGGTGCGACGGCGCTTGCTCTGTCGAATTGTCAGCCGCTGAAACAAAACAACGACGGGCGAGAACGTCGCAAATAGTTGGGGGAAAGGGAAGAACTAGCGCGGTGGGAGTTGGCGTACCAAGGGCTGATCCTCCTCGCTGCTTTCTGGTTCTGCATATGACTTCCTCTGGCCAACACTCGATCGGGACTTTCGCTTGCCGGCGTCGGCCTGGGGGTCGGCATCTTTCATGGCTACGTCGCCATCTTTCTGCACCGGTCCAAAACGAATAGACACGCCGGGGTCGACATGACCATTTGTCTCCGTCGCGTCGCCCATCGTAACGTCTTTAGAGGGACCTATAGTTGCAACAAGAGGAGGGTGTAAGTAGAGACGATTTGTTGAAAGTGATGTGGCGTAAAAAACAAGTAAACGGAGAAAACGAGAAGAAAAGTGAGAGAAAAAAGAGATCAAGGGCGTTGAAAGGTGGGTGCTATGAGGATGGGTTGGCGACAGCTGAGGTTGAGTGGGAGGAAAGCGATGCGAAATGGCTGGGAAAAGCAACGCACGAATGGGAGGAAATGGTCAGGAACGGGGAACTCACCAGAAGATCGACCATTCGCTTTCACAAGCGGGGTATCGTCTTCTGAAGAACTCATGGTTTGAGGGCGGTAGTAAATAGGGACGCGACGGACCAAGGAATGGGAGTGCAGGTAAGCCCGAGGTAAGAGAAAGGGACTCGAGATTGACCTGCCAAGTCTGAGGGAGAACAGAGCTGGCGCTTTCCGAATCGATGAGGTCAATGACAAGCTGACCAATGAGGAGGCTGAGAGGATGGCAGATGTCAAGGGAGACGCCGATGCATTGAGTGGAAGACGAAGGAAGAGGGGAGACAAGATGAGGGAAGGACGGTTGGAAGAGTGGGAAGTGGTGGAGTGAGCAAAAAGCAAGGAAAACAAAGACGGAGGACGAGGGAGAGAGAGAAGAGGAAAGAGAGAAAAGAGAAGGAATGGAATGGAAAACGAGGCCGTCGGGGTTGGGGCCTGAGGCGATCTTCACGTTTCTCCGGACCGTCAGTCAGCCACTCGCATCGCTGCCTCAGGCCGCGGGTTTTTTTCTCTTTTTTTTTTGTGGTTGCCGGTGGTTGCTGCCTGCATGCCTGGAGGCCGGGGAATTTCGGCCTGGGGGCCTTGATTTGTGCGTGTGTTGCGCACCGGGTCACTCCGCCCGGCCGGAGCCAAGACCCACCCGATCAGGACTAGCGTGGCTGGGAATCCCGTGCAGCCGGGAGTCGGAAGAACAGAAACAGGAGAGTTCGAACTCAACGTCTGTCTTCCCTTCGTAGAGCAGAGCACCGAGTGTTTGCCGCGGCCCCCCTCCCCTCTTCCGCTCCATCATCGTCATTTTTCTACCTTGACCCCCCTCGACCTTCCGAGTCATCCTCACTATGTTCTCTCGTGCTGTTCGTCCGGCCGTGAGGGCCGGCAGTGCTGCTGTGACCCGGTAAGTTCGTGATCCTCCGGTCGTCACCGTCCACACCGGATATCGCCTTTCCCACCCTCCCCCTCTCCCACACAGACGGCCAGCTCGACTCGCGACTTCCGCAAAGCATCTCGATCGATGATGAGAGTTTGGAAGGAGCGGCATGGTCAATTGCTAATTTTCTCGAAGCGCTGCGCCTCCCAATGCCGCCAACTTCGCGACCCTGCGTGAAATCGAGGGCCGTCTCAAGTCCATCAAGAACATCGAAAAGATCACCAACACCATGAAGGTCATTGCCTCGACCCGTCTCACCCGCGCCCAGAAGGCCATGGGTGACTCCCGGAACTACGGTCAGACCTCCAACACCGTCTTCGAGCAGGCCGAGACCAAGCCTCTTGACGACAAGAAGACTCTGCTCGTCGTCGCCAGCTCCGACAAGGGTCTTTGCGGTGGTATCCACTCCGGTCTGAGCAAGGCCACCCGCCGTGTTCTCCAGGAGTACCCTAACTCCGACATCGTTATTCTCGGCGACAAGGCCAAGGCCCAGCTGTCCCGTACCAACGCCAACAACCTGGTTCTCAGCTTCGCCAACGTCTGCAAGGACATCCCTACCTTCGCTGATGCCCAGGCCGTTGCCGACCAGATTGCTCTGCTGCCCACCGACTACGCCAGCGTTAAGATCATCTACAACAAGTTCGTTAACGCTCAGAGCTACGAGCCCACTACCATCGAGGCTTTCTCCGAGGAGGCCATCACCAACTCCGGTTAGTTTCTACATGGTGTAATATCATTGGATGCTTTGGATACTAAACAATACAAATAGCCAACATCTCTGCTTTTGAGGTTGACGACCAGGCTCTGACCAACCTCCGCGAATACTCCCTCGCCAACAACCTCTTCTGGGCTATGGCCGAGGGCCACGCTTGTGAGATTTCGGTAAGCTTTACATCAACCTACGTCCAATCACTATGGATGACAAGAGATCGCTAACTCAATGACAGGCTCGTCGTAACGCTATGGAGGCAAGTGCCTGTGTTTTGATTTTGATGGAGAGAGCTCCCGACTGACCGTAGTTTTTTTTTATTTTTTTTATACAGAACGCTTCCAAGAACGCCGGAGAGATGATCAACAAGTAAGAACCCTATCTTTTGAATTATGATTCCCAATACTAACCCTTTCCACAGGTTCCAGATTCTGTACAACCGTCAGCGTCAAGCCGCCATTACCGGTGAACTGGTTGAGATTATCACTGGTGCCACCGCCAGTGCGGACATGTAAAAGCTGTTTCGATGCTTTTGTGGGAAGGAGTCACCATCTGTGTAGACTTACTTTTAAATACCTAGATTACCATCAGCCTGTAAATCAGTCTCTATATTTTTCTTTGTCTCAGGTTTTATCTCTTTTGAGTTCCAAGTAATGGACAATTTTGCAATGTTGTATGTCGTTGGTCCTCTTCCTTTGTTATGTTTTGTTATGTTCACAGATAGTACTAAATTCACTAGCACATTGAAGTGGCAGGCGCTTCACTGCATTGGTTTGAATGATCCAGATCTCTTCCTATGTTTCACTTCTGGAAGTGACTACTGGCTGCCTTAAATCCTTTCATTCCCTTCCAACCGTTTCCGTTGTCTTCACTGCGAACCCCATGAGCTTACGAGCGCGATGTTGACCTCCATTGAACAAGTCCAGTGGTCATGACGATTGCCCAATTGGGAATCAACAATGGCAACCCCCAACCTTTCTCTCCTTTCCCTCTCAGTCTTTTCTTCAAACACGTCCCTCTTCCCTTCTCACTCCTTCCCCCTCCCTAAATCTCTACTCCAGGGTTGGATTACACCCGGACACCGCTATTTGTACTGACAAACACTCCGTTTGTTTTCTCGGCCAACCACAAAATTCATACAAACGAACAGAACCAAGTTTACCGTCGCTACACCCAACAACACCCACCATGGCGACGGGATTCAAAAAACCCATCCACGACTGCTACGATATCCTGGGCGTTGCCACAAACGCAAGTTCCAAGGACATCAACAGCGCGTACAAGAGATTAGCTCTGAAGTACCACCCCGATAAAGCAAGTGGAAATGATGCCACGAACGATGAATTCCAGAAGGCAAGTGCATCCTGATCCTCAACCCTACTGTCTCTAGTTAAACATCAACCTCGCTTCATCTCCCCTCTTCCTTATCACTCACCTCATCCTCATATTCATGCCGATGATTGAAAACATGAATCCATCATTTCTCCCGCGTGATACTTACCACGGTATCCAACAGATTCAAGAAGCCGTTGAGATCCTCCGCGACCCTACCCGTCGCTTGAAACACGACCAAGAGCTCTCTCGCTTCAGACGTGTCGTCGTCGAAGAGTACACCGAGTATGACGCCTCCTACACCGGCTGGAGACCCCATAATCCCATGTGGCATGGCGTGCACAACCCAAGTGATCGGTACATGTACAGCTATGGCAACAGCGTGCACATGAACCCGAACTCTCCGGAGTCTCAAGAGGAAAAAGAGAGAGTGGAACATGAGAGGAGGCTTGGCGAGGAAATTAGAATGGAGCAGGAAGAAATAAGAATGAAGGAGGAAGAGGAGCGCTTCATGGCGAAGCAGAGATCTGAGGAGGAGGTGTTGAAGGAGGAGAGGCGTCGAAGGGCGATGAGGGCGAGAATAATAAGGGATGAAGAGTTAATGGCGGAGGGACACGCGCGTGATGATGATGATTCCCAGGAGAGCCATTCTGAAAGGGTGGCTCGTCCGGGTTACTCTACTAATTCTAGAGAATCGGGGTACGACGGCGGGGAATCTGACTTCTACCGGGGACAGCAGTATGTCCAAGAGGGAGAGTATTGCCGTCATCTCCACTGGGAATGCGGCGAGGGCTTTGCTGCGCACAACAATGCCCAAGACGACCTGCTCAACTTCCAAGACAGTGCATACGAAGACGTCGACCAAGCTAGTGGAAGCGAGTACGAAGACCATGAGTATTACGAGGAAGAGGAATCCTACGAAGACCACGATGCCGATGACAGCGCCTCCTCCAACCAGTCCACCCAACGGACTGCTACTGAATACAACACTGCATATCGGGAGCGAGACGATCTCAGCTCCGTCAATCTTACTGCGGACGAAAGCAAGCTCTCTGATTCTCAATATGAAACCGGCAGGGAAGATGCCTCAGAAGAAGACCCATTCTACTTTTCCTTCAGCGAGCATACCCAGTCCGTCAACGGCGGAGACACCTCCAGTCTCGATCAAGAGCAGCCCACTGTTTCAGAAGACAACTACATCAGGGTCGACACGGATCTACACTCGCAACTTGCCCCGTTCCTGCCGCTATTCGAGAGCAAATTGAACCACCCGAGTGGTCTGTACACACGAGCCGACATGCACTGCGAGCTGCGTGGCATCGTGATGGAGACATTCTGCGGTTGGCTTGAGAACCTGCGCTTGGGCTTCTCGGAAGCCGACATCGAGAGCACCTCCAGTCATCGCTTTGGTGATTTGCATGACACCTCGGAGACCTGCGATCATCTTGGATACTGGACCAAGGAATATGGACGTGACGAGTGCGAGTTGTGTCATCGGTGGAAGCCCATCTTTACGCTAACCTGCCCCAGTTGCGGTCTCAAGGCGTGTGTAGTCTGTAAATTTCGGTGCTGAAACTGTTCGATCTACCTTTCACTCAAGGAGGGGCCGAGAATATCGCGAATTGCAGGTTCTTTTTTGCTCATGAAGGGGGGTGGGGGGGCTTGGAGGCATACTAGTTATGATCTGATGTTACTGTTTCCGTTGGTCTTTACTGCTGACTTGTTGAAGATGGAAAGATATTTGGTTTTCTTTCTTAGTTTCTTTTTTTTTTTTCAAGACGAACATAGGGAAGGGAACGGACAGGACTCAATCATGTTCCAACAAGGAAGGTTAACGGCATTACGAAAAAAATAAAAAATAAAAAAATAAAAATAAAAATACGATTTCGGTAGCCTACATAATCCAGCGATTGACATGAATATCCCTTTGCCTACGTAGTAACGCACTGAACGATTTGCTGTGAACGTCAGCGTAAACTGCCTCTATAACAAGCTTTCTCGGTAGGCGTCCTTGAGCAGGTCTACACGCAGTGAAAATTAGATGACAAAGCTGATGACCAGGTAATCAAATCGATGGACCTCTTTTCCAACTAAACCGCAGGTACAGAATATCCAAAGGAGAGGGGACGTCCGAAGATAGGTAGCTGAATACCTAGCCCCCCCCTCAATAACCACCTAACGGTTATACCTTATACCCTCAATTCAAAAGCCAAATAATTCACTCACAACCCAATCTTACGTAGAAAAGCAGACCCATCCCATCCAACTAATCCTTCACCTCACCATGCTTCACTCCCACCTCAGCAACATTCATATTCGAACCCGCCAACCTTGCCAACGCATCATCCAGACCTATCTCGCGCGAGATCTCCACCTGACGCTCATAGTCCGAGACGGCGGTGCCCTCGGAACCAAAGATGACGTCCATTTCCTCGAGCGAGAGCTGCTTTGTCTCCGGGACTAGGAAGGCGATGAATAGCGCGCCGAGGAACGTGATCAGTCCGAAGAAGATGTACGTGCCGTAGGTGATGCCCGCGAGCATGTCGGGGGTGACTTGGCCGACGATGAAATTATTCATCCAGTCTGTTATGGGAAGTTAGAGATTTGATACTAGGGAATGTTGTTGGTTGTTGGTGCTCACTAGCAGAGGCACCCAAGGCCGTTCCTTTCGCCCGAGCACTCAAGGGCCAGATCTCAGCGATGATGATCCATGCACAAGGACCTGCAGATCCATTAGTAAATGAACAAGTCCTCTCTCTGATTCTATAAGCTTGACATACCCCAGGAATAACCAAAATGGACAACAAATAGCCACACCATAGCGACAGCAGCCCAGCCGGCGGCTTTATGCGACTCCCACTGATTCTCGTTCTGGCCGAAGATGCCGGCGATGATGAAGTGACAGGATGCCATGCCGATAGCACCGGTGATCAAGACTGGCTTGCGACCTAGTCTGTCAATCCAGATGACGGCGGGGATCTTTATTCAATTTAGTAAAAAAGTAGGTTTCCCGGGGATGTATCCTTTGAACATCTTGGTCTTACTGTTGCGATAAACATGGCGATGCCGACGACTCCGGTAGCTAATAGCGAGGTTGTATTGTTGCTCATACCGAGTTGTGCAAAGATAGAGGGTGCATAGTATAAGACGGCATTGACTCCGGTCCATTGCTAGAACCTCCCCATTAGCCTAAGAGTTGTTGAAGTTGAGCAAGAAAACGAATTTACCTGAAATGTCATGGTGACTATATAACACAGGTCAAAAAAGGATTCAACAAAGTCTTTCAATAGATAAACCAGCTCAAACACATACCGGTAGCGACCATCACACGTCTAAACATCGGCCAACTCGTGAAAAGGCTTGCAAAACCTGCAGCTTCCAACTTTACATAGCTCCAAGTATTAGTCCTCTCTAGATGTGGAAATTTTTCCTTCTCCGTTCGCTTTTCAAAGAGACTCTGGGCTTTGATTTCAAGGAACTCCATCTGCAGGAGCGGGTCGTCTTCGGGGAGGCCACGCAGGCTAGTCAGGACCTTCTTTGCCTCTTCTTCCCTATCATGGTGGACAAGCCATCGGGGCGAGAAGGGCATGAAAATCATACCGATGCCAAGGATGGCAGCCGGTACTAGTTGTAGGGCCAGAGGTAAAAGCCATGCAGCATCTTTCTGGCCAGGTCCGGTGCCGCCGATGTGGTTTGTTCCGTAGTTGATCCTAGAAAGTGTTATTATGTTGCAACACTGAGGAGAGGGACGAGGTAAGTACCAGAAAGAAACCTGCCACGGAACTAATCAGCCACTGTGTGTTGTAATGAGACTGCGATAGCACTTACCATGATTCCGAAAGTGATCGCAAGTTGCTGCAACGCCACCAGAGACCCTCTGACTTCTGGTGGAGCAATCTTCCAAACTTTAGATGTGACACTGAGAATATTGCAAAAGAAATCTTACCTCTGCATTGTACATGGGCACGCTCGTGGATAAACTGAGATGCGCAGTCAGCTGGAAAAACTGCCAAAAGGCGCTGTAAATGGCTTGGTATTACCTTCCTACCCCCATACCTGTGATAAACCGACCTCCTAGAATATTCGAAGAGTTTCCATCATTCGCAGCCGCAGTGGTCTGGACTATCACTCCAATGCAGAATATGCCGACATTCAAAAGGATCGTGTTCTTGCGCGAGATTCGCTCGCAGAGGATGCCGGAATACAGGGCACCGAACCAGGCACCGAGTTCGAGGATAGCTATTCCACGCCTTTAGTATCCTGTCGGTGACCGAAGAGTGTTCTCCGAGTTGTACCTGTCAACCACCCTTTCTTGGTCTCATTTGTAACAGCCTCTCCCATCTAGAGATACTGATTAGACGAAATGCGACAATCGGAACATTGGGAGGCTGTACGTGTTCTTCAAAGGAGTACATCACCACTATTAAAATCGACTGTTAGCTTGGAACAAGAAGATTTGCACCTGCGCAAGGTCATTTAACTTACAGACACCAGAAAAGACGCCCTTCACGTCACAAATGCCCATTAGCTGCGAACCCCAGAATACAATGCTTCTCCTACCTGGTTATACCCATAGAGAAGACTGCCACTATCATTAGCACGAATAATCATATACAGACAAGGACATGTCACTTTACCCTCCAAGGCAAGCAAACATAGCGACACCAAAAACCTTCCGATTTTGTACCAAGCCTGCAAAACCCGAGGGACTTCGAAGTGTTGCTTTGCGAATCTGCGCCGCGGCATCCATTGCCGCTGAAGTATCAGCGCCGCCCATTTTGCGAGAATCCGACCAAAGATTATTTCCAGATGTAGTATTGAAGCTTCCAGCACGGAGACAATCACGGAGGGTCAAGAGTCGGAAACAATTGCAAACGGCGTAAGAAAGGAGACACGCGAAGGAAGATCAGCAGGACTACATTTTGGCTATTCAATTCTTCCGCATGATGTAACTGAGGATGCTGTAACTTGAATTTATCCCGTAGCGACATGTACTATCAGTAGCAAAGACACGCGCTCGGACACAAATAGGTCAAGCCATTGTCTAGAAGTGGCGTGTGGAATGACAACCTGCAGCGCTATATTGGTATTTGATTACCAGAAAACCTAAGCCGTGGGCGCCAATTGGCTCATAAAACACACCGGATATATGATTCGGTTGAATGACCGGCTAATATGCTTCTAAAAGTATTGGATATGGCCCCGGGATGGTCTGGGGATTGCTGACAGACAGGAAGGAAAGACTAGCCTGAAACCGACGAACTCTCGACCTAGGCACGAGAACTAAATCGTTCACAGCGAAAAGAGTCAGCATATCATTCTCTGCCAAGGCTTGGATGAGGAGTCGAGACCAGAAGCGCCAATAAATACGAGTTCTGCTTATTGTCCAGGCCTCGGCGTCCGCAGCACTTCCTTACCCCATCCGAGCTTTTCGTCCTGCGCGGGGGAAGAATGTAGAGACTATGGCTGTGTAAAAAGTTATTATTAAGGAGAATGCTTGTCTTGCGCCGATTATCAGGTGGCGCTGATTTTCAAGGCACAAAATAATGGGATATGTTTAACCAAATGGAATTGTCCGACGTTGTTAGGGATGTGTAGAATACATGAGAGAATGCCATGCTGCATATATAAGTTTATAAAAATGCATTAATCGAAACGAAATATCACAAACGATCAACATATATAGGCAACTGAGCAGAATCGTGGCTTAGTGGAAGCTATGCTGAGCTTTAAGAAAACACATATAGTGGTGTTTTCTGGCGTGACCATCGTTACGACATGAATCCTGTAGATCCAACGAGATAGCTTATCGATCAAACCTGTAGACAACAAGCTCGCAATTCCCATTCTCTCCGACCAGATAATGTTCATTCCCGTGAATCTTGCCTCTTCCCACAAGCTCGAAGACTTCGTCCTGCTTGAGGGTAAGAGTGGATGTTGGTGTCCGAATGGTAAGAAACATATTCAAATCGAAGGGCCACGTAATCGGCGACAAATGGAGGCAAAAGCCAACCTGTGCCTCCTCATCAAGCACCTCGGAAACAATGGCATACCAAGGCTCGTCACAGACGGCAAACGTGAGCGGCTTGGTCTGGAGACTGCTATTCCCGCGATAAGGAGGCAGCGTCGGGTCGGCATAGCGCCTCCAACAGGGCCCGTTCCCAATGATAGGAAGGCTGGTGACTTGCACTTCCGAAGTCCACTCGGCCGGCCCAACAAGCCGGTCCATCGGCCCCGTGCAATGGTTTTCCACAATCTCAATTGACCGATCATCATCGGTTATATTTAGGGACTGTATGCCAGGAAGCCCCCGTTGCCTAACGGAATGGAAGCCCAACTCCCTAAATCCAAACCGGGTGATGATAGAGGGGCTATCACCTTCCCCGTCCTGTCGCAGACGTCCAAAAGGATCCAAAGATGGTCTATAGCTCGATGGTTTGGAAATGTCCCAAACGGACAGCGACTCAATGGGAGCATCCTCATCCGCCGTGTACAAACTGCGATTGGGTTGCCAGATGTAGATTGCGTAATGCGTTTGGCTGTGGGAGGAATAGAACCTATCCCTCTCGCTCAACGGATGACCAAGGAACATGATCTTCCATTCGTTCCGGAAAGTGACCGACCAGCCGCTCGACGTCTTGTTGATATCAAACGACGACGCAAAATGGCGGTGGACCCCGTCACTGTCATTCAACCAGTGAAAAGCCTTGGGTTCCGCCCACTCGACGACGAGGAGTCTCTTTTGTAATCGAATCCTGCGCATGACCTTGCCGGTGATCATAAAAGGAACCATGAATTTCCGATCGCTCTTCAAATCCAGGAGGGCCAGGGCCGAGTGATCCGCGCTGGGGTAGACCACAAGGCCATCTTCATACGTCCAAAATGGTTCCAAAAAGGGACAATCGACACGCTGCATTAGATGGCTGGAGTGCATATCCCACGGCTGCACGGGAAACCATTCCCTGTCTCCGGAGCTGCCGAAATCCTCGCAGAGCTTGAATTTCTGCACCGACCGAGGCTTGCCGCGCTCGAGGTGGTCATACCTCGCAGCAATCCGGTCGAAGAGTCTGCGCCAGTGTTTGTTCTCTTCTGCCGTGGCCAGAGTTGGACTCGATCTGCCATCGTCGTGGAGTGCCCTGACTTCTTTGGCTAGTGGGAAATAGTCCTTCAGCACGGGAATCAGATTTGCGGAGTTACCGAACGCCACATTCCATGACTGCGACACTAGACGGCAACGCACAATGTCCCTGGGGCGAAGATGGCTCAAGACCATCCAAAAGATTTCTCGCGGCAATTGGGCCATGCCCGGCCGTCCAGGGTCTTGAGATCCTGGCATACCAGCCGCGGCAGACTCCACTGACATGACGAATGTGGGGGTTGCCCAACGAGCTGCTTGTTGATGGTTCAGGAACAGGATTGATGATAAGTACACGAAAAGCTATTACCGCTCATTTTCAAAGTGTTTTCGAAGAGAGCGTTAGACTTATTAAACGGACATTGGGAGATGGGCATGCCCAGCGCCTTCCTGGAGTACTCCGTAAAAAAACTGGGGGTGGAAAGCGTGGCATGCGGAACAAACAAGAAAGAACAAGAGGGAAGAAGGAAGTTGCATCATGGCGCAGGGTCACATGCCAAGAGCTTCAGGACACCTTGCGGAATTTCCCCCTCCCACCTTCTACTTTTCTCTTTATATTCTCCAGCTTCGGTCCTGCTTAGCTTCTCCATTCTCTCCCCCGCATCCAGAAGCTGAAGGGCCGATTCAATTTTCATCACGATGCTGCAACCTGGTTCCGCGCTTCTCGTCGTCGCGTCGCTTCTTGCGGCCCTCCCAGCTGTCAGCGCAGACGGCCTCTACACTCAGAGATCCCCCGTGTTGCAGATCAACAACAAGAACTATGACCAGCTGATCGCTAACTCCAACTACACCTCGGTAAGATAATGCCATTGAAAACTACCGTTGCAGAAGACGAGCTAACCGCGCTTCTCAGATCCTAGAGTAAGCCCACCCTTCCCGTGCCCTTTTGACTTCCTTCCAGCTTCTAAACAAACTTCCCATTGCGATAGATTCTACGCCCCCTGGTGTGGTCACTGCCAGAACCTGAAACCTGCCTATGAGAAGGCAGCAAAGAACTTGGACGGATTGGCCAAAGTCGCCGCCATAAATTGTGACGATGATGACAACAAGCCTTTGTGCGGCCGCATGGGTGTGCAGGGCTTCCCGACGATCAAAATCGTGAGTCCTGGGAAGAAACCTGGTAAGCCCAGAGTGGAGGATTACCAGGGCCAGCGAAGCGCCAAAGCCATTGTCAATGCGGTGGTGGAAAAGATCCCGAATCATGTGAAGAAGGTGACGGACAAAGACTTGGAGTCCTGGTTGTCCAAGGAGAAGGAGTCTCCTAAGGCCATTCTGTTCACTGAAAAGGGAACAATAAGTCCTTTGATCCGCTCTGTCGCCATTGAATTCCTTGGTTCCATCAACGTGGCCCAGATCCGTAACAACCAGGCTGCAGCGGTGGAGAAATTTGGCATTGAAAGTTTTCCCGCTGTCGTTCTCATCCCTGGGGATGAAAAGAATCACATTGTCTACGATGGCGAGTTGAAGAAGCAGCCACTGGTTGAATTTCTCAGCCAGGTTGCGGCTCCTAACCCGGACCCAGCACCCAAAGCTCCGGGCAAATCGCCTAAATCACTCAAGTCCAAGACCCAGGCGGAAAAGACCAAGCCCACCGAGACTTCAGAGCCTGAGGTTGTTGCGGAGGAGGCCAAGGAGTCTCAACCTGCAAAGGCCTCGCCCCAGGCACCTGCCATTGACGGACTTGTCACCGCTGATGCATTGGTGTCTGCTTGCTTGTTGCCGAAGTCGGGTACTTGTGTCCTGGCACTTCTCCCAGAACCTACTGACTCCGATGTCGAGCTTTCTGATTCTTCTAAGAAGGCTCTGACTAGCATGTCAGAAATCGCACACAAGCACGTGCAACGACAAAGCAGACTCTTCCCGTTCTACAGCGTCCCGGCCAACAACGAGGGCGCTAAAGCATTGCGTACTGGGCTCGAACTGTCCCAAGATGGCAGTTCGATTGAGATCATTGCCATCAACGGACGTAGAGGTTGGTGGAGACATTACGATCCCTCGGAAAATGCCGACTACGAGCTAGCACGCGTAGAGGCCTGGATTGACGCCATCAAATTGGGTGAGGGGTCCAAGAGCAAGTTGCCCGAAGGTATTGTTAGGAGCGAGGATGAGAACGAAGAACACGATGAACTGTAGGTTGTGCTTGGGACTCATTTTCCCCTTGTACATCAGCCCAGGCGATTGGCCAGAGTTATTTGTTAGTTGTTTTGTATCATTGCATGAGGATCTCGCACTCGCATCACAAGCCATTCTTATACCAAATCGAGCGGGGTGAATATCTGATTACCGATTGAAACTTTCTTTTCATAATGGAATGAAATCAACGATTAAGCATATATACAATAAGACATGTAGAACGTCACCGGACCGACAAGAGAAGTCCAGCCAAGAAAATCTTTTATATCGAACCCATAAAAAAACCAGAGAACACCATCTTAACAATATGCAAATTCAACACGCTTGCGCTTTGCCTTGTTTTTACATTTTGATATGCCAATAGGCCAGATCATCTAGTTCTTTCCTTTCCGTCCTTCCGTCCCCTTCTTGATGATCTTCTGTCTTTTCGAGTCGACCTCCTGGTCGTAGATCTCGCGCGCTGACTCGCCCTTCTTGCGCTTGCTCTGCTTCGTCGACTTGACGCTGACGGTGGAGGCTCCACCGCCGCGGATTTGCTTCTCGGCGTCTTCCCACGCGGCACCGCCGTTGTCAATTGCGTATCTGGAGGCTAGAAATCAGTTATTGTTCATTCGGGAGATTTGAGCTTGAGGCTAGTGTCTCGTTTTGCTTCACTCTTTCGCCCACTCGAACGTTTTCAGGAATCGGAAGTCGGATGGGGTGGGAGTAGTATCTTACTGGTCCAAAGGCAAAGCATCGATCAAGGCTCTTTGCTTCTCACGCAGTTCATCATCGACCTGTTTACCACCTTCACGGAGCTCGTCGTCCAGGCTCTGCTCGAGCGGCTTGAAGCGGTCGTCGACGACCTCGTCATGAGCTTCGGCGGAGGCGTGCGTGACGGGGACTTTCTCGGCGGGCATAGATTCGGCGACGGCGCCTTCGACGATGGAGCGGAATTGCGTGGACATCTTACGCATGACCTTGAGGAACATGGCCAGGAGTTGAGACGAAGGCACGCTCAATTCCTTCTCGAGCTGGTCCATGGACTTACGCTGCAGGCCGATGGCGAGCAGGGTGGATGTCTGGATGCCGGAAAGACTGACGCGGTTGTTGAGGAGGCCGGAGAAGTAGAATTCGGCGATGGTGGGGACCATGTCGAGGATGACGTGGTAGTCGAGCAGGTTGTTCGCGTAGCTGTCGAGACGCTTGAGGTCGAAGGGCGAGAAGGCGCTGTCGAGGTTGGATTTAAACAGGGGCGGCGGAACGACGGAGTCGAGTTTGGCGCCGGCGTTGGCGGATTCGCAGATGCTCAGCGAAAGGACGGAGGGGAACTCCCGGAACTGATACGACAGCAGAGCGAGGAAACGCTTGTGGAAGTCGCGAGCGAAAGCACCAAGCCAGGCTGCGTCGTTGGCACCCGTGGACAGCGTGCGCAGCATCACGCACGAGTGTTCGCCGGTCAGTTCGTTAGGCGTTTGGCGGAGGTATACGGGGACGAAGGCAGAGCGCTTCCAGAACTTGTGCAGGGACGGGGTCAAGCCGTAGCTGACACCGAGGTAATCAAGGTGATCCGGGCGACACTCGGATAACTTGGCAAACAAGGGGGGCATCGATCGGATGTCCCGAACATGCACGTTGTCGTCCAGAAGGTTGGAGTTCGTCAGTTCCTCGTCGGTCACCCGGACCATCTGCTCTTGCGGCTTGATGTTGTCCTCGGAAAGGTCGGTGAATTTGCCCTCGTAGAAGTCGGTGAGCAACTCAAGAGCCCGAGATCCATAGCCCATGTTCAAATACTCAGGGTTGGTTGCGATGCGAACAACTCTGGCACCGGAGAGACCAGCGAAATCTTCGTCTTGGTACTGCTGGCTGACAAGCCACGGGATTAGATCACCTCCAGCACGCTGTCCACGACTCAAGCTGTTGAGAACGCTTTGTCGGCTAATGCGGCCTTCCAGAGAGACCTGGATGACACAAAGAGGCTCAGGGAGCTTGGCGGCATTCTCGTCGATTGGCGGGACGAGAACGTAGAGCTGGTGGGCCGGCGCATCACTCATAAGCTGAAGATCATTAGGGGTGTTCTTGTAGTGACTGGCAACGTAAAGGGCCATCATTTGCTGGAGGAACTTTTCAGAAACGGGGTGGAACGAGAACAGTGTGTCCCGGTTGACCTGAAGGAGCTGGCATTGCGAAGGGTGAGGACAGCCCTGAGTGTTCATTTTGGACTTGGGCAGGGTTGCATCGAGACACAGGACCTTGTTCAGCCACTTCTCAACCGAATCGCCGGCAGCATATCTGATGGGTTCCGACAAAGTGATCTCCCGTAGGGTACGTGCACCCAGGGTCTTGCCAGAGTCCTTGGAGGCCTTTCCAGTGGCGCGATCAGCAACGTCGATCTCCTCCTGACCACTGGCCTTGAGACCTCCCCGAGACTGTTCACGAAGCTGCTGGATCAACTTCAGGGAGAGGGATCGACCGGTTCCCTCATAACCGTTGATGGTCGATGCCATGAACACGAGATAAGGACCCATCAGTTTGCGGACGAGAGGCAGAGGGATAGCAGCCGCCTCATCAATAACCAGAAGTTCGGCCTGTCCCAGCACGTGGGCATCTTGGGGCTGGATATACTGGATGGTCTGGCGATGCTGACGATGGATGTTGACTCTGACGATGGCCTTGTTGAAGTCGGGGTTGGTCGACTGAAGAATGGTATAGTCGACGTGGTCCATGTAGCCAAGAGAATCAAATCCTTTGAAGACAAATTCGAACAGGGTCTTCAAGTTCTCGGGGCTTGGCGATGTGATAAAGATGTTGCTATAGCCATGGGCGACGGCAGCCGCAATGGCGACACCGAGAGCGGCAGATTTTCCGCGACCTCTCGCTGCAGTCAAAGCAACGGTACTCCGCAGGGTCTTCTCTGCAATCGCGTCAACAAACGTCAAGAGCGATTTGGCCTGATCAACAGTGCGAGCGAGATTGACCAAAGGTCCGATCAACTGAGTCTCCGCGAGACTTTCCTTGATCTCCTTCAATTCCTTCTTTGTAGCGGTATTGTTCGGATCGGTAGACTGGACGGGCGGCAGTGCCTTGACATTTTTACCTCCAGAAATTGGCAGCACATTCATCTCGTCGTCGATCACCAAGCATGAGTCGCAGCTACCCAGGGAAAGAATAAATCGTTCGTTAAATCGTGCGGTCACGTCATCGTGTGCTTCGGTGCGGTATCGCGAGTGGATATCCATCGACAGCGTATACAACTGCTTCAAGCTGTTCATGCTCTTCAGCAGCAACAACACAATACCACCACCTTCGACGGTTTCAACGGTTCGGGCGAGTAGGTTTGGCGTCATGGCTTCGAAATCCTGCAAGATACACATCCCGTAGGTGTTTCCCAGAATCTTCTCCGTTTCCTTGTAGTACACATATCGGATCTGGTTGAGGGTGACGAACAGTTCGAACGGGTCTTCGGAGTTGGGCTCTCTGATGCCTCTCTTGACTTCCTTTTTGATTTTGGCCTCCCGCTTCTTGCGATGACTGGTGAAACCCAGGAGATCCTTCTTATAGGCCCACAACACCGACTTGTTCTGCTTGACATCAATGCTGGACATCAGGTAATGCAAATTGACAATCACATCCTTTGCGCGATCGCCGACGACGACAAAAAAGCTTCGCTTCTTTTCCTGGACGCCATTTTTGATGAGCGTCGGAATGCGCGAGTCAATAGCCTTGCGCGGCATAATGTCCACGGAATCGCCTCCTTTACCGGTGTCCGAGAAAGTGAGGGGGAATGGCTGAAGCTGGTCACAGAGACTTTCTTGACCTCCGCAGGCATTTCTGCGCCGATTAAAAAAAAAAGTCATTGGCATTCCGCACTGCCCTGTCTCACCGCCTGCCTGGAATGACACCGCCCAGAAAGCCGACCGGCACGTGCAGCCCGATGCCGCTACGCCTAAACTGGAAAGGCGTTGTCTGGCATGATGCTTAGGTAATCTCTCGTCGGTGAGGAATGCTGGTGCCTGAGGCCTATAATGCCTGCATGACGCCCGGCGGGTTCAACTCGCATTCGAAGCTTCCGACTTCTTTCATCGTCTCGTTCGTCGACACCAAGAGTAACATTCCATCTGCATTCAACTGATCTCAGTATCTACACTAATCTTCTTTTTCGGATTGATACTTGCACTCCTTCATGGCTCTAATCTCTAAGCAACGACTCCGTGCCATCCTTGGAAAGCCGAAAGACACTGTACCTCTGTCCTCTGTCCTCTGGACCCTGAACGACGCTAAAGAGCTTAATTCGCTTAAGTTTAACAGGTTCTCAGTTGTTCGCCCCCACGCTGTACGCAGCTAACCCGCCCAAACTGCCTTGATGTCAGCGGCATCCCGACAGGCATTTATTGGAGGTTTCGTGGTTTCGAAGCATCATCGGGTCTCTATGTCGCCGTCGGGAAATTATGCCGATCCATATCCAGCGTGGCGTCTGTCACACCAACAAGACTGATCTTCATCGACTTTCCTGTTGGAAGTATTTTCAGGCCAACGGTCCAAGCTTGCCAGCGAGCGGCGCGACCATGGTCCACGCGGGCTCGTTGACGCAATCCGGTTCTATCGAGAAATGACTCGCTCTTTGATCGCTCTTGATTTGTTTTTTAACTCAATTTAATTTTTAATTTCTTTCTTTTTTCTTTATCTTCTTTCCCCCGCCGCGAGAATTAACTCTCCGCCTCACCCTTTCCCGTCCCCCTTTGAGGTTCTCCACTCAACGAACCCTTTTCTCTTCCTTTCCCCTCCTCCTAGGCACCAGCCTCCCCGAAATCCCTTGCTGGAAATCATTTGCTCGTTCGCCTGCAGTGCCTGGCCCTGCACGACGTTAGTTGACTACATGCAATAATGCCGTGAAATTCTCCTATCTTGTAATTGGGTTTGCGATGCTTTGTTTCTCTCCTGAGTTAGGCCTTCGAGCCTCAATCGGGTAGGTTATGAGTTATGGATGCGTGCTTGCTCAAACAAGCTTGCTGACCGGGTTGTCTAGGGTATTTTTATTAAGCTGCACATTTTTATCAACGACTTATACGACTACATTTGCCTTTGGTAAGTCATATTGAAGAAATAAAATAGACACCTAGACCTGGCAATACCGCGCGCAAGTGCGACATGGAGTCATTCTGGCTCGGTGGAATACACTTGCACGGTCTTCAAAGTGTTACGCGACTGACAGAAATTGATTAAATAGATCATCCTTTAAGTTCGGCCGTGCTGGCATGCTTCCTCGCAGGAATCGCTCTCTTGATCACGAGCAGGTTCATCTCCTATATACCAAAAGTACCCTCAACGTCGCACAAGTACTCCGCCATTCCACTCACAGAACGCGACCAAACGTCTGGAGAGGTTCCGTCATCGCCCATTAGCCTCGGCGGTGACCCCCCTGGTGCAACCACACGACATTCCGTTAATTGGATTAAAATCGCCGTGGTTTCCAGCATCGGTTGCCTGCGGATTGCGCTTTATCGGCAGTTCGCTTTCAAACCTGAATGCGCGCCTACGGGATATGCAGTAAGCGTATTGATCTTCAGGTCTCGGAGAGACAAATACTGATAAGCGCCAAATTTTGATGTAGTATACAATCCCGTTTCTTGTCGCATTTTACGACTTTTGGCGCAATCAACGTGGTCAATCGGTTCTCAAACCCACCACTTCGGATCTCCCTTCAACCAAATCTCTCCGTGTCATAGTGCTTGTTGCTAGCCGCACCTATCACCTCCTGTGTCGAAGTCGTCTAAGATATGTCATATCAGCCCTATTCCTCACGACGGGAGGGTATCTGTTATCTACTTTCAAAGATGGCTTGCAGTCGACCTATGTGTGCCCAACCGTTTCTGGCCAGCATTCGCGATTGCAGGCTTTTAGTGTAGTCAACACTATTCTGGACACGCTTATTGTAATTAGCGCTGCTGAGTTATCCCGGGAGATGACTCGACACCGAGACGCACTGAGGAAGCAAGCCCTTGCGTCATGGGGCTACAGCTTACTCGTGAGTTTCTCGCCGCATTGGCTGATGAACGTTCTACGAGTCGCGGTAAACTAACTTGTATCGCCTGTAGGGAGTCGCTGTGTTCTGGACGGTGACGGGTCTGATATTGAAAGCTGCAATCTCTACAGATGATGCCGGTTTTGTCACTTCCCACTACCTGAGAAGCTCGGTGGGACAAGGGCTCTTGGTGACTTGTGCACTTGTCTCGGCGTCTCACATAGTAAGTGCTGCCGGCTGTCTTGGTTTATGCTCAGGTGCTCACCAATCAGATTCCTTATTATGGGGCCGTTGGACTCTGCATGCTCGGCGGCTTCGTCCTAGTATTTTTCTCTTGGAGTTCGGTACTTTTCAATGGACAAGAACCTTTCCCGCCCATACTCGCTTCCAGCGCTTTCGTTGCTTTACTTTTTGCGTTCATCGGAGCTGTCGAGTACCTCTTTTCTCGGACAGCTTCTGAGGACGAGCCGGATTTCTTATATAGGTTCAACTTGTTTCTGCGGGTTCTCTTCTCTTGCTTATTTGGCATCGGGCTGATCTTAGTCGCTCACCAACCCGAGCTGGTCAAACTCCATCCAATAGACCTGCTTGTCTACGATGCCAGAGCGCATCATGACAACTGGGCTAAAGCAGCCCACAGCAGCAACAATTTGACACAAGCCGTTGAGCAGTACCATGTGAAATACAATCAACATCCACCACCGTGAGTCTTGGAGCAAGTGACATCTCAGAAAGTATATTGACACTAATGTTTACACAGAGGGTTTGATAAATGGTATGAGTATGCTACAAACAGGTCCTCGGTCGTCATCGACGAATTTGATCAAATTTACTCCAATCTTCTACCTTTCCGCGGCTTGCCACCGCAGAAAATTCGCGAAATGACCCAGAAGCTAGCCACAAACCCCTATAATGAAGTAGGGGCAGTCAGCATTCGCAATGGCTCCGCTAGGGTCCAGGAGGGTATCAAGCCGACGCATGCGTGGATGGTTAGTAGCGCGGCCAAGATGATGGAGAACTTCGCCCAGTACCTCCCAGATATGGACGTGGTGTTCAACTTGAACGACGAGCCTCGAATTGCGGTGCCTTGGGAGAAAGTGTCAGTCTTGAAAGATCAGGCCAGATCGCAAGCATTCCCCCCTACCGAAAGTGTAGTAAAGGAGTGGTCGGCAGACCGTGCGAAGAAATGGAACCCAATAGAACCAGCCGACCAAACAACGGAGACCATGTTCACCGACAGCTCCTTCAAAAACATCTTCGACCGCTACGCCAGCCTTGTGTGCCCGCCATCCTCGAGGGCTCGCTCTCAGCGAATCTGGGATCGACACAGCTTATGCTTGGGATGCACACGCCCTCACTCCATTGGTCAATTTCCTTCGGACTGGAACTTTGCCTCCGATATCTGTCACCAGCCAGATCTTGCCTATCTCCACGGGTTTCTCATCTCACCGGCCTCGTTCAAAGTCACCCAGGAGCTTACCCCACTGTTCAGCCAGAGCTCGATCTCCGGTTTCAACGACATCATGTTCCCAAGCCCATGGAACTACGTCGATAAGATCAAATATGAGCCCTCAGATGACCACCTGGATCTAAACTATACTGACAAAACCAACGATCTATTCTGGATCGGCAGCACGTCGGAGGGCGTGAGCCGCAACGGCGAGTGGCAGGGCATGCCGCGGCAGCGCCTAACTCACCTTGTCAATAAAAACATCTATAACAAGGTCTCCGTCCTCCTGCCCGCAAACGACTCCCAAACCTTCTCCTACCAAGTCCTCGACGGCCGCGCTCCCACCGAAACCCTCGGACTCAACACCACAGTCCATCTCAGCAACGTCATCCGATGCCGCAACGACTGCGAAGAACAAAAGGAAGAACTCGGCATGTCCCCGTCCGTCGATTTCCAAAGCCACTGGGAACATCGGTATCTCTTCGACGCCGACGGCGCCGGTTTCAGCGGCCGCTTCCTTCCCTTCCTGCAGAGCCACAGTCTGCCGTTTAAATCCGGTCTCTTCCGTCAATGGTTCGACTCGCGACTCTCCCCGTGGCTTCACTTCGTCCCTGTCGACCTCCGTCTGCACGGTCTCTGGAGCACCCTAGCCTACTTCGCCGGTGTGGATGCCTCTACCAACGAGGGCGGGTCCAAATTCCCCATGGAACGACACGACGTCGAGGGCCAGTGGATCGCCGAAGAGGGACGCAAGTGGGCCGAGAAAGCGTTGCGGAAGGAAGACATGGAGATCTATTTCTTCCGTTTACTTCTGGAATGGGGTCGTATTACAGATGACCAGAGAGATGTTCTTGGATATATACCGTAAATTTCTTTTCTTTTTGTTCGTTTCCGTTTTTTATATGTTGTTCTTGTGGATGGCGCATAGGACAGGATAGAAAGGTCCTTGTGGTTGATTGATCCAGTTATATTATGTCTTTATCATTGGCGCGAAGGATATCTGTCGTCGTGTCTTTGTCTGTCTGCGTGTGCATGTGTATTTGTTTATTGCTGTCATGATGAGATAATGTGTACCTATGTAATTATATAGACGTCTTGCAATAACGATAACCCTTTTTAGTGTTTTATTCTACGGTACCAAATTAGTTTCGCGAAAGACTCTTCCACTTAGAAAATAAGCCATCTCCAACGAATATATAATTCAACCGAAAGAAATAAAGAGGGTATAGTATATAAATAGAAAATTATAACCAATTGAAATCGTATATGTATAGCCAATCAAGCCCATCAATCCCTAGCTCCATTTCCTTTCCATCTAAATCAAACCCTTAATTCCCTAAACGAAGCTCAATATAGCGAGTGACCTTTCTACGCATGAGCATGTCCATGACCATGACCATGGGTGTGGCCTCTGCGGTTCCTCCGCACAAAGGAAGGAGCAGGAGTACCGCTAGGGGCCGGAGTGAACGAAGGAACGGGGAAACTGCTCGGGGCCGGAGTCGACAGGACGTTGTTAGCGACGGCGTCGCCGGACTGGTAGACCTTGAGGGAGTTGATGGTCCAGAAGGCGTCGGTGAAGGCGGAGGGGTTGTTGGCCACGAAGTCCTGGCAGGAGTTGGCCTGGGAGGAGCAGGAGCTGGTACCCCAGGTGTTGCCGGCCCAGTCGCCGCAGAAGGTGGTGTCGAAGACCTGTGTGGAAGGGGTTTGGTTAGTTCGTCTTTTGGTGGCTGGGATGAGAAGGGGTAAATGGTGAACGTACGATTTGCAATCCCTTGAAGTGGGCGTTGATGTCGCATTCGCCAGCGAATCGTCCGTCCGGAGTACCCCACGAGGATGGGTCCGGGTTTCCATTGCCAATGTCGGCGGGGACGTTGTCGTGAGAGAAGTACCAGATGCTGATGGCGTCGCCGGTCCATTCAGTAGCGTAGACACCGCCACCGCCGTTGTTGAACCCTGTGCCAAATGACTGGTCGGAGGGTGCCTCGAGACCGCAGCCAGCGTTGGTATCTTGGCCTTCAGCCTCCACGAAACAGTTGCTGGTCGTGAGGGTGCCGGAGAAGCCGGAGTTGTCGATGCTGCATCCATCGCTTGTGTGGAGCGCCATGTGGTTGTTGGTTTGGTCATTGACACCTTCGATGATATCGATTTCGCCGTTGTTGGGCCAGTCAGGGCCGACGAGCCAGCTAGGGTTGTGTTAGTAGAGGGGACCAGTCAATGTATGAATGGGTAGAAGAGCTTACAAGGCAGGCCAGGTACCACAGATACCACCAGGCATATGATCAAGATCCAGGATGAAAAGACCTTTGTCGTAACTCTGTGTGCTGGTAATGCGCACACTCTGGCGGCCATCCGCAGCCACGTTGGTAGAGTCCACGCCCATGTGGATACCCTCATCCGTATTGATCAAACCGGCATTCTGAGCGGTGTCACGGTCGACATAGCTGACAAACCCATTGGTAGGATCCGGGTCGGTAAAGAAGGTGAACTTGTCAAAGAAACCGGTTCCGTAGTCGTCTTGCAGAGTGTAGGCTGCAGCGGCAAGCTGCGTCGAAAATCCCAGAACTGGGAGAAGAGTAGAAAAGACCTGCATGTTGCTTTCTTTCCGAAGGTAAAAAGGAGCGTGGAATCTCAGAATAGAGAAGAGTTTAGAAAATATTAATAGGGGGGAACTGTGAATCCGCACAGGTAAATATATACAAGCAGAAGGTAAGAATGCAAGGAATGGCGCCCCAAAGCCAGAAGACAAAGGAGTGTAAGAGAGTTGCCGCCGACAGGCAAAGGAATGTTACAGAGCAGTTTGGTGTTTTACCTCCCCCAAAGCGGGCCACCATTCATATATACATAATGGACCAGAGACAAGCGACAAGGAAATGTCAACACGGTCAATGCCGCTATTGAAGCGTGGCGCTCAGCCATGACGCGCCCAGCCGACCTGGTCTTCGGACCTGCTACAGAGCCCATGTGGATGGGGCATGTATCATTCATGGCGGTACGCAAAGAAAAGAGCCAATCCTTAGATCGGGGCTAGTTTCTGGATTTCAGGAATAATGTTTCGGATTTATTTCGAGAGCGTAACTAGAGCACGGGGCCGAAAGGCACGGCAAGGTAAGCACTGGATGACAGCGACTAAAAGACCGAGGAATTGGCCCCTTGGTTGGATGGCGAAATAAGGTTGGTGGAACCGGAAAATTAATTTCCTCAGACGTCCCGGTGATTGGATCTGGATGGAAGTCATTCTTTTACACTATCGAGTGTTTTGACACGGCATGAATCAGATGGAAATCCAATCCCGCCATTCAGCCCGCGAGGAGCAGGATACCTCGTGAAAGGGAGCAAAACGAGCAACTCCAGTGGGGAAATTGGAGGGACGATCCGGAGGTCTTCTCCATTCAGGTAAAGGAAAAGAAGCCGTGATGCGAGTCAGAAGGAGGAAAGCCAAGCGCCGACAAGGTTGGAGGAGGATAGGAAAAGAGAGAAGATCGACCGGTCATTGAGCACTTTTTTGCGCTTCGGACGCCCGGCGGCAGGTGACCGCACCAAGCCCTCTTGGGAAAATCCTCTCCCGCCTTCTTCAGCTTCATCTCCATTCCTACGATCGACAGTCATTTCCACCAGGGTCAAGCCGATTGAGCTGGTCCTACGATGGGTGAACATCCCGGTCCAGAGTGCCATGGGTCGCCATCCTGTGATGCCCCACCGGTCAGAAAATAGGCAGAGGATCTCGAGGACCGGAAATGAACCGACTCAGTGGAATCAAGGCGATGCCCCCAAAGCACTACCCCGTAAGCAACAAACAAGAATACAAATAAGAATAGGAAAATGGAGGTATTATTATCATCGCCACGCTCGTCAACATGGTAAAAATCGCTCGCTCATTCAGTATGTACAGAACAAATTGGACAGGTTAAGTGATCCCACTCCGACTGGGGCGCAAAATGGCCCTGCTTCTCCGGCTTTGAAGGACCGAACTTCACCAGACACGGTCGATGGAAGAGGTGTCGACAGGAGAATACAACCGCAGGCCCTATCGGCATCCCACGGTCATCTCCGGCTGACTCCTGCATCTCATCCGCGTTATTATCCAAGGACCCTTGTTGTTCCGCATGTTCCGCCTCGTGAGGATGCAACGTCTGACCAAATCCCGCTACTGCAGCGGCTTTACCCTTGCCCCGGGTAGTGGCCGGGTCAGCTCCTTCGTGGAGTTGGCGAGCGATACGACGCTGTTGTGCTTCGGCCTGCTTTTGCTCCCAAGCTTGCCAGTGGTGAGATCCGACCCCTGGCCCCCAAATCCGCTGCCGGCAAATTTCACATACTTGGCCCCGTGGCCGCCATCCCCTTTGGCGTAGTCGCGCTACCTCGTCCACATGGACAAATAGATCCCGGTCCAGCATGCCGTTGGCCAGCGACAGCAATGACTTCTCATATGTGTAAGCCGAAAAGATGGACGCCAGGACGGCACGCAGCTCAAGTAGGGAGGGAGACCATTGTGCGGCACGCGTGAGGAACGCGCGCAAGATGCGAAGAAACGCCACGTCGCTGCGCTCGTGGGTAGACGATCCTCCTACCCTGACTGTGCTGGAAAGCAGCGCAGTGAAGACCTGCTGGACGAGTCTACGGAAGGAAGTCATGAGTTGGGCTGCATTGCTCCCCATTTGGGATGTCATCGGCGCAAGATGAGTCAATTTGTGATCGGACTGTTCCTTTTGGATCAGCGCAAAGACGCTGCTGGTGGTGCGGACAATGGCTTCGATCAGATCGAGCCATAGATTCTCATCAAAGGAGAGTGGTTCGTCGACGGCGGTCTTTCTGCCAACATTTCTTTCGACGGCTCGGGGTTTTTTAGCGGTCTTCGTCTGGCCCTGGCAGAGCCATGTTCCCACTCGTGTATACTTGTCCAAGGATTCCACGAGGTCATCAATGGCTTCTGCGGTGCTGTCTGAATCTGGACTCTCCCGGATACTTTGAAGAATTCCGACGAGCCCCGATTCTAGGGTCTTCAGATGAGCGACAAGACGGTCCATGGCGGCCCGAACTTGGCCTTGCCTAGCCAACAGAATGACCGCCGCATCCACTACTCCACTCCCTTCCATTGCAGGCATCAGTTCCTCGAGACGCACGTCGCCAACCCGAAGTTCGTCCACAAAGTCTGCGACGTGAGACGGGTCATATTTACAGAGTAACTGCACGTAACGTTCGATCATGCCGTTCTCTACCGATTTCGACGGTCGGCCCTCCGCAGTGGGTTGCGATGCAGGCTCCACGATGACATTCAGGTATCGATATTGCCCGAAAGTGTCGTTGTGGAGGGCTTTGATCATTATTTCGTGAGTCTCCGGGGCAAAATCCTGCATTGTCTGGGCAGTGGCTTCGACGTCAATTGCCACCAATTGACTGGCATGGTTTTTTATCACGTCAATCACATCCCGCCTCTGCTTCTTGCCAACTCGAGAACCAGAACGAAGACAGTCTTGTAGGCAAGTAAAGATTGCTTTCTGCTCGTTCGGGTCCTCAAGGTAGGTCAGCACCAACTGAGGAAATTGCTTCTCCGAGCGGTAGGTTGATTTTAGGATCCGGAAGAATCGTGCCTGCTTGAAGAGGGGAATCATGCTTTGGATATCCGGAGGGTGGTAAAAAGAAAGTAAATACTCGGCACTAAGTTCGCAATCTTCCGCCATGTCTTGGGTCGGGTACTGGCACAGCCGCTCCAGGACCTGGTGGAGGGTGGTTCCAGAAAGAAGGATATATTGGGGGTATTTTGGGAGATTGCGAGCAATGAAAATGTCGAGATAAATCGTGTCGGTGATGGAGAAACTTGCAGGAGTCATGATTTGCAACAAGAGACTGGTCAGATATTGTCGGTTGATTGAGACTCCTTGGAACGAGTTCTCCTCGGGCTCCTGTTCGTTCAAGAAGCTGTCCTCGAAGGCTTCGTTGAGCATGCTCATGAAACCAGGCGTGTTGAATTTGAGCATGGCTTGGAGGTCCGGGTACGACCCTGACTCTGCGCCAGACGAATTCCCTGAGAACAGATACTCGTACAGGGACGTCTTAGCCCGGTTGGCTTCGGCTTCTTCCATATCATCTCCAGTAGGATAGATGCGACCAGTAAGAACAAACGAGAGGTACGGAAACATCTTCGTAGCATTCGTGTACTGTCTAATCCCATTCACGGAGTCGCCATTGACCAACGTCTCCTGGGACGGAGCGAGCCCCAAAAGCTCCTGCAACGGGCCCACGTAGTCTCCCAGGCAGCGATTCCAGACATATATAAAGGCATCGTATAGGTTGTAGTGCTTGCATAACGTTGTGACTTGATCGATGTCCATTGTGGTGGTATCAAGGAGACATATGATCTCCTCCAAGCGGCTGGCTGTATGGTTAGTGGTGAAATGATTGATGAGTGCCTTGACCGCCGTAGGAGGTAGGGACCGCACGGTCCCGTCGATGATATACGGTTCAAGAGCATCAAGGAAGATTCCTTGCGAGTCATGCTCCTCATACCAGTTGAAGACCTCGTCCCAGAGGAAGTCTTCGTCCGCCATGTAAATACAGGCGGAAATGGAAACCTCGGCCAGTTCTTCGAGTTGCCGACTGCCAAGTCGCTCATTGTTCGCCTCTATGTTCTGACCGAAGGCATATTTCAGAGATGCTGACACCATCTCTAGGAGCTTCTCTCGAACAATTGGCTGTCTCAGGGAGTCTTCATCCGGCAAGCCAACGGTGAGCTTTTCTCCGCTGCCCTGGTAGTAGGAAGTCGCCAGTCGAATTGCCCCGATAAAATCACCCGCCTCCATAAGCGCCAGCAATCGATCTGCCCAGTTGGAGAGGCCTCCAACCAAGGCTTCGTTGTGACCCAACAGAAACAAACGCCCCTTGTATGAGCGGAAAGACATGTAAAAGGCATCAGCCACCACACCATGCATCGAAGTGTCCTCTTCGTCTAACTGCTCAACCAGTGAATGCAGCTGAGAGGAGAACAAATCAGCGTGGTAGATATGTCGGCTAAGCAAGTCGATCGCATCGGTTACGCGCATAGAATAGTCTTCAAGGATAAGCAACTGCTGCGTGATGGTAAGCACTGCTAATACCGAGCGACTTAGCCACTGGACCGCAACGATTGCCTCCTCCGCTTTCCATCGATTCCGTGCCTTGAAATCCAGACTTGGGGGCCTATCTCTGTCCGGCGCTTCTTCCGTTTCGAATTCCGATACGTCCAGGACCGTCAGCACATTCGACCAACAATATACCAGTTTTGTTTTGGACACTTGCGCATCCTTGCCCTTGAGTCGAATGGCAGGAAACCAGGCCAAGGCACCGGTCATTGCACCATGGGCCGTGACTTCCTTCGGACGGGGAGCTTTGTGCTGCGTTTGAGCTACCGGGGTCGTGGAAACGATGACCAGGAGGTAAGGTGTAAGCATGGCAACCAACCCCAAAGAGTCGGTTGGCTGCTCCACATTACCCAGGGGCAGAGGCGAAAAGGCAAGCACCGAGCTCGGTTTGCGCGACCGATTGCCATGCCCGACGTATTGCGGATATCGCCCCAAAATCCTGGTTGTTTTCACCGTCCGTCCCAAAGCGCCGGTGCCCCGGGTCGCCAAGTGAGAGAAGGCCATGCCCCGCTTGTCAGCCGACACCAAAGCAGTGCGTCGGGTCCCCAGGAATCCCACATGGATCACCGACGATCCGGACAAGTGTCCGTCCGAAGTGCGACTGTCAACTTGGTTCATCGGAATGGGCGGGATATGGAGAAAAGGCCGCGCTGACTTGGAGATCTCCCATGTGAATATGTCGCCCGAATCGTGACCTCCAGCGATCGTTGAATGGTCGGCAGAAAGCGCGAGCGACATGATCGCTCCGCACTCAGTAGCTGATGTCAGGAAACCCCATTGTTAGCGACTGATGCTAATAAATACAGAGATAGCTTCAATCTTACCCTTGGTTCCCGATCCGATTATAGTTCGCAGGTTTTGTTGGTAATCAAATACCAAGATTATACCTTTAGACGTCCCTATCACAATGCTTGTAGACACCGCCATGCAGGTCGGATAGCCGAAATTTCGTTTTCCGACCTCCGAAAACGCATGTCCGGTTATTTTCCTTAATTTGGTCCATCTCACTACATCCCAAGGACCCTGAGCTTCGGAATCGGAGTGAACGGTGGCCGGGGACAGTCGACTGGTGAGGGACGAATTTCGAGAGTGAATCTGGGCTAAAAACGGCGATGACGGGCGGAAGCCACTCAGCGACGAAGAGGAGAGCCGAGATTGAAAGCGAAGGTCGAAAGGGCGGTGCGACGGACTGGGGCTGGGGCTGGGCCGAGGGGAGCTTCGAAAGGCCAAAGCACTACTACTTTGTGAGGACAATATAGAACCCTATGGCCGTCAGCAAACATCACAGACCGAAAAGCAAAGGCGATTCCGGCAACGAACATGTAAAGAAGGGGTATCATCAGGGGTTGATGCGGTTTCGTCAACACTCCCGGGAGCGCCAGGCTGCCCGGGACGGGGAGAGGCCGGAGCATCGTTCGCATCAACGTCAACGGGAGGGGCGTTTTTCGCGGGAGTCAGGTCGGGACTGTCTACACCCGGGAGATCCTCCTCAATATGTGCCATTGAGTCATCTCCCAGTCCATTTTCTGGCCTCGCATCATCCAGGGAGCCGTTGGGTGTTGAGTGGGGGTATTCCAGGTCCTCTTCGCCCAAGTCGAGCTCGTCTTCTCGTGCCCGGTCATCACTGCCCTCAATCATGGAGCTCATCGGCAGAGTGTAGGCAGGACCATCGCTCCCACACCGATTTGCGATAAAGTATTAAGGAGTATGGGTCAAGGTCAAGGACGGCACCGAGTCGGTCAAGGCGAAATGGCGACTGATTCCCAACCAGGATGTGTACAGAGCTTCAGTGGGCGGACTGATCGGGTTACGGGTAAAGCGGAGCACGAGGAAGACGCGAATCAGGGATTCAGATGGTGGGGAGTTTCTATAAAGATGCCCGATGGGAGATGAGGCGAGAGGCGCGACGGTCGGCTCGACGGCAGGTAGAGGATGCGAGGCTGTGTTGGAGTCTTGGAGACGGCGAGCTCGGCGGGCTGAAAAGGTCGGGGAAACTGGAAAGCACGAAGATCAGTTGAGGGCCTGGTTGCCTGGTTCCTGGGCCGTGCTCGGAGTCACCGCTCGCCGTGGCATTGCGTCCCCACCGCCGTCATCGCGCACTTCTGGCGGCAGAGATCATTCGGCCACTTTCATGTCAATATCACCACAGCTCTTATGCTGCTACCTCACTGTCAAGGAGAGAAGGTGACGGGTTATTACAACATCACTTCTTCTCCGTTCTCTTTGTTGCATTTCAGCCATTCTTCATCGGGGACATTTTCCGTGGTTACACCAGCCACTCATGTCTTAAGCGACCTAATGCCTGGTCCATTATTACCTCCACATTGACCCGTTTTGAACTGAAACAGATCTCCCGTCATAGAGGACACAAACGATTTATAGGTTCTATGCATCTGCCCGGAGAGGATTCCACCAAATACATACATTATTTCTTGACGAAGCACGTACACAATTCCTGCATGCGATAATCCGAGGCATACCCTTTTAGAGGAGGAGCAACGGCTAGTTTCGGTATGTCCCAATGTAATAAATACAGTAGGGCGTAGGGCGTAGGGCGTAGGGCGTAAATCTTAAAGAGCCAGCTCACGCCATAATCCTGTAAATCCGGGCCTTTACTTGGAATATTTGTTCCAGTTTGGGGGCAATGACTGGATGGATCATCTCGGGTATTCCACATCCTCGGCAAGTTGTCCGAGGCTCGCGATTTTCAAGCATCGGTCGATAGTCAACCACTCAGACAGAAATAAGACACTAGGCATCGCGTGTTTGGACCATGACATATCACTACTTCCTCACATCATGTTGACCCGCTTGAGGCCCACCCTGTCGCCCCGTGGAAGGGTATTATTGAGACGGGAAATGTCACACTTCAAAGTCATCGAACATAATGTCCGATGCCAGAATATACGCGAGCGCCCTGGCGCCGTTGAGCCCGGATTTGAGCATCAATTAAGGCTCGCCGTGAAGCAATACATTCCGAAGGATAACCCTCATCCTCGAGAAGGAGATGTGACGATCATAGGAGCACATGGAAATGGTTTCCCAAAGGTATGGAAGCATATGTGCATGATCTGCTCAACAACATAAGGAGATCGTTGACTGACAGCCTGCAGGAGTTATACGAGCCCTTGTGGGATGAAGTATATGAGAAATTGCGCGCCGCCAACCGACAGATTCGGGGGATTTGGATTGCCGACGTAGCTCATCAAGGTCAAAGTGGTGTCCTGAACGAGTCCATCTTGGGAGATGACCGTACGTGGCCGAACCCTTTTAACTAATCAGGCTGTATCATACTAACACATAGGCTAGCAAGCTTGCTGGATCATGGTCGTGACCTTTTCGCGCTGGTGAATCGATATCAAGATGAAATGCCCCATCCCATCGTCGGCATTGGGCATAGTATGGGTGCATTGCAGCTGTATGTATCTCCCATCAAGTGTGCATGAGAGTGACTAAACATAAGACACCAGGGCTCACCTTTCTCTGATGCATCCATCCCTGCTCCAAGCTCTGGTATTAGTCGACCCAGTGACCCAAAAAGGAAACCCCGGCAAAGAGCTGGCTCTTCTCACTACATACCGACGCGATTGGTGGTCATCACGCAAGGAAGCGCTTCAGAAGTTCCAGTCCAACCCTTTCTACCAAGCATGGGACCCGCGGGTCTTGGAGAAATGGGTTGAGTACGGACTACGCGATACTCCGACCAGGCTGTATCCTCAACCCAACGAGAACGGTCAGCAAGCCGTGACTTTAACCACAACCAAGGCCCAAGAGCTTTTCACATTCTTGCGGCCATCTTATATAGACAAGCGGTCAGGGCTTCCTCGCGGGACCCCGCATGGAGAAGTGCATCCGAGTGAAATTGACGACTTTCCGTTCTACCGTCCCGAGCCGTCACATATATTCCGTCATCTTGGCGAGTTAAACCCAAGTGTTCTATATGTCTTCGGGGAAAAGTCGCCTTTCTCCACACCAGAGGCACGAAAAGAGAAGACACAGGCGACTGGCACTGCGCTTGGTGGTAATGGCGGGGTTTCTCGGGGGCGCGTGAAGGAGGCTATCGTTCCCAGTGGCCATCTCGTTCCCATGGATAATGTGACTGGATGCGCTACTGCCAGTGCTAGCTTCATTCAGGATGAGCTGCAAGGCTGGGAAGCACGAACGAGGAAGTTGAGGGAAGCCTGGAAAGGGGTAACTCAACAGGAACGAGTTAGTATTGATGATCAATGGAGGGAGAATATTGGGGAGTCACCAAGGAAGCCAAAGTTATAGACAAGTTAATTCCATATTACATAGAGATATGACTATTGACATAGATAGTACCAAATAAACGAAGACATTTCAAGCAAGACATGTCCCAATGATATTAGAAATGATGAGAATTAAGGAAAAGGCTAACTTAAAAAGAAGATAGGGGATAGTGCTGGTGAAAACTTGAAATAATAAATGTGAAGTACAGTCCCATCAAGTAAAACATGGGCAAATCATTGGTTGCATGAAAATGCATTGCATGCATGGAAGGCTCCACTCAGGTGCAGCATGCATCGATGTAGATGATCAAGAACATGGAACTATCCGGGCTGAAAGGATTGGAAAAGACACCAAATTTCTACAATGATACCATTTGATATCACGAATGCATTCCCCGGTAAGGTTAAGATATCCTGTACTGATTCTGCTTCTGCTGCTTATATACCTATAGACTAGAACTTGCAAGGACCTTGGCTCACTTGCCCCCTTTGCAAGACACAACAATCACAGAATGAAGTTCGAAGACCCGCCGCCCGTTCCGTACAAATTAGTGTATCTATGTCTTTTAGCTCCCTTGGGTATTCACATCATTGATACATGCCGAGAAATCATACAACAGCATCAAGTCATAGAGTGTGCAAAGACCTTCATTCCGTCGCCCTCTTTGCCAATCTCAGAAATCACAATACTGAGAATTGAAGCTTGGTTTAAGAATGATCTGGCCAATTATTTAACCTATGGCTTCTAATTTTATTGTTTCTGCCCAGCATTTACCTGTTGCTGCAAATCCTTGATGTGTGTCGATTGATGCTGATATACAGGGTTTATAAACACATTATAAACCCCATTAAAGAAAAAGCCGAATCAGACGCAGAACAATCCCGTCTACTTTTTCAAGAGAGGCTCAAACCAATAGCCAAATCAAACACAACCCCTCCTCCACTCCTTCAAAAGCCCCTCGAAACAAATCCCACTTCAGACACAAAACCTCTTCCTCCCCCTGCTATTCCTGCCCCTCCTCCTCCTTCTCTACCACCTCCTCTGATCGAGCTGGACAGCTAATTACTATCGAAAGTTCTCGACCTCGCTCTCCAACCAGGATATTCCCATTCTACAAAGTGCGTGACCACTCGAAATGGCGTTCCAATCGTCGCGCGCAGAGAAACAAAATCGCTATCAACGAAGGCACAACCAGAATAACCAGTCTTGGAAACAACATCCCCATCGCAACCGTGGCCGAAGACCAGGCAGTGGATTACCTAGCCCACCGAAAGAAGGTACTAGGCGCCCGGAGATATCTCACAGCAAATATCCCAGTCATCGCAGCCATGATCTCTCTTCCTAGCTCGAGACCTAGAGCCCCCGGGTCTGTGAAGCATATCGGCGGTCCATTCACGAAACAAGAGCGTACGGCCACATGGAAAAGAATGCAGAATTCACTGACGACTCCGATTATGAAAATAATCCTCGCCAACAAGTACACGCCAACGGAGAACCATGTCGCTTATGTGCGACGGTGTCGGGCGCTCTTTGCGGAGCTACGGGCTCTCAAGGAGGTTGAGGACCGGATGGAGCTCGATTGTGTCATGGAGCCATTGCAGCACGCCGTGTTAAAACCATTCTTGAGGTATATTGCGCAGGAGAGGGTGAAATTATCGCTGGATGATGTTTATGCCAAGTTCATCGTTCATGAGAATGTGAGGAAATCGTACTTGCCTCTTTGGCTAGGCGATTCGATGCCTGAGTTGCTCTGCAATTGAGAGCATAGGGTATGGAAGTGGTCTTATTCTTATTCTTCTCATTTGTGACTGAATCTATGTACATGGCTCTATTTCTTCTTTGCCACTCGCATCCTAATAAAGGATTCAAATACTTAAATTTAGGCTAGACAGTCACGCAGATACAAATTCCCCGCATGGGGTACATAAACCAGGCTATCATGCGCACAGAACAATCACGGATAGCAGATCAGCAGGTCAAGAATAACCAGCATGGCTGCTATTACGACTTAGTGGACGGAAATACAGAAGTTGAACAAATTGAACAAATAGAAGAAAAATCCGCGAATCGAGCATGAAGAACGAAATCTAAACAAAAATCCAAAGCGATCAGCATATCCGGTCTGACAAGGCGGGGTTCTTCAAGGATCGGGCTTGGCTGTTGTGTTTCCCCTCGCGGGCTCAGGAACAACCCTCTAGAGGAAGATGTTATTGGTTCTGCATTTGATTTGCAGGTTCATACATGAAGGTAGATCTTAATCTTTCTGTTCAGGATTAGAAGTTGTGTTGACCACCTAGTACTTACATACCTCGACCATAATTTCCTCGCTCTTTATCTAGGTATCCCTTGTTTCAGTAGGTGATGTGAATAACTACCTACAGTACAACGAGTGCTAGGTAACTATCCATACTACCAACTACCAGCTGATCCCTCTTCCAAATAAACCCAAAATACAAAAACGTCCCATAAATCATCTACGGTGTATGTTGATAAACTGATCCCTACTCCTACCAGCCAGCCATCATGCGCCGCCCCAACAAGACCAAGACCCGAGGACCCGGTGCTCATTGGACAAGAATCCACCACAACTAATGCAACAAGGTAGTACCCTCTCTCTCTCGGCCTCGCCGTGACCGACTACAACTGTTTCGTCCGTTTTCAGCTGAAGCGGAAGGATGAAGGAAGCTTAGCTGAAGGATTCGGTACCTGTCATCTTCTTAAATCCCCCTTGTCCTGAGATCCATCAGGGGACTCTTCAGGGAGGGGAACGGGTTGTTATTGTCAGGAACAGGGGTACGCGTGATCACAAGGGACACCAAAGTGACTTGACTGGCTGATTATCGTCAGCATACTATCCACCAACATCCATAGGTCCGGAAATACTCCGTACTGCGGGATGATTTGATCATTTACTAAGTGTTGAGGGCAGGCAGCGGGCGTCTCTTTCCCTGAGGACTCGGTCGATGGGAGGTATAAATGCAGGAAGTGCGCATGTTAAACACTGCCTGCCTGGGTGTTCATTTTATCTACAGATCATGGAGGTATTGGGTATTTTCTCGCCTTCTCATATTTATATATAGCTGTTCATTTATCGTGAGCGGTTAGACACTCACTCGCTCATACAGTACTTTATACTGTTTACCTTTTTTTCATTATAGCTTCACCTTCGGTATCTTGAAGAGAGAAGAACCCAAGAAAAAAACCGACCATGGCTCGCCCAACACTCTTTTCCTCTCTTCTGACTAGCTTCATAATTATCTTCTCCATCATCCCAACAACCATCGCCGCCGCAAACGCAACAGCAACCTCCTGCAACGGCCAATCCGCCTTCTGCGACCGCAAATACTCCAACATCACATACCTCGGGGCGCACGACAGCCCCTTCGTCGGCCCTCTCCCCCAACACAACCAGAACCTCAACGCAACCGCACAACTTGATTTCGGCATCCGCTACCTCCAAGGGCAGACACACAAGATCGAAACCGACGACGCCCTCCGTCTGTGCCATACCTCCTGCTTGCTAGAAGACGCCGGGACGCTCGAGTCGTTCCTCGTCACGGTCAAGACCTGGCTGGACGGTCATCCGAATGAAGTGCTGACTCTGCTCCTGACAAATGGCGACGGGGTGCCGGTGTCCAAGTTCGACGAGACGTTTACCAAGGCGGACATTAAGAAGTATGCGTTCGTGCCGGAGCCCTCGTCAGAGGTCCTGCCGCTCGGGTCGTGGCCGACTCTGGGAGAGCTGATCAGTAAGGGAAAGCGGCTAGTGGTTTTTTTGGGTATGTTGTGGAACTTTTGCTTTGCGTGAATGTCAGAATAAGTCGAGGCTCGTGATATTGACTTTGGTTATAGACTATGGTGCCGACGTCGCCACTGTCCCTTACATCCTCGATGAATTTGCCTATTACTTCGAAACCCCGTTTGGCGTGACCGACCGCAAGTTTCCAAATTGCAGTATCGATCGGCCACCAAATGCGAATGCAGACGGGCGCATGTACATCGTTAACCATTTTCTAGACGTTGATATTCTAGGAGTCTTGATCCCCGACCGTCTTCGAGCCCCGAGGACGAACGCTGTCTCTGGGGAAGGGAGTATCGGAGCGCAGGCCGATCTCTGCAGCTCGAAACATGGCCGACTGGCCAATGTAGTCCTGGTGGACTTTGTCGATCAAGGCCAGGTGATAGCGGCCCAGAAGAAGTTTAACAGGGTTTAATGTCTGTATCTTGGTTTGAATCATTGTGGATGTTGTTTTTGGATGCTTTCTGCATTATTGAAAGCGATGAATTACTGGAGTAGCATTTCTTGATTGGTAGAATCGTCAGTCCATCATTTCATTAAAATCCTAGGCTTCCAAGTAATGCACAGCCCAAGTTTTCAATCCGTGTCTTTATTCCAATCAAGACAAAAAGGTGGATATCTATCATGTATACCCTTAAAGATCAAAAATATCACCGTTAAAGTCTAACAATCAAATACACAAAGAATGAACTGAGATCGCGTACCCAGATGTTTTTCAAAAAGATACTTATGCAAAAAGATACTTATCTAATATAATAAAATATGTCACTCTTCCAACTCCATTTGCATCTCGCGTTCTGTACAATTTCAAAAAAGGTTAGCTGCATCACCATAAGAACAATTAGGTACTACACTTACCCCAGATTTTGTTCGCTGATGCGATGATGATCTCGGCCTTAGCCTGCAACTTTTTAGAATAGCGTTCAGCTTCGCTAGGATGCAGTTGACTTTTTTGCGCTTTGCGCGGATTAACCTAAATCGGGTCAGCATCGCATACTCCGTTATGGCATGTCCACATACCATCATTAGAACAGGGACAAGATCCTTCGCATCTGCCTCTGCCAGGGCTCGCAGGTTTCGGAATCCGTTATCCCTAAGCAGCCGTGCGGTCCAACCCTTCACATAGGTCACCTGGGCCATCTCCAGTAGATCGGCGCGAGCTCCGGCTTCCAATCGATCTCGCATGTGATCGAGAACTGCCGCGAGCATGCCCCATCCCATCCGTTGGCAGAACTTTACCATGCCGGCTGCAAACCCATGGCACTGTTGGGCCAAAGTTTGCACCGCCCCACGAGGGATTCGATACCGGGCGGCGATTGTTGATAATGGCACCTCATTGCTCAAATCACGAAGTTGGAATGCAGTATAGGCGCGTCGGTAGATTCTAGCAGTTTTCACCTGGTCCGGAGTACTCTCCTTCAAAGACGCACCGCTCTGTACCCTATGACAATGTTAGCTCCTCAGGATATGTGAATTGAGCACCGGCTGGCTGGCGTACATCGAATTTACAAACCCAGGCTGCACGCCGACAAATTGTAAAGCTCGCAACCCACTATCATCAAGAAAATCCAACTGATCTCGGAAAATAGGCCAGTCAATCTGAGTGTTAATCGCCACTTGGAGAGGAGTAAACATGTAAAAAATGTGCATGTCCCCGTCCATCACAAAGGCTTGCAAGGCTCGCTTCAGTTCTTCATGGACAAAAAGGCCATCTTCGGGAGCGAAGGCAGAAGCAACCACGGCTTGCCCAAGCAGTGTCGCTTCATACGCTTCATCTTCTTTCTGTAAAAGAAGCTCCTCATCAATCAATTCTCGAAGCGCAGAGTTCATAATGCTGTAGGCTAATTTCTTGTCTACCATTCGACAAAGAAGAGTGCATTTCACATATTCCTTGACTGCATCGAATCCCGAGACGAGCCCTGTTGCTATAGCCTCCAGCAGTGCCCTTCAAACACTGGTTAGCAACCATAGTACCCAAGACGCATGACTCAAGCCTCTTACCTTTTGAGTCCTCTTTTTTCCGGGGCAAGGCAGCTTTCAATGGCAGGCATATCGGCTTCCAACAGGTCGCATACAGCTTCAAAATCCGACTTGCCGCAAATGAGATATGTCTCACCTACTTCGTCCTTTCCTTTGCGGCCTGCTCGCCCACACATTTGTCGTCTATTTTGGTTAGGACGCTCCATGCATTCTTCATCATTGAGGGAGCTTACAGCATCGCTGGACCGACCAAGTCCCGACCCATCCGTGCACCGTTTATAATTACTCTTCTTGCGGGAAGATTAACACCCGCAGCAAGACTGCAAGTAGCCACAAGTACCCTCAGGGTCCCTTGGTCATAAGCCTGCGCAATAAGTTCACGTTCCTCCGCAGTCATCCCCGCATCTGAAATTAAGTCAGTCGACAAAGCGGACCACATAAAACCATGCAAATAGGGCATCTCACGATGAAATCCTACTCCTCTAATAAGAATATTCTCTAGGGCGGGGTCAAGACCACTAGGCAGACTTCGTAGTTCGGCAAGTAAATCAAGCCGCCTGCTCAGTTCCTGGGGGTCGACCATGGAAGAGCCGGGCATTGCCTCGCTTATGATGGCCGCATGAAACTGACAAGCTTGTCTGCTGCCACAAAACACCAGCGCGCCATATCCCGCAGCGGCTGTATTCACGGAGAGCGCCACCATTGAATTTGTCGACGGGTTCGCGAGTTCTCGGAAACTTGAAGCTTGAATGATACTATGAGGGGGCATGGTATCCGCAATAGAGACACTTGTTGATGCTAATTTAGTAATTGTGTGAAAGAGCTGTCGGGACGTTGCGGCAGGGTAAATTGCATTTTCATAGACAAGATAGTCATCAATTGGAATGGGCCGATAAGTCGAGATATAGTATTCTGCGTTCATCCATTCCGCCAATACTTCCGTATTCTATACTTTGATGAGTCTGTGGAAATGCTATGCCACTAGAAATTGAGTTCATACCGAAAGGGTGGCACTCATGCCGATGATTTGGATGTCTTGCTGTAGCAAAAGCAACTTGGTGACCATCAGTTCCATAAGGTAGCCCCGATGTTCATCGTCAAGCATATGCAGCTCGTCTAGAACGACGACGCCTAGGTTTCCGATGGTATATTCTTCGATCGCGGTGTTAATCAGTGAATTGGCCTAAAAGGCAATACAGCAGTCAATTGGATATTCAAGAAATACAGGAGATGCCCTTAAAGCAGACCTTCTCTATGGTACAGACAGCGATGTCCATATCAGCCCAGGAAGCGGTGGTCCTGCTGCCGCCGAAGAAACCAGTGACACGGATCGATTTCTGGAGTTTCTTCCATCGCTGATAGTAAGGCTTCGCCCGAGTTGGATCGTCGTCGTCGTCGTCATAAACATGCTTTTCAAGATCCTGCACAATGCGTCTGAGCCACTTCAACTTCTCCTGCACCAAAGCAACGTAGGGGAGAACTAGGATCGCTTTGCAGGAGGGATTTTCTATGATGCGTTTCAGCATCAAGACATCAGCCACCAGGGATTTGCCACCGCCCGTTGGGGCTGTATAAATTAAATGCCGCTTCCCTTCCAGGAGGCCGGGGGCCAGCAAACATGCTGATTGCCAAGGATAGATGCTGCTCACCCCGACCGCCGCAAAATTTTTGACGAGAATGGGAGGTAATCCATATCGACGATGTTGCAAGAACAAGATCGGATCTCCGTTTAATTCATGACTCACGGTATCCGTTCTTTGTTGTTGAGGGACCTGGGCAGCCGCGACGGGAGATATTTCACTAGCAACCAAGCGATTCTTGGGAACAGAGGAAGTTACACGAGGCCGAACGAAATCCACCGAAGGCGTCGAATGACCTGATTGCTTGGAGTTCGAGACTTTCAAGGAGCTCTCAGGGGACCGATCCGGTAGTCGTTTCTGCCCCGCCAGGGGAGCTACAGAATACGCCTGTTGGCGAGCAATATCAACCGAGGTTTGAAAGCCATGAGACTGGAATGGCTGTCCGGGCTGTGCAGACATGCCTTGAACGGCCCTCTTGGTTATCTAGGTACGGAATAGTTATCTAGTCAACGGCAGAGGCGATTCCATCGATCGTATACCGGGAACAGGGAGGAAAGGCAGGACCTTAGGTAGATGGGCGCTTATAAGATGTCTTTTCCCTCGAATCTTCCCTGCCAAGGGTGAAACAGATTACCGGATGACCTCGGACCTCCCGACCGTTTGTTACGCAAGTGGAAGGCGCAACGCGGGTGCAACGGACGCGTTTCATTTTGGGAAGGCGCAGACAAGTTGTGATGCCTCAGGCCAGTAAGGCGGCAGAAGCGGCACTGAGACTAGGCGAACTAGCCGGGCAGCCTAAGGCGTTGTTGACAAGCCGACAACCCTGCAAGCCTTCCAATGCGGAACGTTCCTGGATCGTCTCGTCATCCGCTAATCGGAGCCCTGCTGATCCGCATATTCCCATATGAATGGATCGGGGGGATGTCTGCTCGCTCCGAACGGGTTTAGCCTGCCTGTGCAATTTCTGGCCTTGTCCTTGACTTTTTTCCTCCGTGAAAGGCAAGCCAGATCATTGTCATCGACTCATTAATTAATCATCATGCTCCGAGGTGACCACGATTCCACGCGACCGAAAAAAATAAATAAATATGATAAAAATAAAATAGCACGCAAATCCGTATTTTCTTCATTCTCTCGAATTGTTTGATTTGATTCTCATGCTGACTACTCGCCTCCATCGCGGGAAAAGACTTCCTGTGGCAGGGAGGGCGAGCAACTGGAACCATCTACCGACTCCGCCCGTTGATCCTTCGAGTCGAGAGCACAGACGGTATGGAGTAGCAGGTACACATTCCTCCGCCACGCTTTCTTCTTTTTCTCTGCCCCGTACCGCGTACGGGAATGAGCAAGGGCTACGTGCTATTTATGAGGTGCGTCTTCCACAGAGAACCTCCATAGGAAGCAATTCCCGCACAGGAAAGCAGTCACTGCAGTTTGAACGACTTGCACATCACTCTTTTGCTCACATTTATTGTAGACTCCCCCGCCCAACGGGGTTGTTGTAGGCATCTACCAACACGCCAACTGCTGGTCACCTGACAGCGCCGGTTTACTGGCCTGGACCCAAAGTAAGTGTTGTTTCTGACTGACCTTCCTAACCAAACCCTGCTCCGCATGAGCAAATGGTGGCTTATGTACAGAATTGTTATTATTGACATGCCCCTTGACACCGATAGTTCCAACTTAACTCGCCCCCGCCTCCCCTCACGTCCTGTCGACGCAGATCCTACTTTTTGGTTGTTAAACAACGACAACAAAGAAGATTTAAGTTGATGCCCGTAATAATAAGCACACGGAGTCTAGTCGTCCGTAAATCCCAGGTACGGATGTCTCGGCGGACGCGCCATTTAATCTTCAGCCTTGACCCGGAGTAATGGCCTGAAAGCAGAGGGAAAAGGGAAAAAAGAAAAAAGAAAAAGAGGCCACCTCGAGGGACCCACTCCCGGTTTGCTCAGAGGGAACCATACTACGTAGTATCCGTACGGAGTAAAAGATATATTTATCTACGCAATACTCAAGAGTCAAGACACTTACTACTCCGTAATGTGTTGACACCAGGGGTTGACTATAACTACAAGATGTCTTCCGAGATAACTCCAGCCTAGGAAATATTCGGATTGTTCATCGATGGTAAAAGTATTGAATTATCGAACGGTCTTTAGCTCCAATTTTCCTTTCATCCCGGTCCGACGGAAGATAATACCCCAATATCTTTTGCGACCTCTACACTCGACCAACACCATGTCCCAACTTCCAACGTATTTAAGCGACCGATGTGATTGGGTTTCGCAGGCATGTGATAACCCGGATCCCTAAACCGTAATTGAATGATATTCTTGGTACAAGTGCGTTCAGGCGCAGGACTCGCCCTTATTCACTCTCACGGAACATGGATGGCAGGTGGCCGGGTTAGTAACAAACGCAAGAGAGAGGTGTGGTATTTCGTGCACATCCCTCGCAGTAAGGAATAATGCCACCCAAATCATATATCGGTCAGGAATAGGCAAAGCATCTCGAGTCCTATCAGCTCATCAAGCTACAGACACACCCTGTCGACGACTAGGCAAGAGGTACGATTAGAATCGGTCATTCCACAATCCACATCAATAATCCCGAGCCCAAGGATGGGGCCTCTGCTTTCGGTGGTGTGGCAGGCTAGTCGTCGATTGTAATGTGGCAACACAGAGTCGGGACGGCCACCAGGCAGCAAATCATCGGCCATGGAGGTATTTTTTCCTGCAGCAGAAGACATCATTGGCTCACATCCCGAGTGGTATATCACCCTCGGAGCACCCAAGGTACGTAAGTCGCTTGACCGTTTTGCATCATGGCAAGAGAGAATGCCAGTACTAGTGCGGCTTGGGGAGCGATGCAAGATTCCCAAAGCGATCTGATTTTACCAAGCACAACGAAGACAGCGGAACCTTTGTGATATTTTTTTATTTATTATTTTGTAACTCTGCTACATGCAACGATTGTACGGAGTACTCTACATACAATCGCCTAGAGGATCATCGATCAGCTCCAACAGGCTGCCAGATCAATGGGTGGCCAAGAACGTAAGAAAAAAAAAAAAAGTAAGAAGAAAAGAGCCCCGTCGCGGCGGGGAAGGAAAAGGCATTCTCCTTCCCAGCGCTTTTCAGCCGGCAGGAATAGCCAACCATATTAATGACTAGGTTTTCCGGAGGCGCTAGCAAAGGGTTTCCCTCCAGATTGTGTTATCATTTGACTCAACTTTACCACCAGGCGATCAGCACGCTGCCATGGCGCCTAGTGATACCTTGAGGAAGAAGAAAAAAAGCTGCTACGTTCTCTGATATTGTAGTAATAAAAAAAGAAAGAAGAAATTAGATCGAACCAGCGGCTATACCGTCCGCCCTTCCGATGGCAACGCCGCCCGGCGTATGGCAGACGGTCCGTAGTTCGCATAAGAACTCGCGCCCATGCCTAAGGATCTACTGTGTAGCTGCTAATCATCACTAGTTGGTTAGCACTGCAGGAGCCATGGAACCCGTGTTCTGCTCCCTTTTCGGTGCTGTTTCTGAAGTTCTGAACCGAGTTTTCGGTCGTCTATTTGGAGCTTTACCATTTTCAGCGCCTCCCCATCCATGCTCTTTGAGGCCCTCTTGGGTGGTACAGAAGTCCCATTCTGCAAAATGCCCCTCCCCTTGGTTTAGCTTCCCTTTGCCCCCCCGTAATTATTGTTGCCGCACTCGGTTGAATAATAAATTCTTACACTCGACCTCACGTCAGGGGAAGGATGTTCGACATTATTTTACTCACTCCTTCCCTTCTTCTATCTCTTTATATAAGAGACTTGTCAGGCTTTGCTATTTTCTTCTTTTTTTCTTTCTCTTGGATTCTTGACATGGTCTTGAAAACAGTCCCAGCTTGTGCCTAGTTTCACTAGGTATCATCCAAAGCAGGCAGTATCATACCGATGTCATCTACATCTGTTACAAGACAAACAAGGGAAGGAAAGGAAAGGAGGGCCCCGTAAATTGGGTATTCAAGAATCATCATCCATCCTTCTTGAAACCTCCCTATGCTGATCTTATCTATATCCACATTCAACCCAGAGAATGATAGTGATAATGATAATAATCTCATTGTGAAAGCCGGAGTCATGGATTATTGATCAGTAGCCCAACGGGATAAAAACAGGCCGTTGACCAGAAGATTCCGACCTACAGTGCTCCGAACGGTAGGGACTTGGGTTGTCTGCTGCGCCTGCAACGCCATTTAACTCGGAGGACTTGGCAATTTGAATTTCAGATCCAACGCGCATGCGCTGCCCTACGTGACAACATTCCTGCCACAGATTATTATTGTGCATCCATACCCTTTAGGTTTCCCTCGGGTCGACTGTCCCTCTGCGGTGTACGGAGTACAAGCCCGTAAGAAAGAGAGAGGAAGGGGGGAGAGAAAAGAAAAAGAAAAAGAAAAAGACAACGACCCAACCCTCGATGCTAGTTTAGTCTATCTGTGTAAGAAATATAACCATTTCAGCCCTGACCCAATCAAAAAAAAAAATCTAAAATAATAATCAAATAAAATCACTTCCATTCCCTGAATCGTTTACCCGTTTATCTTCTGTTTCTGCCTTCCCTTGATTCCACTGCCCATCCGTCTTTTTTTCTTTCCTTCCCATGCCCCCTTCCCATATACCGCCACCAGTGGTTCGGTCCACTCGCAATCCCTTTCCGCCAGGACTGGCGACAAGGCGTCTATAACTACTCCGATTCCTTCCCGCTAACCCAGTTACTACTTACTACGTAGATCATTCAACGGGGCAGCATGCCATTCGAAGGGAGCAAGGGGAGCAACCACCGATCTAGTTATGGTTTTATATAGTAATCTTCCTCTGGGAAAGAAGTAATTCGAGACATATGAATTGAATAATGATCGTGATCATGATAGTCAAAACCCCGAGGCGGGACCAGCGAGATGACCACCGGCACGCTGGGCCCGGCCCAAGTATCAACCCATAATTCATGATTATTATTTTTTTTTCGCTCAAAGGGCAAGGAGATGGTCATCATGAATTTTCTCTGGTTCTTGGTGGATGGAGGATCCGTCATATTAACACATCGGGACTAGGGGCGAGGACGTGGACTGGTCGGGATCCTGGACGGCTTTCCTGAGTCTTCTGTTCTCTTTCTTTCTCGCTTCTGCTCTTTTCTCTTCCTCTTCTCTCCTCTCCCTCTCTTCCTCACCTTCCCTACCGGCGACTCTCTGCCACTCTTGGCTTAGTCGCCTTTTCCTCTCTTGTGTCCCTCTACCCGACTCCACTGACCCACCGACGTTTGTCCTTTCTCTCTTCTTATCCCTCCTCCCTTTCCCGTGGTGTATTCGCCTCAATATCCTCCTCAACTCCCATCTTCCCTCCCCCCTTCGCTGCACTTGCATACACCCGGTCAGACTATCCACTAGTTCGAGTCTATTATCGGCTGGCTACGTCTGTTCCAGATTCGTTTACTCTTCATTTACTACACTCACGCCACGGGGTCTTCTCTACACCCCCCCCCCAATCGGTTCTAAGGGCTTTGTTCTTGTGTTGCTTTCACTGCACTGTTACTATCATTGGACTACAAGCACCTTTGACAGCCCGTTTTCTTTTTCTTTCCCCTTCCTTTTTTTAATTTCTTTCCTTTCTCTCCTTTATCTTGTCTCATCTTGTCTCGTAAATTTTTCCTTCCTACATATATTCGTCTTTCGTCTTTTGTCTTCCCTGCTCGGAGGTCTTCGAAGGTTCGATTCTCTTTCGGCTAGTAGTTTATTCTTGTCATTCCCGGCTGGTTGTCGATCCTGATAGTCGGGTACGCCTGTGTGCCATTTTTCGTTTTCCTCAATTCGCCATTGACCTTCCAACTCCCTTGCGGAAAACCAAAGGCACCATTCAAAGGGGAAAAAAAGCAGGAAACGAGAAGGGGAGATAGGACGATTACGATTTTCTAACCTGGGCAACGAAAGTGACGCTCTAGTCCATTTTGGGCCGACACTCTTGCCCTCCAGCACCTTTTCTCCCTTTTTCGTTTTCCCCCATTTCTCTTTTTCTCTTCCTCCCTCTTCTGATACTCGGCGGATAGTGTTCGACACCAACCATCTGCACCATCACATCTCATGAGGGATCTTCTACCCGACACGGCCCGTTGCTGAGCTTTTGCATCTCTGCGTCCGAGGCATTCGGTGTTCCCACCCGTATCGAAGACCCTCCGACGCAGCGCTGGAGGCGCATTGCTGCTTCCTCACGGGTCTTTGATTTTTGTTTTTCATTTTTTTGTCCCTGATCTTTCATCCTTTTTTTCTCCTTTCGCGCTTGAGGGTTGGTCATGGCCTCGGATAGGTCACCGCCCCAGAAGTCGCAGCAACACGTGAGTCCCGACTCTCCCTCTGGTGCTCCTGTTGCTGCCGGCCAACGACGCATGCCCACCCCTGGTCAATCTTCACGAACGGAATCGGCCGACTCTCCCACCCCCCAAGGGGCCGCCACCGTGAATGACCCGCCCACTCAACTCATGGCCACCAGCGCATCTCCTTCAGAGGCTGCTGGTACGGAGCCACCCAGCACCTCTGCTACTCCGGCTCCTTATGGCACCCGTTCCAGAGGCCGTAATGCTGCTCCCCGTCCTAACTACGCGGAGGATCGCGACATCGACATGGATCTAGAGGCCTCCCAACCCGCAATCAAATCTGGCAAGCGGACGAGTGGTGTCAACCCCAATGCTAACAACACCCCGAATGGCTCAAAACAAGAAGCCGAAAAGTCAACGCTGTCGTCTTCAAACGCGCGGAAAAATCAAACGGCGGTGAATGGTGCAAACGTCGCCTTCGCCGCCAAAGATTCGATTCCTGGCACTTCGTCCTTTTCTGCCAAGCCTGAGGAGACCGGCGGGTCGTCAACTTCGAGGAAACGAAAACAACCCGCCAGTTCGTCAAGTACCAACACCCCCAATGGCAACGCAACCAAGAAGGTCTTCACAACAGCCCCGGGAGCTACCCAGGGACACGGTGAATCTAACATGGTCTCTTTCGAGAGTCGCGGCGCCTACTTGGAAGATGGAAAAATCACGGCTGACGATGGCACCACATTTGCGGTGAATGGTGAGTGTCTGCCTTTATTTTTTTTTTTTTAAATTTTTATCTTGTCTTGGGTTTTCCCCAGCCTTCGTTTCTCTATTGAAATTTATTATGATTGACTCTTCCCCCTTTAGACCATGTTTATCTCATCTGCGAACCGCCGGGTGAACCGTATTATCTGGCGCGGATTATGGAGTTCATCCCTTCCAGAAACGCGCCCTCCGGCCCGATCGAGGCGCTGCGGGTGAATTGGTATTATCGACCACGTGACATTCAACGCAAGGTGGCCGATACGAGGCTTGTATTTGCGTCGATGCACTCCGACACGTGCCCGCTTACCTCACTACGAGGGAAATGCCACATCGCGCATTCGTCGGAGATTGAAGACTCCGACGAATATCGGAAGAGCCGAGACTGCTTCTGGTATGACAAGATGTTCGACCGTTACATCCATCGGTATTATGAGGTAATTCCCACCAAAAAGGTGATTAACGTCCCTTCGAATGTCAAGAAGGTTCTGGATGAGCGCTGGCGGTTTGTTCTTGTGGAAATTGGGAGAGGTAAGGAGTTATGCAGTGCGGTCAAAACTTGCAAGCGGTGTAGCTTGTATGCCGCGAGCAATAACTCTGTGGACTGTGCCGTTTGCCACGAAACATACCATATGTTATGTGTACGACCCGTCCTGACCAAAAAACCGGCACGAGGATTCGCGTGGGCCTGCGCCGCCTGTAGTCGAGCCCAAGAGCGCAAACTTGAGGCTCGACATACTCCGGTTCTCGGCGAAACGCAGCCAGAGGTCGAGGAAGAAATCGTCGAGGAGGAAGAAGAAGAACCACATGTCGCAACCGATACGGCCGGTAATACCCCCGCACCCGTCGAGGAGCAGGCGACCCGACCAGCTACGGAAGAACAGAAGGCGCAAGCGCGGATGTGGCCGTATCGCTATCTAGGCCACCATTGCAACGTTGAAGATGCTCTCGACTACGACGACCGAATATACCCTCGAGCGAGTTCCCGTTTAGGTGGACGACACCAGGCTCAAGTCACTGAGTGGCTTGGACGCCCCGTGAAATACGTCAAGCCGGTAGACATCAAAAAGAAGCTCCCCAAGGGCTCCAGCAATCGGAAGGATTCGAAACTCGCCAAGGAAGCACACGCCGCCCAAGAAGCCGCGAAGCAAGAAAGAGCCAATCGACCGAAATATGTCCTAGATGAGCCGAAGGGGTACGTACCAAGAGGCGAGGATGAGCTGGTCACCGTCGACGGGAAGCAAGTTTACACCGCAGAACCGCTATTCAAAATGCCCACTCCGACCCAACTTTCTTTACGCGGCGAGGAAGACGCCCCCGGCGCAGATCTGAACCCCACCGACCGCGAGCAGTTTATCGATCGATACATGGCCCGGGCAAAGGAAATAGCGCCCGACCTGGATGTGACACCATACTCTACGAATTTTCTGGACAAAGCCTTGGAACTACTGTACTCTAATAGTTTCGACGCTGATGTCGCCCTAGGCAAGTTGAAGCAGATGAACAAGTACGAGGACCTCAAGGAACCGCATCTGAGCCCGGATGAGGTGAAGCTGTTCGAGCAGGGGGTCTCCAAGTTTGGGTCGGAGCTGCGTCATGTGACCAAACATGTCGGCACGGTGCCGCATCGTCAGATTGTTCGCTTTTATTACATGTGGAAAAGGACGAATCGCGGTCGCCAAATATGGGGCACCTATGAAGGTCGGCGGGGCAAGAAGGAAGCTAAGCGAAGCAGTGCTGCAAAGCTTGTTGACGACGTGGCAGACGACCACGACGACTCCGCATATGACAACGACAAAGCAACCGAGAAGAAACGCGGATTTCAGTGCAAGTTCTGCTTGGAACGAACATCACGCCAATGGCGACGTGCCCCGGGAGTTCCGCCCGGCACCACGACGCCGAGCGAGCCGTCTTCTAGGCAACGCGACAAAGGCCCGCAGCTTACCGTGGCCCTCTGTCTGCGTTGCGCTCTGCTGTGGCGGAAATACGGCATCCAGTGGGAGAGCGTTGATGAGGTCGCCAAACGCGTTAACCAAAGCGGCAACAAGTCGTGGCGCCGGCGCATGGACGAAGAACTGCTGGTCCAACTTCTCCTCGGAACGGAAATCCCAATCAGCATCAGTCCCGCGACCGCGGCTACGGCCGCCTCGATTGGTGTCGTGGTGAACGCCAATCCCCAGGTGCAGCAAGAGTCGACCAAGAAAAGGAGGCCCATTAACGACAAGGATAGTGGTGCCAACTCTACAGCCACTTCAGTCGAGCCCCCACCGAAGAAGAAACCAGCCCCCGAAAAGGCTCCGGATCCGCCGCCCATCCACCCGGATCCTCCCAGGGCCAAAACGCTCCCTTGCGCCGTTTGCAACAAGATGGAACCCATGGGCGATCAGCATCTTTCCTGCCGAGACTGCCGTCTAACCGTCCACCGAAGATGCTATGGCGTCAGCCCGACTAGCAATTGTGTCAAGTGGTTGTGCGATATGTGCTCGAACGATCGGAGCCCGAAACTCTCGACTCGCTACGAATGTGTCTTGTGTCCGGTGACCTGGACTGAACATGAGCTGATGGAGACCCCGAGATCGACCCACAAGAAGAAGAGTGAACGAGACCGGGAGAAGGAGAGACTGGAAAAGGAAATGGTGAGCGAGGCCATCAAGCTGTATCGACAAAGACAAGAAGCCGTGGGGAAACCGGTCGGTCCTCGAGAACCACTCAAAGCGACTACCGGCAGCAACTGGGTTCATGTTACTTGCGCGGTCTGGACGCCGGAAATCAAGTTTCGCGACGCGAAAAGTCTGGAAGTTGCAGAGGGATTCGGACTCATTCCCTCGGAACGGCATCAAGAGGAGTGTAAGATTTGCAACTCCACCCGGGGAGCATGCGTGCCGTGCCATTTCAACGGCTGCAATGCTCGGTTCCACGTCGGCTGTGCGCACCAGGCGAACTATCTTTTTGGGTTTCACGTGACACCCGTCAAAGGCTCGCGAAGAGATTCCGTGAGTAGCGTCAAGCTTGGCGAGGAGACGGGAGTCATCACGGCAGGGATCTGGTGTCCTAACCACACCGTGACTTCCGTTGTCCACGAAATCGGCGAGCCAACTGGGGAAGATGGCGAAAACGCCCTCGCGCGGTTTTCTGAGATCTACAAGCAAGCGGATCTGAGCAAGACCGAGACTGAACGGAGGGCTGCCTCTGTGCAGCAATATCCTAGCGCGTCATCGCATGGAGGGACATCCGTGATAAGCCGCCGGTCGGCTTGTGCTGCCAATGGTATCTCCAATCCCCAACCGATTACTGTCAAGGACAATCCGAAGAACACCGTTACATCGCCCGAGGCTGCCCCGGACGAGATGGACATCGATTCCGACAATCGCCCCCCGGCCCGGATCCTCGGCGGAGGAGATACGACGAAGAAATGTGCACGTTGCTCGACCGCGTACAGCCCCAGGTGGTGGCCCGTGGATAAATCACGGTTGGCGACCATTGTTCATCACGGTACGCCATTGCTCAATGGTGGAGGCTTGAATGAACCTGCCGGACCCAGATATCCGAGTGCTGCATCGGCGAGCCCACCGTACCTTCATCGAACCCCCTCGCAGCCACCGCTCCCGAAGCTCAACGGGGAGTACAGCCTTGCCGAGCGAAATACGACTAGTCTCGACGGACCTGGAGGCCCGCAAGGCCAGGCGTTGTACGAATGCCATAAATGCCACCTCAAGAAAATAGCGGCTCAGCCATCTCCCGAGCCACGGCCGTCTCCGTACTCCGCTCAGCGTCCTGTCCTTCCGGCTCCTCGACTTGCCGAATACCACGGCCACTCTTACGCGCCTCACGCGCATCCTCCGCAGACGGGAGGAGTCCTTCCAAGGCCGATCGCACCCCCGCAAAATGGACACAACGGACCGGAATGGTACGCGGGATATGAGCAACGACCGAGTGATTACGGCGACAACAAGCTCCGAAACGGCATCCCAATTCCCAGTTACCGCGGAGGGCCTCCGGGACCGCCGCCGCCGCCGCCGACAGCACACCACATGAATGGATATGCGCCTTCGCCTTCCCACCACGCGCCTCCGCCTCACTACAGCGGAGCTCATCCTGCCCACCCGCCTCCTCAGCCGTACCCACCCCATCAAAGTCCCTACGGGCCCGTCGCCATGTCCTCGCCTCATCCCTCACACACGGCAGGGTCACGTGCGTACGCGCCATCAGCCTCACCTCCGGACGTGCAAGCAACAATGGTTCGACACTCGCCTCCGCATTCGCTCAGTGCCCTGAATGGCGGGCCGCCGGCACGTGTCTACTCGGTTGACCGCGTCTTGAAGGCGGCGACCCAGTCGCCGCCAGTTTCCCAGGCGCACGTCGATCCCCGGGGACTCACCCCGGCCAAGTTGGAGGAGACGCCCGTCCTGGCACCGGCGGCCCTCACGAGCAGCAGTCGGCACACCAACGGCACCAACGGGTCGTCTGGTGCCAGCGCCAGCCCGTCGTTGAAGAACTTGCTCTCCTAAGGCAAATGTCTTAGCCTTTCCACCTACCCCTTGTGTACGATAGTTTCTTCGTTTCCTCGATTTCCTGTTTCCCGTCTCTGGCATTTAAAAGTGGGGTTTGGGATACTTGCCATCAGCGTTGCTTTTTAGACTTTTAACCGATTTACCTCTGTTGTTCTTTATTTAATGTTCGTTCATTTTACCCTCGACATGTTTTCTTTTCTTTTCTTTTCTTTGTACCCCATGAATTTTATTCCTTTTCGATGTTTCCGTGTGTATTTTCCTTGGTCCTACATTTTCTCTTCCATGCGTTTTACGGAAGCCGCCGTGTCTTGATTACACCGCCATTTACGAGAAGTCTGTCTGGGATTAGGAAGTTAGGGGAAGGTGCATGGGCAGGTTTCCATCCCTCAGCGTTCAGGATTTTGCATTTACAATCGCACCGATACTACCACGACGATGAATGAGAGAAGCTAATCAGTTCTAAATGTACACTTCTAAATACGATGTCCAATCCCGACCCCGGATTCAAACAAAGGCGACCCCCGGTCCCGGGTCGACTTGGCCCGCCACGGCGATGCGGGGTAGCGTACCTTGTCTGTGGACTTGGGGGGACGAGAAAACCTAGTAGAACGAAACGACATGGATGGGACTCCGGGGTAGAGGAGAGAGGGCGAGAGGACGGCGGGGATGATCCCTGAATGCGAGGGGGTCGATGTTCCTATTCCGCAGATATATAGTGGTCGAGCCACATGCGACCGGCCTTGGACTCCCTACGTACAGCATATACCGACCTTAGTAGCAGGAGCAGGTAATATGGGTGGTACGATGTACTCCGTATGTCTCCAGATAGGATAGGATCTCGCGGGATTCCTTGCCCAAGAGTAGGTACTCCGTCGTAAGTAAGGTACGCCCTCAGATCGGTGGATCGTCGACTGGTAGGTGAACAGCAAACATAGAGTTTAAAAGAGCTCGATCTGTTCGACCTCCTCACATGGAACACAAAGAAAGTCCAGTTGGTTCCCGGGGAACTAGGCTACCTACCTACACCGTCCTACTGAGTAACCGTCACTGGGGAACCTAGTCTACTCAGTACTCCCCGCCCTTTGGCAGACGCGGAACGAATCGGCGTGACGGGATTTGCAAAGACTATGGCCCCAGGCAGTCAGGCAACTAATTAGATAATCGGCCGACCTGAGTCCACTTTTTCCTGCCCACTTTCTCAAGACGAGTCCACATTTACTTGCAAGAATAATATTCAGGTAAATTGATTAAGCATGAAAATTTATCCCGTGGGTTTTGAAAGTCCCTCACCTCTGCTAGTCAGTGCCAGCCAGTGCCAGTGCCAACCCGGTTAAAAAAAGAAAACACCGAAAATTAATGAGTAATAAAAAAAGATCGAATCATCGTCATCGCGAGGGAGGGATGCTGGAGACCTGATCGCATGATCGCATGATCGACCGTTACCCCGGAATGCAGCGTAAATTGAGGACAGGGAGAAAAGAGAGAGTCGAGGACTCGGACTCGAGAGTTCGGCAATAACACAATCAAATAAATCGAATCAATACTCCCTACTCATACTCCGTGTACAGATGTTGCCTCCTACACCTCTGTACCACGCCGATTATATCATAATGCATCACCTTCAGGGAGTTGCGTCAGTGGTTGGTTGCCACCCCTGAGGGCTCCAACCAGCTCAGCTTCCCCTCAACGTGTTGCCAAGTCAGTCGCTGCAGGAATGCGGATGGAATTTCTAGAATCACAAACAAAGATCGCCCAAAATTACAGCTGGCTTTTTACTTACTCGTAGTACGGAGTACGACTGGTACGTAGTACGAAGTAGATGATTGCTTCCCTCCACTCTGTACTCTGTAGATCTCTGCCTCACTTACCCAGGCTTTCTCTCTTCAGATCAGTCCACAAACCACGCCCGGTAGCGAAAATCAAAAGAGAAAGAAAAATAAAAATAGGAAAGACAAGTGATGACTGACGACTGAGTCAGTGGGACACGATGCGACCGAAATCCTTCGACCATCCTGTGAGGCGGAGGTTATTCTTAGTCTGGCGTAGTCGATGGATTCCGTCCAGCCCGCGAGATTCTAGAAAACCCACGAAGCCTGTCCTGGACTAACCATTTCGTCCCCGCTCCACTCTCTCCGCTCACTTTATCTGTCTCTCTCTCTTTTTTTTTTTTTTTTTTTTTTTTTTTTTTTTTTCCTGTCTACGGAGTATCTTTCCGTCGGAATGGAGGGATGGATGAGTATCTAGTATATACTCTGTACTATCTGTACGGAGTAGACAGGGTACAGGGATCGTGGGGTGATTTCTATACGGTGTACTCCGGATGTTCATCGCTCCTCTCCCTAGATGCTGGGGCTGAGGATTCGATCCCTGTGTGTAGGGTATTAAGTATATTAGGTACATACCTACCTACGACGAAGAAGAGGAGGGAATTCATGCCTGGACTCTGGAGGACTAACGTGGACATTTTATATCGATCCCGGTCACGGTCCCGATAGTGAGTCAAAAAACAAGATCCAGGCAGGCCATCAGATGATCGTAATATCGCGGGCAGAATCTAGACTGCCTCTGGTGAGGAGGACCGACGGAATAAATAAAAATACCAGTACCGGATCGGCCCCATCGGCGAGTCTCTGACGACGCCCGCACCCGCCGTGCCGCGACCTTCTGGAAGTCTGGAAGAATCATGTCTTCTCTGCAAGTCGTTTCTTTTGCCAGTCATCCTCACTGAATAACTACTCAGTACTCAGTAGTTAGTTAAACAACGGAGCTGAGTAACGAACACCTACGCAGTAGAATCATTGATCCAGTGCATACTCCACACTCTCTATCTCCCCATCGGTCCCTCAGTGCCAGACGATCGATTCGAAGCCTTGGATCGCACTGCCCAAAGAACCTCAACCCACACTTTCCTCGCCCTCCTCCACTTTTTTTGCCCTTCGTCTCTCCCTGTCTTTCTCTCTTTCTCTCTCTCGGTTCCCATCCTTTCACCTCTCATTTCTCCTCTCTTTTTCCCTCGCTCACCAATTATCAGCATCCCCGGTCATATCGCCTGTCCGAACCTCTGGCCCGTTGCAGGCCCTCTCGCCATCCACTCCCCCTCTTGTTCTGCCTCTGTTCATTCCCTTCTCCTCACTTTACCAAGTTACCATTTACTGCCACTGACTGGCAACCTTTTTTCTTTTTCTTTTTTCTCTTTTCTTTTTTTCTTTCTTCTTTTTTTCTTTTTTTTCTTTCGTTTTATCGTTGTTCCCGGGTTCCTATTTTCTTTTACTGGAATTATTGCAGTACGGACCATCCTCTGAAGCCCGAACCTATTCCCACATCACATCCACACACCCTCCGCCCCCCTTGCAAGTCCCTCCCGTCTGGTCTCGGGACTTGTTTTCCCTTCTCTCTGTCTGTCTTTCTGGCTTTCTCTTCAAGCCATTTCGGCCCCTTTATCTGTGACATTCACCCCGTACTTTGCTTTGCTTTGCTCGCGCTCTCTCTCTCCCTCTCTTCCTCCTCTCTTCTCCTCCCCCCCCCCCGGGTCACCCACCCGATCGATTTCTCCCTCTCCACTTTCCACTGTTTCGTCTTCATCTTCTCTCCGTTCAGCCCGGTTGGTGGCCCGTCATGACGCCCTAGTATTTTCTTTGTCTCTTTTTTCACCCCCTTCGAATTTGGACTGGACACTCGATCCTTGGATGTGTCGCGATTCCCGTGCGATTCCCCCGATTGAATACTCCCGGCCGCCTTTTAGTCTGCGTGGAACGTCGAAGTGACCCTCTCGAGTACTACTTCTAACCCCATTGCCTTCCTTTTCGGTCACCTTTCTCGCCGCTCAATTCCTTTCTTCTGTCGACCTTGGTCGCTTCTTAATTTCTTTCTCGACTGTGAAATGTAAGTGATCCTGCGTCTCCGGTGGTCGCGGTCGGTGGAAAGCGACAAAAAACGTGCGTGCGGTACAAAGAACTGGGATTATGTCTCAGGGAAAAGGGGAATTTCCGACAGATCCTGACGCTGGCCACCTCCCTCGATTGTCACTGGGTCATTCAATCAATCTGCCGGAGGATAACCCGCAGTGGACAAATACATTGTTCGATTGAGCGCTCCGACCTGGATCGTTGTTCGGGGATCTCCGATTCTCTGGTCGCATATCGTGGTTCGACTGTTACGCCGTTGTCGCCTTTGCCCCGATTGCACCTCCTAGCTCTCTCGTGAAAAAATGAAAGAAAAAGGGTTACTGACGCAGTTATACAAATCAACAGAACGAAACCTTACATTCACTCCCTTGATATTGCAGCAATTTTCTTCTCACCACCCAAGACGTTACCGTCGTCGCTTCCCTTTTGTATATTTTCCGCCTGCCGCTCGTTTCTCCCACGTCTCGGCTTGCCCTCAACCATTGCATCTCAACCTTATGAAGGTCGGGTGCTAACCGAGTAGAACTTAACGTCCTCTTCTCTTTCTCTCGCTTCTCGTAGTGCGTTGTGAAACGGACTGCGACCTCGAATTTCCTTTCCGCTTTGTGTACCGAATCCAACCGCCATCATGGATCGCATTGAATGTTCAGCAGTATATATTGATCATCGCGTTAGTTCGGAACGATGGGTGTCAATCGATGGATCGGCAGATACTGCTAACGCCAATACCTTTCTAACTGCCGACGAGCCCGAATCCCTTCGCTCCGACGTAAAGCTTTTGTTGGGAGTTTCCGATCGAAGTATGTACCTTGCGGTTTCGCTATAGCCACCCTGTGATTAGATCCTTGTGCTAACGATGGGGTTGGAATGTAGTCTACCTTTGCCAATCCGGAGCTTCTCTCGCCTCGAAATTGGCCGAATGCAATGACAGGGGCATGAAGTCCTGTTCGCCCATCTTCGCGTTCTTCGATATCGACATGAACGACACCGAGTCCGGCCTATCTCGGCGCAAGAGCAGCCGTGGTTCGTGGCCAGAAATCGCCCCTCCCTCACCGACGTCGTTACATCGCCAATTCACATTTTCGTCGCAATCCGAAGGAACATACGATCTGAAGCTGCTCTCCGGATTATCCGCCGATATTCAAGTCCAGGAAACTCCGAACCTCATCGTGCCAGTCGCAATTTTGCGCTCGCCGCAAGGTGTCCCCACCAGCGCTCCTTCCGATGACCAGCGCGGCGATGTCCCGGTTCCAGGGCTCCAGCAGATTTCGAGATGTTTAGATGCCGGCGCGGTGGACGTTCTAGCGGCTCCTCTAGACAAGGCCAGAGTGCAGGGTCTCATCGTACACGCTTTCAGGATTCGGAAATCTGCGCTGAAGGAGCAGTCGCGCTTCTTATCGAAGAAGAAATTGCGCAAACACTCGTGGGTGGGCGTGCATGATGAGCAGCCCTATGCTTATTTGAGAGAAGCCATGTAGGTTTGCGCCGGAGGGGAATCCTTGGCCAACAGCGAGTGGTTGCTAATGAACATGTGTTTTTTCGCAGGGTATCGAAATTGATGAAGGGCATCTGCAACCCCGAAGACTTTATAGAAGATTTTCAGGAACGGTAGGCGAAACGTCCCACCCTTTTCCTCCGGATGATTTGCTCATGTTGGCTTGCAGGGAACTGGACATACAGCCCGAACGCTTGGAACTCATAAGAGAGAAAATTGGGTCATGGTCGTACAATGGCCACGATTTCTCCGAGGATGAGCTAGTGCAAGCTGCGTTTGAGATGCTCCAGCACGCCTTCACCCTACCCAACCTGGAACATTGGCATCTCACGTCGGATGAGCTCTTGGAGTTCTTGCTTGCCTGCCGCACCTCCTACAACTCTTTCGTCCTCTATCACAACTTCCGACATGCTATCGATGTTCTGCAGTCCGTATTCTGTTTTCTGCTCCACATTGGCGCCTTGCCGCCCGTTGGATCCGTTTCCCAGAAGCCTGAGTCCATCTCGCCGCTCGCAACTCTTCTGACGCCGTTCGACACTTTGACGTTGCTGATTTCTGCGATTGGACATGATGTCGGCCATCCCGGTGTGAACAATTTTTTCTTGGTCAAACTCAATGCGCCTTTGGCCCAATTGTACAACGACAACTCGGTCTTGGAAGCCTTCCACTGCGCCGCGTTCTCGCAAATTCTCCGTCGCTACTGGCCCGCAGCCTTCAAGGATAAACAACTCCGCAAACTTCTGATCAGCTCGATTCTCGCTACCGACATGGGCGTTCACCAGAAGTTCATGGAGCGGCTCGGGTCGTTACAGGAAAAGTTCCACGAGAATGGCAAATCTCTGGACGGGTGGAAGCCGCAGGATCTTGATATGTACAAGACGCTCCTATGCGGCCTGTTGATCAAATGCGCCGACATCAGCAATGTGGCACGCCCGTGGCACGTGGCGGAAAAGTGGACCAAAATCCTGCAGGAAGAATTCGCCAACCAGGGAGAGATGGAGAAGGAGGTCGGGATGGAAACGGCTCTGTTCGGCGGCCCTCCGGAACTGGGGAACACCTTCAAGCTTGCGACGGGCCAAATCGGGTTCATGTCGATATTCGCTCTCCCCCTCTTCGAAGGCGTGGCGGACATCTTGCCCGGCATGGAGTTCACCGTTGAGCACATCCGCAACAACCAGTCTAATTGGCATCTGCTCGCCGACCTGGAGCGAAAGAAACAGGCGTTGCGCGGTGAGCTCAACCCAGAGGACGTGCTTTCTCCCCGCACGCAGAGCCCCGCGACCAGTATCAGAGGTCTTCAAGGCCTCCGTGCGCCGTTGGCCACGCCGGGCCCTGATACGCCGGTCAAGCCAGTGTTCCCGCCCACTGCGACGAACAACCGAAACCAGGCCAATGATTACTTTGGATCGATTCGGTCGCCGTCGGAATCCACGTCGCAATCGGGAGATAGCCTGAACGAAAACGCCATCAGCCCGGTAATGTCGCCGGATACGCCCGGCCCATCGATGGACATCACCGGAATTCCCTTCACGACCGAAACGCCGACGCGAAAGTCTTCCAGTGCCGTGCCTGATCTCGCCAGGATGTCCATCGCAGAGGCATCTCCGGAAACCGAAAATGCGACGACGCCGGTGCCATCCCATGCGAATGTTGCAGGCCACCACGCTAGCGGTGATGCGAACGGCTCTTCAACTTCCTCCCAAGACCCAGCTGTTTTGGCCGCCGTCGTCTATGCGCAGGAAAACCAAGACCACGATGACTCGGTCGAGGACGGCACCGGAGAAAGACCCAGCAGTTCGCGCAACATGCCATACCGCCGCCATCACGCCAACACCGGCTCGTCCGGTCGCACGTCGGGCCCGTCGAGCTCTCAACGGAACAGCTGTACTCGGACGCACAGTCTCAGCAATTATAGCAACAACATGACGCCCATCTCTCCTGCGACAAACGCCACCAGCTTCCTCACCGTGGACAGCGGTGATGAAAAGGGTCTTTCACCGGAGGGCAGCCCAGACCAGGACGACTTTGGAAGGGACAGCAGCGCACGCCCTAGCTCGTCGAGTTTCGCCGACAACAGTGGGGAACAGCATCCCCGATCTCCCAACAGTCCCACCTCCCATCCGATGGACGACGCTAGCAAGGGTCATCACCTGCACTTGAACTCGCCGCGCCGAGAAAACGGTGTCGGCAGTTCTCATTCTACGTCGACCGATGCGAGTATGAAACATGGCCATGATCCGCACCACTGGAATGACATGTCCGGTGGTGAACAGCAGCAGCAACCGCAGCAGCAACCTCGCAAACGCCGAAGCCGTCTCCGGTTGGCCTTTTGGCGGCGCAAAAATCATCATTCGCATCAACACGAACTGAGCGGCGAATCATGAATGATTTTGTTTCTTATTACTTACCATTCTTCTTATCGAGGAAAATTTCCATCATTTTTCCCGATCTATGTTTTGATATATCTACTTCTTTCACAAAAAACGGTGTTTGTAGCTGGGAAATCCATTTGGAAATGAATGGACAGGTATATGGTGAGAGCCTCATCCTTTGGGACAATGGGCTTCTCTTTACGATGGAATTGCATGATTGTGACGACAATGCTCGGTAAACATACGAACATCGAGCTATCAAACCAAAAAACAACACCTTTTCTGACTGGAGGGCGCCGCGATATTCGAGTCGCATCCGAGTTCTTCAGGAACAACTCTTCACCCTTCTTTTACGAATATCTGACGATATTGACGACGCTATCCGGCGCGACCTGACGAGAGAATGCCTTGGTTGGCTTAACTCGTTTGCCTAGAAAGTGGACGGTCTCGATCTATTCGACCGGCTCAGTCGATGTCGGATGGCCGACGATCTCCGACGGATTTGATTATCTTTTTTTTTTTTTTTTTTCAACGAATTGCAACAACAACATGGAGTTGGGGCACTTACTTTATTCACTTATTCACATATGGTTCTGTTCTTTGCCTCGCAATAGGGACAGGCAGGCTCTGGGTTTTGGGAGGGTAAATTTAGAGTCGGGGGCGTGCGTGTTTGGCGTTTTTGAGTTGGAAGAATCCAGGTCTACCTGGCCTTTCATTTCTTGAGTTGCTCTTGGGGATTCTATATAGTTTCCTCCTGTGCATTTTGCTTTCATCTTGATCTTCTTATCTTGTCTTGTTCGTTTTATTTTTATTTTTCTTTCATATTAGCATAGTATGGTATGTTTGTGAAATGCACATGCCTGCCTGGTTTGGATATATATTGAGATATTAATATTTATGAAAGTATTAATATCATTTCATTTCGAATGAGACGTTCTTGTCGAGGATATTGTCTATCTATCTATTTTCTAGTTATCGATAGTAATAGTAGATCCTTGTATCCTTGCAACCCCTAGTGTAGGATTATCACCGACAATCTTCACATTCCTTCGTCCCTGCATCTGCATTTGACTCTGACTGACCCTGTCCCTGTGTCTGCACATTCGACGAGGTCGAAGTGACTGCAGGGGTGAAAGTGGATGTCTGCCCCTGTCCCTTATTCAACGCCCGATCCGTATGTCCGAGGCTTCTTCCAGGCGAGACGATGTTTCTGACGAGTGATTTTAGGACTTTTACTTCTGTTTGTGGGAATGGGGAATTGGATGGGTTGTTAGTTTTATATTGTATCAGGATCAGTAGTGGTGTGTTTGTATAGATGAGGGTAGGTAGGTAGGTAGGTATATCTTATCTTGCAGAGTAGATAGATATGGTGATGGAGATGAAGATAGATGGTGGTTCCAATCATATACCATACATAGCATAGATATAATAGAACAAACAAGATAGAATAGAGACGAGGGTATAATCAAACAGAAAAGCCGAGGAGAAAAATGGAAGCGGAGTAAGGAATAGGGAATAGTAATGAGAAGGGAGGGGGAAGGGGGGGTATAAGACGAACCAGGAAACCCGCCATCAGTCTTGCGATCCCAGAGCCGCGTTGCGATTTCTTGTCCGTCAGATTGAGTACTCTGAGTAGTTTCTGACTCTGACTCGGTACTGCCCGGGGTGTGATATATCGTCACGGTGAAGATCCCGCCCGTGCTCGGGACGAGGGAGACTTCTTGGAGGTCGGTGGAGAAGGTGGAGAGGAGTTCTTGGGCGAACTATTATTCATGGATCATAGATTAATGGGTGTAGGTTTATAGGGTATGCATGTATGTATCCAGGAGGATGTATATATGTGTGTATATACCACCAACAGTATACATATACCAAGTAGGTACGTCTACCGTAAGTACGCACCCGCCTAGCCAAAAGAGAAAACCCAAAAAGGAAACCAAAAAGGGAAAAGGGAAAAGAAAACCTACATAGGCAGCCCTCAACATCCACTTACACTGCGTACAGTATTGGATGGCAATGCGCGGACGAGGACCAGGACGGCTCGGCTCCGTTCCAGCGGCGCCAATGCCAGGGTTGGCACTGGCTGTGGCGGCGGAAGGAGGAGGGGTTGTGCCTGTGGTGGTGCCGCTGGTTGGGGGCGGTTGGTGCTCGGACATCGTTTCTTTGCTTTCAGTCTCTTGACCGCTGGGTGTGGCTTACGGAGGGCCAGAGGGGAGAGGGTATTGGTACAGTGTATATGGAAATATTAGCAAAGAGGTCAAGTGTAGGAATCAATAATAATATGTAAAAGAATCGGTCCGTATAAACCGGGAATTTGATCTGCAAGAGGGGCTGTCAGACTCACGGAACTGAGGGGAGGGAAAAGGAAACGCAAAGCAAAGCAGAAGGAATGAGACTGTTGTTTCGGAGGGCGGATGATGTCAGCGGCAAGGCTGCTTTGCTTGGGTCTGGATGGATGTGGTCCGTGTTTATGGATTCTATATTCTATCTGGTTGATTTTATCTCTCTCTGTCTGATGATATCGTTTTTATCATCATTGTGATCATGAGTTGATTTAACATTTTCTGATACACCCTGCAATATACACTGCATTCTGGCTGGATGTCGATCGATCGGGTCAGTGCAGATGATTATTGCATGGCACATGATTCGGATGCATTCAGCTAACCAGAATACTTCTGTGTACAGTGTACATGCTGACTGCCACCTGCCACTGCTCACCTTACAGAATGATCTTCGTAATTCTCCGTCCCTCAGGTGGGATATGATGTTACGCTCTACCTACCGAGGATCATGGAAATGATGACAGTATAAACACTAGTCGATAACAACATCTATATTACATCGGTCAGGCTTGACTGAGTGAAATTATTCTGTTCTTTTTTTGTTATTTAATCTGCTTTTGTCCATCCAGGCGGCTGATAGTTTGATCCCACAAACCCGTCCATAATTCACTGACTGCTGCAACAAAGGAAATCCGGAGAATAAGGAAATAAAGAAAAGGAAAATTGAAAAGAGATAAGTCGGGAGAAATTGACACAGATTCCACGGTCAAGGAGTTTTTCAAAAGACGAGTAGGGAAAATGCGATAGAAAAGAAAAAATCAAAAAAGGTCATCAACAATCCGAACCAGGTTTTTCACCGGTCAGCATCCGAAGTTTATGCAAGTCCAGCGCGATCCTTCGGCGGCCCGTGGAACGGCCGTTCTCACTCCATCTTCGAAAGATTCTCTCCCCTAGGTAGTATAGAAAGGTAAAAAAAGGTAGGACAGCGTAATATCCCAAGACTGACGAAGTGAAAAGTGATAGAAGAGAAGAAGTTAAATATCACGACAAATAAATTAGGGTAGTAAGAAGTGAAAAAAGGTCATAGCGATGAGGATATAATATGCGGCAAATAGAGAGGCAAGAACTGCGACCCGACACAGTCCTGTTCAATTTCAAAAGAGACGTCGAAATGTCATGAATCCGTTACATGACCGTGCAGCAACCCTTTTGCTGCGGAGGAGCATAGGGGTCATCGTGCTTGGTAATCTGGATGCGTGGTTAGCGATCGTCGGGGAATCTCCTTGAGAGCAAAAGAAATCGCATACCGGACCCCATACGGACGGCACCATAAAGTCGCGAGTGTTGTTGCAATAATCGATCAATCTGCGAAACAGGAACGAGGCAGATTAGTACACGTGGGCAGGCCAAACGAGGTTGAAACGCATTGATGATGGGGAGATCCCAACGTACGATCCTGCGGCATCCGACACCTTCACCCGGGGGCGGTCCAAATCCTCCTTCAGACGAGCATTGAGCTCGGTCAATCGTCGGTACTTCAGGTCGGCCACACTTTGCTTCTTGTTCTTCACGTCTCCCCCCGATCGGAGTTCGTAGGCAGGCATGTTGATTTTGGCGTTGTGGGATGGTGTCGAGATCGAACGTCGGCAGCGAGGGAAATAAGATTAACGGTATGACGCAGGTAATTAATTAAATCGAATTAATTAATTAGACGTAGGAATTATGCGACGACGTGGGCAGTCGAGCGAAGAGAGTGGGTTGAGAGAAGACAATTGCAGGCAAGCTCCCAGTCGCGCGCTGGAGCCGGCAGTAAGGGGAAGTTGGTGGAAGGTCGGGAAAGGCGGGCGCGACGGGGAAAAGGAGGAGAGGAGGGGAGAGACGGCGGTTCGTCAGAGAGTGAGCGTGTGTGGAACAAAAATTAGAATCTCCTGTTTCCTTGTTTTGGTTTTTATTGTCCTCCGTAACAATGGGGGGATCAACACAAAAATATGGAGAGAGCGAACGAATGGTTGATCCGATATATCGAACTAGGGGAGGGATTAAAGAAGAGGGAAAGAAGGAAAGGAAGGAGGGAAAAAATTAAAGAAGGGGGAGGAGAAAAAAGGCCCCAAAAAGACGAATTGAAAAAAAGAGAGTGACGGACGGTAAAAAGAGGAGGCGGAGGGAAAAAGGCTAAGAAAAGAGAGGAGAAGGAGGAGAGAGAAATGAGAATAAGAGAGAGGAAGGGAGAGTCTGAGTGAGAGGGAGTTCGTTAGTGCCGTCCGGGTGGTCTGTGAGTGGGAATCTTTTAATTAATTCCGGCCAAAAGTCCCCTTTTAGTTGTCGCGGATCTTCGTGCTCTTTTGGCTCTCTCCCCTGACGATGCTGGACGTTGGTGACAATAATGGGGTGCGAGAGAGGTCAGAGCAGGAGATCTATCGACCTGGACTTGGGATCAGGCAAGAGAGCACAATTGTAAACCCAACCAGGCCAAGGTTTGAAGTGCGATGACGTTGGTTGATCTGTCTGTCTTCAGGTGAGCTCCTCTTGTCTCTTGTCTCTGGTCTGTCAGTCTGTCGGTCGCGATGCCCTCACGTGTCCCCTCTGTATCGGTATTGTCACCCTGTGGTCTTCATTACCGGATAGCCCGTGGATACACCGCCAGGCAGAATCAGCGAGCAGAGTCGTTGAGTCAGCAGAGCCACGTGATGTGCGGATGGAGGCAGCCCATCCGCAAGAGACTGGCGGGGAGACTCGGTCGTTCGTTCCTGACGACAACAGATGTCGATTGTAGGAATTCTACCTTCACCGTAGTATTGAAATTATAGTCCAGTAAACCATTCCGCTCATTGTATACACCATACACACCACCCTCCCCTATTTCCTGCTGGAACGCCCTCTGTGGCCGACACCACGTGACCCCCGTCGCTTAACCCGAAGTGGGAACGCCCGGCCGGCCTGTTTTTTTTCGAGATTCTCGCACAACGCCTCTGCTTGCCTGCCCCAACGATCCATCTGGGCCATCTTATCGACCGTCGCGTGGCAGCGTCTTTTTCAATCCAGGCTCCGTATCGCCTTCGACTCTTGCTGCCCGCCCACGTCGTTGTGCCAACTTATAGCCTCCCCGTGTGTTGGCTTGTCTCGACCTCTGTGAATCGCTTATCCTAGACGAGACCTGTTCTCCCCTTGCCCACCATGCCGCCTCCACCCCATATCAAACCGGAGAATGTCCTGAAGGTGAGTCGGTCCCTTCCTGTCGCCGTCTCCGTCCGGATGAATTCGATGTGGAGGATAAAAGCATGGAGGAATTTTGGACTGGACGGAAACAACAACCAAAAAAAAAAGCCCTCGTCGCTAACGCAAGATTTTCTTCACCCGTAGCGGGCTCAGGAACTTATCGCCGTCGGTCAGGCTCCCGCCGCCCTGAACGTCCTCCACGAACATGTCACCTCCAAGAGGACACGCAGCAGCCCCATCTCCTCGCTGGAGCCGGTGATGCTCCTGTTCGTCGAGCTGTGTGTCGACCTGCGCAAAGGAAAGGCCGCCAAGGATGGATTGTACCAGTACAAGAACATCGCCCAGAACACCAACGTTGGAACCATCGAGGTAAATTTCGACAGTCTATGGATATTGGAGAGGATGAACACTCCGCTGATACGTGTTACTTGCTATATAGGTTGTTCTGAAGAAGTTCATCGAACTGGCCGAGAAGAAGGTCACCGAGGCTCAGACCAAGGCCGACGAGATCCAGTCTTCGTTGGAATCCGCCGCTCCTTCTTCCAATGTCGAGGATCTGGAAGCCATCGAGACTCCCGAGACCATTCTCCTGGCCACCGTGTCCGGTGAACAGTCTCGGGACCGTACCGACCGTGCCGTGGTGACCCCCTGGTTGAAGTTCCTGTGGGAGACCTACCGTACCGTTCTGGAGATCCTGAAGAACAACGCCCGTCTTGAGGTCATGTACCAGACCACCGCTCTGCAGGCCTTCCAGTTCTGTCTGAAGTACACCCGCAAGACCGAGTTCCGCCGTCTCTGCGAGCTTCTGCGCAACCACGTCCAGAACGCCGCCAAGTACTCCGCTCAGATGCACGCCATCAACCTGAGCGACCCCGACACCCTGCAGCGTCACCTCGACACTCGCTTCCAGCAGCTGAACGTCGCCGTTGAGCTGGAGCTCTGGCAGGAGGCCTTCCGCAGCATTGAGGATATCCACACCCTGCTGAGCCTCAGCAAGCGCCCTGCCAAGAACGTCATGATGGCCAACTACTACGAGAAGCTGGCCCGCATCTTCCTGGTCAGCGGCAACTACCTCTTCCACGCTGCCGCCTGGAGCCGCTACTACAACCTCCTTCGCCAGTCCGCCGCGACCCTCGCCGTCGGCCAGGGCACCAAGAAGGAGAACCCCTCCGTTTCGGATGCCGACATGACCAAGGCCGCTTCCTTCGTGCTCCTGTCGGCCCTCGCTATCCCCGTTATCAGCACCTCTCGCTCTCGTGGCGCCCTGGTCGACGTGGACGAGGTCCGCAAGAACAAGAACACCCGCCTCACTAACCTGCTCGGCATGGCTCAGTCCCCCACTCGTGCTGTTCTGTTCAAGGACGCTTTGAACAAGGGTATGCTCCAGCGTGCGCGCCCCGAGATCCGCGACCTGTACAACATCCTGGAGGTCGACTTCCACCCTCTGTCGATCTGCAAGAAGATCACCCCTATCCTCAAGCAGATCGGTGCGGATCCCGAGATGGAGAAGTATGTCGGACCTTTGCAGCAGGTCATCCTCACCCGCCTCTTCCAGCAGCTGTCTCAGGTCTACGAGTCGGTTGAGCTCAAGTTCGTCTACGAACTCGCCCAGTTCCCCGACCCCTTCCAGATCACCCCCGCCATGATCGAGAAGTTCATCATGAACGGTTGCAAGAAGGGCGACTTGGCCATCCGCGTCAACCACATCGCCGGCGTGTTGACCTTCGACACCGACGTTTTCTCCTCCGCCAAGGCCCTGCACTCCGGCAGCGCCGCCGGTTCCGCCGAGAGCGACATCGGCACCGTCCAGCGCCTGCAGAACACCCCGGCTGAAATCGCCCGCCTGCAGCTCACCCGCCTGGCCAAGACCCTGCACGTCTCGTGCATGTATGTCGACCCCTCCTACAACGAGTCCCGTCTCCAGGCCAAGCAGGCCGCCCAGGCCCGCGCCCTGGCCGGTGCCGCCAAGGAGCACGAGGAGACCCTGGCCCGCCGGGTCGTTATCGACAAGAAGAAGGAGGCCGCCACCGACGCTCTTCAGCGCAAGCAACGTGAAGAGGAGACTCGCAAGCGCATTCGCACCCAGCAGCTGCAGGAGGCTGAGCGCCAGCGTCTGGCGGACGAGCTCCGCGAGCGCGAGACGAAGCGCATCAAGGATGAGCAGGAACGCATTCGCCAGCAGGAGCTGAAGAAGCAGCTAGAGGAGCTCAAGAGCGGCGTCAAGGGCATTGACCTCAGCGAGCTTGATCTCGAGGATATTGACTCCAACCGCATCCGCGCCATCAAGCTGGCCCAGCTTGAGAAGGAGAAGAACGAGTTGAACGACCGCATCCGCACCACTGCCAAGCGCATTGACCACTTGGAGCGTGCCTTCCGTCGCGAGGAGCTGAAGCACATCCCCGAGGACTACGAGGAGCAGAAGAAGAGCGACCTTGAGCTGTACGAGGCCACCAAGGCCGACACCCTCAAGGATGCCGAGAACACGCACAAGGAGGCCGTCGCCCTGAAGCACCGTCTCAGCCGCCTGGTACCTCAGTTCTCCAGCTTCCGCAAGGAGGTCTCCGAGAAGCGCCACGAAGAGTTCGAGAAGCGCCGCAAGGCCGCCGAGAGAGAGTTCGAGGCCAAGAAGAAGCAGCGTGTCAAGGAGGTGCAGGACCGCCGCCGCCGCGAGAAGGCCGAGCGGGAGGAGGCCGAACGCCGCGAGAAGGAGGAAGAGGAGCGCGTCAAGCGCGAGGAGGAGGAGCGCATCGCCAGAGACGAAGAGCGCCGTCGTGTCATGACCGAGGAGAAGGCCAAGCGCGAAGAGGAGAGAAAGTTAGTGTCACCTTCTGCTGGATGCCATGATACATCTGCTAACCTTTTGTTTCTTCCCTATAGGAAACTCGACGAGATCGCTCTCCGACAGAAGCAGCGCGAAGAAGAGGCGGAAGCCCGTCTTGCTGCCAAGAAGTCTGGCGCCGCCTACGAGGCCCCTGCTGCCCCTGCCGAACGCACCGCTCCTCGCCTGAACCTTGCGTCTCGCCCCGGTGGATCGAGCTGGAGAGAGCGTCTGGCCGCCAAGGAAACTTCGGGTGCCCCCGAGCCCCCCAAGGCCGAAGCCCCCAAGGCCGAAACCCCCAAGGCCGAAAGCCCCAGGGAAGAGGCCCCCGCTCCCCGGAGGGCCGGTGGCGGCTACGTGCCTCCCCATCTCCGTGGCAGCTCCAACGCTGCTCCCTCGGCTCCTCCTTCGGCTCCCTCGAACGGTGCCTCTTCCGAACGGTGGTCGCGTCCCCCGCGCGACTCCGCCCCTCAGCCTCCCTCCCGAAAGCAAACTCCCGCCAGCAGCTCCGACAAACCCGAGGAGTCCAAGGGCGGTCCCCAGAAGTGGGTTCCCCGCTGGAAGCAGCAGCAGTAAATAATCCGTGTGTGGTAAAAAAGTTTCTTGGAATGACCGGGGATGAACAAAATAGGGATATGAGTTGTGGTTTTTTTCTTTTTCTTATCTTATTGATTGACGCCAACATTATCTCCCCTTCCCCGCCTACGATATCTTTTTTCTCTCACCTTTAGTTTAGCTTTGCTATTATCTTATGAATGAAGCTGGAGATGTTTGGGGGACTTGGATTATTTCGTTCCAAAGGTCCCTGGTTGTTTTTCATTTTCTTCATTTTCATTTTCTTTAGTCTCTGGGCCATCTTATGTTTGATAAATGCATTATGTTTTTATTAAATGAAGCTTTCTCATTTTTCTTTCATTTATTTGTCCTATCTTATCTCATTGCATCTCTTTGTGCCCCTGCGGGTACACGGTTTGGACTTCAAACGACATCTTCCTTTATGTTCCCAGCCATTTGATACATTGAGAGCCTAACATGTCCGACTGGCTGTCTATATCATACCCTTCCCTTCCACCCATCCCTCTATTCCATTCTTCCATCTCTCTCACCTTGTTCGCCAGTCACATTGACCACGCCAAACCGACCAACCCAGACGAGAGAAACCATGTCCACTCCTACCACCGACGCTCCTGTCCTTACCCAAGATGACCCCCCTCCCACCGCAACGCAGCTCTACAATGAAGGCCGCAAACTCCCCGAAGAGCTCCCCAACCTAGGCGACCTCCCCGATCGCCTAGAAGGCATCGCCAACTACGACAGCTGGTCCTACCTGATCGAAACGACGCTCGAAGTCGCCGACATCCCCCAAATGATCCAGCCTTCCATCCCTCACCCATCCCCCTCCGACCCATCCTACCCCCTCTGGCGCCGCACCTCCATCCAGGTCAAGAACTGGCTCGTCCGCCAACTCAAACCCGATGTTCTCTCTCGTGTCCTCCGCCGCCCAACCCTCCTTCCCCGTTCTTCCCCCTCTGATAATAACCGCGCGGCCCCCAGATTCGCAGACGAAATGTACACCCATATCCACCGCGTCATCATGAATTACTCCCCAGGCCTGCAAGCCCTGAACTGCGAAATGGCCTACATTAACTGCATCTTCATGACGCGAGGAGCCCACCAGACCCTGCGCGACTTCATCACCGCGTTCCGCGAAGCCGTGCACCTGACGAATCAAAGGGATTGTGACGTGACGCCCTACTGTGCTGCGCTGATGTTGTTACGCAGGGTGCGTGACGATCTGGGTGCTGTTTTTGTGGGTGGACTGATTCGGGAGTTGGATCGTCCGAATGCGCCGACGAGGTATTCGTTTAGGGAGTTTGATACGTTGTGTGATTTTTTGATGTTGAGGGATCGGGTTGAGGAGCTTGGAGAAAGGGTAGGGGATGGGAATGGGGAGGGTGATGGTGGTGGTGGTGATGATGGGGATATGGCTAGGGGTGGGGATCAGGATGGAGGTGATGGGGATGAGGTTGGGGTTGCGCTTAAGTTTGTGATTGAGGTTAGAGATGAAGATGGCGATGGCGAGCATGATGGCGCTCAGGATGGGAATGAGATTGCGAATGCAAATGCGGTTGCAGATGAGATTGAAGATGAAGATGAGGATGAGGATGAGGATGGACAGGGAAAGGGGAAGAAGAAGAAGAAGAAGAAGAAGAAGAAGAAGAAGGGAAAGAAATGAGATCAGGCTGATGAGTGGAGGGGGGTCTCCTTTCTTATTCTCTTGTTTTGGTTGCAAGTGCATACATACTTACATTTATGTACAATGAGCATCATCTTTCCTACCTACACTGCCTTCTCTTTCGTATTCTACTCATATGTCTTTGCTATTCTCCATAACTCTTAATGAAGAAAGTAAAGCTTTGTAGGTCGATGAAAGATATTCACAACCAAGTATCTGACAAATTTACTCTCGATACTTTGCTGCCTGGGTGCCTGGATTGGTCGGCTTACCTACTATTCTTTAAGTATGAATATGGTAGAGGGCGAGTGAGTAGGTGTGTACGAATGTAATGAATTCCATAGATATATCCACAGCTATGTCTATGGCAAACAACCTATGCTATTGAGTATGCTGATGCTGATGCTGATGCTGATGTCGATGCCTGTCTAAAAGAAACCCCATTCATATAATTACATACACTCACTCTCACTCTCACACACTGATATGTATATACTTGCTTTCCAAAATGCTAGACACGTAGAGAAGTAGGTAGGTAGTCATCCCAATCAACCATCATCACCGCTTCTTCCGAACCTTCCACCAAAACCACCTAGATCACGACGGAAGAACTTGCCGATATTCTTCAAATTCTCGTTCAGATTCCCCGAGGTCGAGCCGCTGCTTTCGCCGGGTTGGGTGTTCTGTCCGGGACCCGACGGACCACCATCACTGGGGGTCATGGACGCAGAGGTAGCAGTGTTGGCGAGGGTAGCGGATCCGGAGCCTACGACACCAGCAGCGGCAGAGCTGGCATTACCAATAGGGGTGCCGAAGCGGTCGACGCCGTCTTTAGCGGCGGAGATGAGGGCAGAGCCGAGCATGGAGGGATCGAAGCGGGTAGGGAGGTTAGAAGCGCCGATAGAGGCGGCGGCGGAGCCGAGGCCGAGGCCCTGCGAGACGGAGCTAGAAGAAGGGGCGTTGGAGGTCTGGAGGGCGGCGAGGACGGGGTTGTTTTGTTGGAGGTTGGGGGCGTGGCGGTCGGAGGCGCGGTGGACTTGGAAGAGCTCGACGAGGTGGTTCTGCTCCTGTCGGCTGCGGATGCCCTTGAGGTCGAGGATCTTGCGGAAGTTGGCGTTGTTGCGGTCCGCGATGTGGATGAGGTATGCTTGTACGAGGGCCTCGGGAGGGGAGGGGTTAACCTGGACGGTCTTGAGGAGGGTCTCGATCTTGGCAAAGCTATTGTTGACGCGCTTGACGAAGCCGGCGGGCGCCGGGGCGGGGAGGAGCGAGGAGAGGCCGGTTTTGAGGGTATAAGCGTCCAAAAGCATCTGCGGGATTGGTTAGTAAGAGATGGTGATGGTTACGCTAGAGGAAGATGGAAGGGATTGAAAATACCTGCTCTGCTCCCGTCTCAGAAATGGGCTTGCATTGGGATACTGTCGTGATGAACAAGTTGGATATCAATTCCACGACGTGATCTGCGAAGGCCCTGGCATATTGCTGCTTATGCAGGTGCTGCAGAATGTCCGAAGAGCGGGTCTGCGTCTTGGACAGGAGCTCGCCAACGTAAGAGCTCTGATCACTGACAGCCTCCAGCCGGTTCCAAGGCGTATTGCGCATCTCCCGCCAGCAAGGCTCTAGGTCGACCTCGACCTGTCGCACAAGGCCTCGAACAGCGGCTGATGCGATTCCCATGAACGAATCAGCCTGGCTTTGGAGGTCCACCGACTGTTTCAAGTTCTTGTCAAGCCGGCCTTTGATCTTCTCCTCTAGTTGGTTGCAAGTCGTGTAGCAATAATCGGCGGTGTTGAGAACCGAGATCAGATCCTCTAGAGAAGGCACATTGGACGGGGTGTGGCCGGTAGGCCGCTCGCTGATGTAGTATAAAAGCACCTGCTGCGCGTACTGATCTAAATACTTCGCAAAGACCTTCGCGAGATCGGCAAGGCTTCCTCCGGTCGAGAGTTTCGCGCACTGCTGCAACGCATGGCGATAGAATGTGAATAGCTCCGTCGAAGACGAGATGACGATGTTGGAGTCAAACTCCTCATCTGGGGGCCGCAACGGCTGTTGCCGATACTTCGGTACGAGCGCCGCAAGCTGTTTGTCTTGAGCCTCCACCCACACACTGAGATAGGGCTCGAACGCCTCCGAGATGGCTTGGCTAAACAAGGAAGTCTCCGTCGAGGCGAACGTATCTGTCGAGGGTCGCGACGGGCTCACAAACCGTCGTTCAAGAGAGTGCTCGAAATCGAGCGTCTCCTGCAAGCAAGACAGCAGAAGATTAACATCAATCGCCTGCCCATTCCGCACTGACCGGGACAGAATGCCCTTGAAATCCTCCCGGGTGCCCTCGCAGAAAATATTCGCCAGGATTTCGTTGACCCGCCAGGAAGCCGGGAAGATGGGCGCGTACTCCTCATCGTAGATCTTCAAGATGCGCCGGAACCACGAATATCGCCGGGATATGTTGTCCAACGAGCCCGCCTCCTCATTGTTCCGGAAAACCTGCCGGTACTCTCGCAGTTGGAAATTGCAATACCAAGTGACCAGCCTGGTCTTCGCATGGTCTCCCAGCGCATCCATGACCAGACAGCCCTCCGCGAGAATGGTTCTCCTCTGTCCGACTTCCCCCTTGGCAAACGCCAGCTCGAAGTCCTCGCAGATCTGCTCCAGAAGCTCCCGCTGAATATCCGCCACATTCCGACTGAGAAGCGCGATCTGATCGATCGACCGGTACGACTTGAAGTGCGCCATCAGCTGAATGACGGCCTGCAGCAACTGGGCGCAGTCGCGGTACTGCCTCGTCTTGCCCAGCACGCGAAGCTGATCGTACGCCGTCGTCAGCATCTGCAGCCTCTTAAGTGCGGTCATCGACTGCGTAAGGTTCTTCTTCGCATTATCCAACTGCTTGATATCTGCCGTCATCTCCGTGATGGCCAGTTCGGTCCGGGAGGCGCGGTCGCGCACGTCGTCGATCTTCTTGAACAACTCGGTGAGATCTGCTTTGGCGGCCTGGATGCGCTCAACGCTCTCAGCATTCGAGATAACCTGGTCCTCGACCAGCGCGCCGATATCGTTGTCGAGCTCATCTTCGTAGGTTTGTAGGGTGTCGGAAACCTGGGAGACCGAGGACAGCGTGGAGGGGTGCGAGAAGATCGAGTTCAAGTGGTCGATTGGGTCATAGTCGGCTTCGGGTTTGGGTCCGGAGGATTAGTGGACATTTTCAGCCTCTGGGAACTCCGGATATTCTTCTCACCTGCATCCAGGGGATCGAGGTCGGCCGCTCCGTTGGAGGGCGAATGGCCGGGGGGTGTAGTAGTGGTGGACATTCCATTAGCTCCTCAACGTAAACGCAATAATCATGCTGCAAGTCAAAGAACAAAGCATCCACGGATCCACTCCAGCCGTGATCAATCACCAAGGACAGATCAATCGCGAAAAGGTGGTACAGACCGGGGAGTTGTCGAGGGTGCGCGGATTGTTGATCGCAGAAGCGCAGGCGCCGCATTGCTGTCCAGTTTAGCGCCCGCCAAGCCGCTGCCGCCCGCCGTTATTTGATATCTACGAAGTATACGGAGTAAGGCATTGTTGTGAGATCAAGCAATTACTATTTTGTTCCTTTTTTTGGTGGGTTGTTTCGTCCCCATCTATATGGACATAATCATCGTGACCTCTAATGAGGTGCAGCAAATAAATACAGGTCTGAGCAAAGATAAACCTCCCAATAGCCTTTCGCCTAAGCCATGCAAGAAAACATATGGTATTTATTACAAAGTAGAATTCTTTCTTTCCTTCTCTTTTTTATTTGTTTTTCTTCCTTTTTTGTTTTGATTCCATCCCCGAATAGCAATCCGAGAAACGTTGGCTTATTGTTTGAATAGAGACAAAAGCCTAAATGGTTCCCGGAAGAAAAGCCTCGGGGGGCAACTGCCCTTGAGTCTGCAATAAAAATGCTGTTAGAAAAAGCACATTCCAATACCTAGGATGTGATGCTCACCTTAAGTTCCTCGAAATTCTTCAATGCAGCCTCCATGTTCCAACCATTTCCTGATAGCGCCATCTCTGAGTACTGCAGAGTCATTCTTGTTTTGGCACTCATCTCCATGACCAGCTGTTCCTGCTGCACTTGAGCCTCCGTTTTTGTGGGTGCGGGCATCCCATAACCTTCTGGTGCACCCGGGAGAGCCGCGTGCTGAACGGGTTGAACGGGTGGAATTAGCTGAACGGGTTGAACAGGTTGAATGGGCTGAATTGGCTGAATTGGCTGAACGGGAGGAGCAGGCTGCGGCGCTGGTTGACCTTCCGGCACCCATGCCTCGTGTCCACCGTATGCGCGCAGACAAAGAACGTCGCTGATGACCCTGATCCCTCCCATTCCTCCGCCGGGTCCAAGAATAAAAGTTCTGTCGAAACTCCGTGTCTCCACCTTGCCTGTGTTCATTTCATCGAATTTTCCGTGGACGATGATCAAGAAACCTCCCACGCCGAACGGACTCTGCCCAGACGAATCCGGAAGACCGGGGATGGGCGTGCATTCGATGAGCCATTGTTCCGGGTGTGCAGCGATGTCGGGGTGTCGGGTTTGGGGAAGATTGTCCCATAATTCGCGGATCTTGTCGGGTCCCGTGAAGGAGCGAGACATACGAGCAGGCAAATGGCTGATTTTGAGAAGATTTCTGCTCTTCTTGATGTAGGCATCCCAGCCTGCGGTTTCAGTTTGCTGCGCTCGCGGGGCGGATGTGTTGACGTTGAGTGTAAAAGTAGATCGGTTGTCGTAGACGCTGTTGATAATCTCACTGCGGTTGTTGTCATAGCCCGCAAAGAAAGCCTTGACAAAGTTCTCTGCAATCTGAGACTCGTCCACGAAATGAGGCGGTTGAACGGGGATTGGCGTCTTTTTCTGCGCAGCCACTTCCTCCGCCGTTCGTACCTCCAAGTTGTTAAGCACGCGCAGTTTCGGGTACCACTTCAGCATGGTGTCCTTGAAAGACGGATCTGCGCTGAAAGGATTCCCAGTGAGATCGAGGAATTCTAGGTTGCGAAACTTCCACCGCCATCCGATCATAGCCTGAGCGTCCTTGAAACTGTTGTTCGAAAGATCGAGGTTCTTCAAGTCCGGGATAGACTGAGCCAAAGTAGTGACGACGGTGATGTTGGCAAGCTGGTTGTCGGCAAGACTGACGCTTTCGACAGCCTCTCGCCGCGCCGTCGAGTTGTCGAAATTCAGCTCCCACACTTTCATGAGAGCCGGGAAGAATTTGGATTCAGTGGAAGTGCTGTTGAATATGCCCATGGCCAAAAGATCCGGTTCGCTACCCAATTTCGAGAGGTCGAGTAGTTTCGATTGCTGGTAGTAGCGTTTGCCCAGGATGGTAGTCATTTTGGACTTGGTATCGGCAGTGGAAGGGTTTCCAGCGTTTCGCGAGATCTCAGATAGGACGGGCTGGTCCGTCATTCCGTTTTCGTCGCGCTTCTCGATCGTGAGTGGCGCGCCGGCGAAGCTAAAACCATCGAGCTGAAGCATTCTTTCCAACAACTCCGGTTTGATAGACGCGATAAGGGCATCACCTTCAATTCGCGACTAGTGAACGTTAGTATGGCGTAAGAGATTTCCATGGGGGCGCAAGTCACTTGGGGAAGCAACAAGCGCCTAAAATTTTTTTTTTTTTTTTTTTTTTTTTTTTGAAAAGCAGCCCAAAAAAAAATTTGCCGATCGTCGTCCTGGAGTAACCATATCCTGGGATGAAAAAACGGAGAGGAAACGACGTTGCGAATTCATGTCGGTAAGATCGCCAGTTCTGGTGTTGCACATACCTTAGTTATCCTTGCGCGTTGGCCAGATTTCGAGTCGGTGTTGAGTTTCTTTTCGAGGAAGGTGAGAAGGCTCTCGAGGCCGCCGTCGCGATTGGACGCCGCCTTGCTCTGTTTCCATCCACGGACGATGACCTGTTCCAGGCTAGCCCCGCGACCGCCCTGGCGAATGTTGGCCTGGGAGTCCGAGTTGCTGGTGATCGCTTTTTGAATCGCATCGAGCGCCCTCGGCCGTCCTCCTCCTGCCCCCGCCGCACCAGACCGACCGGTTTCTGTGCGCGCTTTCTTGCCACGGTTCCGAGCGGATCCTGCATCCATAGAGAGATCTCCATCTCGATCGACCTTGGTGGCCGCACCCCGCTTGCGAATCCCCCCACGGTCCGAACCACCAGCACGACCACGAGAACCTTTTCCGTTCTTCATTTTCGATCGCAGATGTATAGTAATTCGTCACAAGTGTAGGGAGGCTAAGCTGAATGTGGGACGAGTCGGATTTTGTTCAGGAATTGAACTGCAAGGCGGACCGAGCGCTGCGCGCCTTAGATGTACAGAGACGGTCCAGTCGACATGCAACGTCAGAGAAGAGGGGAGGATTAAAAAGCGAGAGGATAGAAAGGAGGAGAGGATAATAGATTTGTCGTTAAAAAAGACACCGATATGTGTTGGGGGAGGTGGCTGGGGAAAAGCAGAAAATTTTACCCCGAAAGCGAGGCCTGAGTTGACTTCAGATGAATCAATCAATCGGGCGGAAGCAGAAAAAGTGACGTGAATCCGTCGCAGGCAGCCAGTCACCTGATCGCGCGGCTGCCGGGGGATGTCTTGCAGATTCACGTGACGTGGCACCAGGCACTCTGGCGGAAATTGGCCAATCAGAGGCTGCTGTCTGTCCTTTGGCGTATCTTGGTAATACAAATACAAATCCCTGCCAAGGAGGTGGAGCTCATTACATACAATACACTCTATGCGCCCCGAACCATCAGAAGGACAGTTTGCGGCGAAAGGACGATTCACTCCGACTCGACTTCGACTCGGTGAATCCAACCAGCGTGCGTAAGTGGACTTTTCTCTTCTTTTGTTTGCTGACCCATTCTCTGCTCAATGCGAATGGATCCTTGTCCTCTTGGCCCCCTCCTCCCAAACAAACCCTAGCTTTATTTACAGTTCACTGACGGAGGTCTCCATGATGCCGACGATAGACAGCTCCCATCCCCGCTGGCCCTCCCATCGATTCGACAGGGTCCTTCCATTCCTTTTTCTTTCTCGTTGTCTCTTTATTTTCAATCCCGCCGCATGATCGCCAATCGTTCATAGAAACATGCCGGCGAAATCGCGATTTACAAGGCTAGATGCTTTTGCAAAGACCGTCGAGGATGCTCGCATCCGCACGACCTCCGGCGGTATCGTCACCCTAGTTTCACTTCTCGTTGTCCTCTGGCTGGTCTGGGGAGAATGGGCAGAGTACACCCGGGTGGTGGTTCTACCAGAACTGGTGGTCGATAAGTCAAGAGGTACGGCACGAACTCGCAACAAACGAATTGCGGACAATAGACGGAACAGAAAAGGACAGAGACTGACCTGTGTCAACAGGCGAAAAGATGGAAATCCACCTGAACATGACCTTCCCCCGACTTCCGTGTGAACTCCTCACCCTCGATGTGATGGATGTCTCTGGTGAACAGCAAGTCGGCGTTGTCCACGGTGTGAACAAAGTGCGCCTGAGCTCGCAAGCAGACGGCGGCAAGGTGCTGGACATTCAGGCATTGGAACTGTATGTTACCCTCTCTCCACACACCCGATATTACCCATTGGCACTCCCCATCCTACGGCGACTAACCAACCCCCTTCACCTAGCCACTCAGAGCAAGAAAAAGCCAAACACCTCGACCCGAACTACTGCGGAGACTGCGGCGGCGTGCCCCAAGACCCCAACGACAAACACTGCTGCAACACCTGCGAGGAAGTGCGCGAAGCCTACGCCCAGCACCAATGGGCCTTCGGCAAGGGCGAGAACATCGAGCAGTGCGATCGCGAGGGATACGCGCAACGGATCGAGGCGCAGCGGCGCGAAGGCTGTCGCCTAGAAGGCGTAGTCCGAGTGAACAAGGTCGTCGGGAACTTCCACATCGCGCCGGGCCGCAGCTTCACGAGCGGTAACATCCACGTGCACGACCTCGAGAACTACTTCGAAGGGGATCTGCCCGACGCAGAGAAGCACACGATGACGCATCTCATCCACCAGCTGCGGTTCGGGCCCCAGTTGCCCGACGAGCTCTCGGACCGGTGGCAGTGGACCGACCACCACCACACCAACCCGCTGGACGAGACGCGCCAGGACACCGACCAGGCGGCCTACAACTACATGTACTTCGTCAAGGTGGTCTCGACGTCCTACCTGCCGCTGGGCTGGGATCCGGTGGCGTCGACGGACGCGCACAACGCCAACGAGAATGCTCCCCTGGGCTCCCACGGCTTCGGCTACGGCAGCCAGGGCAGCATCGAAACCCACCAGTACTCGGTGACGTCGCACAAGCGGTCCCTGATGGGCGGTGACGCGGCCGACGAGGGACACAAGGAGCGTCTGCATGCGTCCAGCGGTATTCCTGGCGTCTTCTTCAACTACGACATCTCCCCCATGAAGGTGATCAACCGCGAGGTTCGTCCCAAGACCTTCACTGGCTTCTTGACCGGCGTTTGCGCCATCATCGGTGGTACCCTTACCGTCGCGGCGGCTGTGGACCGTGGACTGTACGAGGGTGCTCTCCGTGTGAAGAAGCTTCACTCCTCTTGAACAAAAACAAAGGGAGTTTGGTTTGGCCATTGAAGTGAACCTTATCGATTACCTGATCTACAACTAAAAGAAAAAAAGAAAAACAGAAAACAGAGTCGTATCTAACTAGAGAAGAGAACAAGAGACAGTGGGAGAACAATTACTGTGAAGAAGTTGCAGGCATCAGCTCCCGCAGTAGAAAACTCCGGGATCACAGATGATGAGAAAGTAGTGAGTTGGTCAATTACAGCGAGCGAGTGGGTGAGTGGGAAGGTTCAGAGTAGCCACGGCGTTTCGGTCTACAAATTTCTTATTTTGGTCGTGTCGCGTTGTCTCTGGCGCATTCAGATCATATCATCAAATCTACAAATCTACTTCATTGGGTCTTCGTATTTTGCCAAACTCCATAAGCAAACACTGCCTTCCTAGGATGCTACTCTGTGGGATTAAATCCCATCTATGAGGGAGATCAGGGAATAATCAAGATTCACCATCCAATATCTGCATTCTGCACTCAGAATCCCAGTAAGCAAGGTGCGCCTGTATGTACATGCATAAAGCTGGCGAGAGAAGAAAAAAGAAAAGTTTATCCCGCAGGATCCGCACCAATAACGAAGCAAAGAAAGAGAGCAAAACGAGGTGGAAAACAAAGAGAAAAGCAGCAAGCAATAACCTAGGGCGCCAGACCTATTCTTGCAACTCCATTTGATGTGCGAAGCATCGACGAGGTGAACAGCAACTGACGTTTGTTTCCAGATGCGAAGATCTGGTATTCTAGATCTAAGATGCGCCGCCATATGAAGCGTGGAGAAAATTCAAAGAAAAGAAAAAGGAAATATCAAGGAATGGCCGTAAAATGAGATGAAAAGCTAAAACACAGGAGATGCCAAAATGAAAATATCCGAGGGAATGGACGTCAGTGACATAATCTGCACAATAGAACACGAAGAAGGGGTCGAAAAAGAAAGATGAAGGAAGCATAGATCAATAATGCATTGCGTTGGTGTTGCCGTAGTGGCCGGGATGCTGACTGAAAAGCTGGCTTTGCTGGTACGCCGGTGGTTGCTGAGCGGCACTCAGTTGGCCGTACCAAGACTGACGACGTGGCTCTTCGGGCCGATAAGGCTGGTTCAGAGCATCCCAGGTGCGGCTTGCGGTGGGCATGTTGTAGACGCTGTGGCGGGCGTTGGAGGGTTCGTAAGGGTTGGGTTGAGGTGTCGGCGCCGGCTGCTGGTGCTGGAAGTGATGCTGGCGCTGGGCAATAGCATGTTGCACCATCTGGTTCGACATACCCTCTTTGATACCCTTCTTCTCCCTCTCCCTCGCATCAATTGCGCCAACCAGACCCATGGGGTTGACCTGAGGCTCGTGTTTCTTCTTTTCGGTGGAAATGTTGAAGAATGACGAGCCGGTCACGCGAGCGACGTGCTCCTGCTCGCGGGCTGACAGGTGGGACGAGATATCGTTCATATTCATCACGCTGTTGGCGCCACGAGAGTGGGGGCGAGGCGGCGGACCGTCTCGTCCCAGATTCATTGTGGACTGGGATCGAGAATGAGCCGTCCAGTCACCGGATACGGGTCGCACTGGCGGCGGTGATGTAGAGGAGTTTCGGTGGTGCATGTGGACTGGCGGGCTGGGTGCCGCCCGCTGTTGCACGAATTGCTCAGCCGAAAGCCCGGCCCCCGGTGTGGTTGGACGTGCACCGGCCATGCCGGGTTGCCACAGAACGCTTCGTCGGAATTCATCTTGGCTGGGGGATCGAGAGTGAGCGCGATCCATCGGTTGCGTGGGGACGGAAATGCGCTGCCTTTCCGTTGCGTCAGAATCACTTCTCTGGTGAGTCCAGTTCTTCAGCGTGTCTGAGGTGTTCGGACGACCGGTGGTGGGCAAGTAAGTGAGCGTTGGCCCAAAGTCGAATGAAGGGATGTCCGGGTTTCCTTTCTCTGGTTTGTCCAGGGAATAATGGGCATCGCCGATAACTAAATCCTTGGCCGGCGCCGTTCCGACGGTCTTCATGACGCCCATTCTTGGTCGGACTGCTGATCTGACCGATCGTTTGCTGTAGACAGAGCCACGAGTACTAGCATAATCGGGGGATGTCGTGGAGGCATCGTCGTAAACACTTTCTTCGTCCTGGTGAGTATCCTTACCAGGCGACGGCAGCGATGGGTGAGCGCCAATTCTGTTGAATGCGTCCTCATCCATCGTGTGGCGCAGATCGTCGAGGCTAGGCTCTCCGACGGGGCTGGGTATGCTGAGATCCTTGCTCTGTTGATAGGGCAAAGGCTTTCTCCTCGTGCTCTTATTGAGTTGAAGGAAGCTTGGACCGTTAGCCCTGACAGTAGAGTTGGTCCGTGATGCCGGAGCGTCGAAGATAATGGGACCCAAGTCAATCTGCTCCTCGTTTGAGAAATAAGGGCTGTCGGGAACCGATTGTTGCGGGCTTGGTTCGTGAGAATACGCTGATCCTTGGCTCCCCGCTGGCGAGTCAGTACGTAGCAGGTTTTTGTTCCCAGAAGCGGCGACCAGCTGGGTAAGCGTGGCGTTCGACATTCGGTTTGCTTTTCTCAGGTCGGGTGAAGGCTGTGGTCGTGTTGGCGGCATCTCTCCCGGTCCGTGCGTGAAAGCAGGCGGGATAACAACGGGGGAAGGGGGGGAAGGAGACCGGAGCTGCTGTCCAATCGCCTCGGCTTGAGGATCCGGCTGTTGCTGCTTCGATTCGCCTTCGGAGCTACTCTGGTCATTGAAATCGCCGGTGCTAGACTGCTCTTTGCTCTGCTGCGCGACGTCCTGAGCAGATGACGAGGGCGAGCTCTCGGCGAAGGACGCCTGTGGGGGTTTCTGGAGAGGAGACATGCCGGTAATGTCTGAATTAACCCGCGAGTGCAAAGCGGAAGAGAAAGACTCATCCGCCGGCTCTTCACGGACAATTGCATCGGTGGACTGGTTGAAACCGGGCTGGCGTTCGGGGTAGGTGGCATTGCTCCGCTGAGACGGTCCGCCGGGCACGTGGCTATAGCGGTTGGGGAGGCTGGAGCGGAAACGCGGCTTGCTGGTGGACATGCTGCTGGTTCTGCTGCCGGCGGCTGCCATTCTGCGTGCAGTGGCCTCCTTGAGCTGCTGTCTCCATTCCGCTTCGCTCCAATTCTGGCTGCCAGGCGTCTGCATCAAACCCGCGATATCCAGTATGTCCAGATACCCGTAGCGACGTTCATTGGGGAAGGCGAACATGATGCTCTTGATGTGGTTGGTGGCCGCAATCAGGCGTGTCGGCCGACCGTAAAGATTGAAGGTGTCAAACGTGGGAATGAGGAATCTGATCATCATCTCAAATCCAGGAACAGCCGGATGTGCCTCCGGCATGACAAACACGAATCCCTCGGATGTGGATTCGGGTTGCGTATGGATGGTGACGGTTCCTTCGATCTTGACCAAAGTCGATTGGTCCATCAGGGGTTTAGACTGGGGATAAATAGCATAGGCACTATAGGCGTTGGTTATCGTTGCTATCGGTTTTACCTTCTTGGTCTTCTTCGTTTCGTAGAACTTGATGTCTCCCAACACCAGTTTAGGCGCTCTGTCATATGCGGACTTCTTTTTGAGCGATTTTTGGGCCTTCTGATACTCCTTCTCATTCGGAGGTGTAATGACAAACCAGCATCGTCTCCACGGCGTACCAGCACCAAACCTAACTCGAGCCCAGTCCTCGTGCTTGAATCGACTCCGCTCAAGAACCGATCGGATATTGTTAAGGTGTTTGCCTTTGCCAGCGATGATCGAGCCAGTATATGCCTCGTACAGGGACGTGTGCTCGAACAAGGATAGACGGATCGCAGCCGTCCACTGTGTAAGCGAATGGAATGAATTGAAATGTAAAAGGTATCGGTTCTGGCCAGCAGAACAGATACTCAGCACATTCTTGAGAGCCGGAGTGGCTTGATTTCGGGTCGGTAACGTTTCAATCTATGTCAGAAGATTGTCAGTCATGGCCATTGACGACAACCGCACATCCGCGCATCTACCAGAAGAGCTGTCGACACTTACCATCTTGATTGACGCATCTGCCAAATTGATGAAAGTCGGAGGGACGTCCCCCTCGTCCCCTGCTGCGTCCAGCGCAGCAGCGTCCCATAGAGAGAGGGCAGTCCCCACGAGCTGCGCGTAGCATTCTACCCACTGGCGATCGGCGCATGGCCGGCCATCTATACTGCAAGTTAGTCTCTATCCTAGATCTACCGGTCTCTTTGCCGAACACGTACGGTTGTCCAGGTCATTCAGTTTCAAGAAATACCCCTCATGGTACAGCTTGTTCGCATGGCTATTGAGATAGTTGAATATCGGTTGTAACTCCGCGGGCGTGTCCCCCGACAGCTCCATAAATGGAGGGTCATGAGAGAAGAGGGCCGACCCCGGCCTTGATGCACGGCGCTCCCCGATGGTCGTGATCCCCGTTGGTGAGGCATCGGGAGGGGTGGGCGTATCTGTAGAGGACGTCTCTACTCGAGAAGGAGACGAGGTATTGAGGGTAAAGGAGGCCGATGACGCTCGATTGCGTTTCCCGGAGTTATCTTTGCGCGACGGACCACCGAATGCCGAGATAAAAGAAAGCACTGGAAAAGCAAGGAGGGTCCACCATTAGAGTCTAGATGATACAACAGGGGTGAAAATTTATCGCTTACCACGCGAGCGAACCATGATGTCTTAGATTCCGTCTTCTGACCTAGGGTTGTAGATCCGACTCTCAGAGCACAAATTGGCGCACAGTGTACAGAAAGCCGATGCAAGCGAGCGAAAGCAGGAAGTTAATCGGCTGCCAGAGAAAGGAAAGGCGAAAAGGTAATAACGAATCCGTTGCCTCCGCACGGAGATAAGGACGATGTGTCAGGACCCGCCAAGATTCGGTATAGGAACTAGAAACTTGAGTCCATGGAGGTCCCTGCGGGGGGAAGGTGCACTCTGAACGTTGCCGGGAAAAAGCTCAAATCGAATGAGATAAAGGAATTCCTATAAAAAGAATGGCAGGAGGAGTCAGGGCGAAAGTGAATTGCCAAGTGACGGAGGTTGGCGCGAGGTCAGATTCCAAGCGCCTGACTTTGGAAATGGGTCACTAGGACGAACTGATGTCTCAGTTAGCGGAGGCCGGTAGACGGAATGGCGGAAGACCAACAAGTTGGTTCAAAAAATGAGGGGAGGGAGCGCGAAAGAGAAACGAGCGAAACCGAGAGTGGGACAGAAGTGCGCAAGAGATGAAAGGCAGAAAAGGGAAATGGCAGATGAGGAAAGCGGATGGAAAAGAGATGACGGAGGCAAAGCAGAAAGAAAGGGAAACAGTAGTAGACCTACTCCGTGGTCCCGTAGTGTACACGGCCAGACGTGGGTCTGGAGGTGAAGCTGTAACACCTAAAGGGTTTTAATGATACTGGAAATGCCGTCGCTGGTCGATGTATGTACGTCGAAAGCGATACGGACACGATTGGGGATATCGGAATAAAAATCAGGAGAGAAGAAGAGGGAGTGAGAGGAAGAAGACAGAGGAAGAAGAGCCAAGGTTCAGGCAAAAAAAAAAAGACGTGAGGATCAAGTAATTGTTAACTACCTCAAAAGGAAGACATGAGGTAATACGTGCGCTTTACCGTACTGGCCAAGTGGTTCTGGCCTTTTTCTTTTTTTTTTTCTTTTTTCTTTTTTTTTTTTCTTTGGTTCGGAGAGGCTGGCGTCATCGGCCTCCCTTTTTTTTATTTTTTTTTGTTTTTCTTTTTGGATTTTCGTTTATTTTTTCTCCTTCGTTTTATTTTCTTCCGTTTCTCTGACCGGAGATCATCTCCTACTATTTTCCTTCATAATATGATTGTGAAGATCTTCGCGGATAATTATTTCCATTAGTTTAAATAGACGGGCTCCTCCAGTATCCATTGCAACAGATCTGCCTCCTGATAAGTACGGAGTACGTAGTCCCTGATGGCCACTGTATGGAACCCTCCGACTAGACGTCTCCATGCTGGACTTAGTGGACTAGCGGAGAGCGGCGTAACTGATCGTATTCTTTGCCGCCTTTGAATAAGGGTTAATGAATAATAATTGGTGGTGATTGCAAAATGCAACTGGGTTATTTTCTCTTATTGTCCATCCGCATGGGCCAAATATAGCAGCCTGTTGGCATCCAGTCCTGCATGTCTTACCTGATTGCCGTCCCCCTTTCCTGGCCCTTCCACACCCATAAGTGGCATTCAATCTTCTTCTCCGCCTTCTGTCCGCCATTCCCTTTGTCTGGCCGACTTTTTTACTTCCGTCCTACCCTGTCGCGTTTCATTTATTTTTTTCACGTATTTCTCCTATCTCTTCCACGAGGCTAGGGTGCCAAGCATGATTGAACCACCAAACGGTGACCGTTAATGTCGAACGACACTAGTGCATGCGACATACTTTAGCAGTCTTACCTTTTTTAAAATACTCGTTGTGATTATCCCCAGCAACCGTAGGGACCCGAGTGGCCAATATTCGGGGTACAGCCACACTCTGCGACCGCGTGCCACAGCTACAATCGATGATAAGGAATATTAAATTCACCCTTTGGGAGGATTCGGTGAACAATGAAAGGTTTAGGGAATAACACCAAAAAGGAGGGACAACAAGAAAAAGAAAACTATAAAAAAGATTAATTCCAGCCGAGCCCAAAAAATGTGTTTGTCCTCCAGTTTCTGAATCGTCGCGGGTCAAAAGGATTGCGGGGATGACCGATGTATGCCCAAACTTGCTGCCCCCCCCCCCCCATCATGCAATTTAAACATCAAGCGACTCAATGGAGTACAGTAGAAGCTAAGCAAGATTCATGTCCAGTACCCGCACCCCCCGGCGACAATCAGGAAAATCGCACAGGGATTTCCTAATTGTGATCGCAGAGGGGACTGGGGAACCTTCCGGAAGAATCACGATGCGGCCCCCAAGGTGCATAAGATCGGTAGCTAAAAATGTCCCTGGCTGCATTCCTATGGGCGCCGGGGAGGCCAAGCCGATCCAGTCGGGTCTGAAGCGGCGGGTGTCATTTTGCCTCCGATGGCACTTCCTCTCACCACCAATCCTGCCGTGGCTGCCATCCAGCCACCGAGATATATCTCGCGCGGGACGAGGCCGGAGGGCTTGTAGAATGTACACCGCACACCGTATGTACACCGTAGATAGAATGGAGCCGGTCGTCTTGCCCCGGTCTGCACGTAGGCTATCAGACTCGCCGACGTCTTGGCCTTTTCTTGGTACCATACATACATGACATGGCACATCCCGGTCAAAATGAGGGGTTCGCCAATTCCTGGAAATCGCAATATTGCCGCTGTCACTGTCGGTGATCACGGATGATGGCATCATTCAATTAGGAATATTCCCGGTACGAATTATCCAGTATCAATCAGTATGCAGTGTCGTTCCTGAGGCAGTTCAGGAACCAATATGGTAAAGTCACGCGACGGACCTCTAAAAGACCCACTGGGCTCATGACACATTAAAACGCCTCGACGAGGCCAAATTGGCCCGCTGGCGTAATGGTAACGCGTTGCTCTCCTACTGCGTCCATTGACGGATGTCGAGGTATCCGGCGAAGCAAAGATTGGGGGTTCGACCCCCCCGTGGGTCGGTCGATTTTTTTGGTGTTTATCTTGGTCGGCATAGTTTATTTATTATAATTGCGAGGCGGCATTCAATTAGACATATTCACTGTATAAGTAGATAGATAGGTAGGTAGGTACTCGCTCGGTACATGAACAAAGGAAGACCTAGATACAAGACATACAAGATTATCATCCAAAGAGAATACTTCGTATGAAAAGGTCCAGCCAGCTTCACCGATGCGTGAGCCACGAATCTCCCTAGTTGAGTTAAAATTGCGGAGCCCAAAACCCGAACCACCCAGACCACCAAAGACTCGGGGGGGCTGACGCGCACCCTTACAGCGATCATTCCTGAACCGGGTCCTCCCCATGCACTTATGACCTCAGCGGCGGGTTGATTGCCTTGTTTCGACACTAACCACGTTGCAGTCCATTCCATTCCATCCATTCCATCAAACCACCTTGTCGGGGGGAAGTGGCCCTGCGAGGGCGCACGGTCTCAGTCGGTCAATGTCGCTTTCGCCGGATGTTATTGGAACACGACATCCGCCCAGCTTCAAGACCGGTGAAACAAGGTAAAACAGCATTCCTGAAGTTTATCGGGGATCTTCGTTGACTGACCCACCAGATTAAATCCTATCATACAATATACACCGATGGGTGTTGTAAATATTGATCATGGAATAAACGCCTTTCTAGATCTTATATTATTGAAACAAGAACAAATACAAGGCATCAAATACTAAAAGGTATCAGGCTTTACAAATCCCTACGACTCTGAGACCCGGGAACAGAACATATTTAGCACTTCATCAATTCCTACGGATCATCACTGTCGCAATTCCAACACGGTCAAGTAGACATCCAAGGAACTTTCTACACGATCTTGCAGTCCCTCGGAAAAAGAACGATGCAATTCTCGTAAAGACACCCCATCCCCTCCCGATCTCCGCAGAAACAACCCTTGAAGACAACCGACATGCCACTCCTGCACGCACTCCGCAACAACTCACTCTAGCACCGACATCCACAGTTTGTATACGCAAGTCGCAAACGCTTTGCCAGTGACGCAGTCACACTTGTCGGACCCACCCGGGCTAGCCCTGTCTAGAATCTAAATCAACCTGGGAAGGCAGTGAAGTCCATACGGCATACGAACTGGGCGGATTCACATTGCGGCTTGCCTAGCTCGTATTGGAGATTCCTCCAGCCCAGCGCAGAGATTATCCACTAGTCAGTCCACTTTCTGTAGATCGCTTCTTGTCCCTGCCAAGACCTCCAGATGGCCGTGATTGATGCGTTCATCGTATTTGGGGCTGTGCGATTGGATCGGACTCTGCTAGTTCGTCATTCTTGAAGAGTAGAGGTCTATGTGCTCTGTCTGTTGACTCTGTTATTGTGTGATGATTCTTACGGAGTACTGTTGATCTATCATCATCTGGTGAAGATTATCTTTCCGTAGTGTGGTTATTTATATCTTGCGTTGAAGAGGCTAAAAAGACAGAGATGCATTAGCAAGGCTGGCTGGTATGTATGTATCTCCTAACTTTAAATTAGGCCCTGCATAATCGAAGCGGTCAGTTTCTAGATTCAAGTAGCATAAATTTAGGGCTGAGCTTCTATCCAGAAGATTATATCGTCGACAATAAATATTAGCTTAACCCCGGGCGCAAGTTGAATATTATGATCACAGTATATAAACACGTCCTATTTGAGTTTCAACCAGGTTTTCCTACATATTTTTATACTGATACACATCGCCAGGTGTAGTCAAAAAGACATATTGTAATATTTTATAGTAGCCTACATGAAGATGTACCGCTTGTATCTAGTTAGTGAGAGCGGGCTATTACCACAACTCCAGCATGGCCCATTAGGTGCCGAAAGGAGGAGGATGGAATGACACACACAGTTGAGTTTTAACGAACTGAATCGTGGCCCGCAAGATAATTTATCATGAGATTATCTAGGAAAAAGAATGAGGATCACATTGACTGTATAGAGAGATGCCTTAGGTTGCGTTGTGCCTATTTCTGGCAAAGCCTATGCATGAATTCTGCATCATGATAGTGTTTAATCAAATGAGCCAAGCTAGCATGGTGGTTGCCAATCTGTAGCGCCGTCAAGGAAATGCCCACTATCAACTGCCGATCTCTTCAATCTGTTCCAGACACAAAATTTCTTGTGACTTTGAGGCCTGCTCACTTTGCTAGAATCACAGCTCATAAGCCATGAGTGTACCACCAGGCACCACTACATATGATTGCGGGTTAGGAAAAAGAGCAGAATGTTGAATAACTCTCAAGGCTCATCAGTATGAGACCTCTTGCCAAGCCAAGTGAACATGGCAGTATAGTATACCCAAAAATGGCAGTGTAGTTGAAATGAAATTTTCTGATACTTTCCATTTTCTCCATGTAGAGCTCTGTTGCGTTCCTCAGGCTCACCTCATACTTACTTATATTCACTAAAGCTGTCAAGGCTCCTATTTGATCAGGCATCCTCCGCCCTCCGTTTCTCTTTTCTCCCTACTTCCCTACATCTCTCCCCTTTGACTTCCACATCTACAAGTAGATTGATCCAGCGATTGAAACCCCTCTCTGACAACAAGTCACCATCTCGTCCCAATTTTCTATTCACCGGTCCTCTTGCATCTTTCATATTCAGTGTCTATTCTTTGTACTGGTCATTGCTCTTGTTAGTTTGATGAGAGTTCCAAGAGTTCCTCTGTATGTCAATTGGAAGAGAAAAGTGTTTTTTTTTTGAGCTTTCAGCATGGAAATCTTCGATCTCTCGCTCACCCCTCCATCGCACACTCCTCCATTGCCGACTCCACCACCGTCCACCCTCTCATCGAGCCCGTCCGACTGGCGAAAGATCCCTTATGCTATTGACGTCCCCGCCGACGATGAAGATACCGCATTCCACGATATCGCCGAAAAAGACGCCAACGGAAACGCCATGCACCAGACTCGCAAGATAGATCTCCTGATGGCCGAGTTCACTAGGGGATTCGACCCAAGCACGTTCCAAGCTGAGCTTATGGCGGAACTTCCAGAATTGGTCAAGAACGTGCTCCCGGGATCCTATGAGCAACTTCTCGTGATTCTCCTGGAAAAATCCAAAAACGTGGACAAGATTCAGAGTAAACTGCGGGAATGGCTCCGCAAGCGTTACCCGCAGCTCATGAGCACTTTCCCAATCGGCACCGAAACAATGGATGAGAGTTACTTTTTGACGGAGATTCAGATACTGAGAAAATTGTTGGAGCCTCTGCGTAGTGAGCCAAGTACGCCGATTTACTGGATGAATACTAGACGTACCAGCGTCTGCGAGCAACTGGAAGCAGCTGTGAAGGTCATAGAGGAGTTTAAACTAGACATTCTGGAAGCGCTCGAGAATGATACGGAAGACAGTAAGTCGATGAATGGCCTGAAGAGCGATATTCTTTTGTGTATACTAACTGCTGTCCAGGAAGCTGCTATAGTACCCTTCCCGTGTCTAACCCCCGGAGCTCATTGATGAGCATGAAAGAAGTTCGCATTGAAGCCTGCAAAGCGTCACTCAAGTGGGACGGGCTTGCTCACGCAGAAATCGAGTTGACAAAGTTCTATCACTTCTACAGGAACGATCTCATCAAGAATCGGCCGGAGAAGGCGCGTGAGGAGGGATGGCTTCCACCGACTACAACCAAGATACCTCGTTCATCTACGGAAATGTCGGAAGAAGGCGATCTCGTGGTCTGGCCAACTCACAAAGGCAACGAGAAGCTTTTCAATATGCTACTCAAGACTGCACTTTGGTTGGCTATGGCTCGAGGACTGGCCGCGGTCCATCTATTTTGCGATGTCGCCAGACTTTTCACAGCCCATGAGCCCTCCAAGGAGGCCAACAAAGCTTATATCAATTTCCTGAGACACCTGGCCCAGATCAGAGCCAACGACAGAGCTCAGCTCGATGTCGACGCTCCGTTTCCCTACAGCGATAGTCTCTTGGCTAACTGGAACCCTGACTACTTCAAAGATGTGTGGAAGGTAAACCGCACTTTGATGGCCAAATTGAATGAATGCCCATCTCTTCTAGTGAAGAAGAAGGAATCACCACCTTCAAGTCCTACTAGTTCCTGCAAAGACGCTCAAATATTCTTGAGGGCCCGTTCAGGGTCCGCCTCTTGGCCCAGGACTGCTACTGCCTACGTGAATCGGGGTTCTTCGGTATACGAGGTAAGTTCCAATCCTCTAAGTTGTCCGTGATATTTCTCGCCAAGAATATCTGGCTAATCGAAAATTCTCTTTCTGTTGTAGGAAAGTACGGTAGCGCCCCGTCGTGTGATTCCAAGATCTCGGTCCACCACTGGCTTTCAGGTGAAGACGCCTTGGCCTTCGCGACACAACGGTGTTCTGGACGCTGACGAGGACGTATCCAACGAGCAACTTTAGGGGACAATTGATCATCAATGTCTCTGATGGCCTCAAAACCAGTCTTCGAATGACGTTCATCACTTAACTAATACTCGATCATGACTGCCTCATTCATTTCTCGAACATACTCTCCGCTCATGAACAAATGCTTTACATAGAACGACTAAAAAAATGAGATAATCGTTTGAAAAGAGATCGATTGCCGTTGGAGCACAGGCCGATCAATACCATTGGGAAACTATGAAAATGCGTTCGATCTCGACTGTGATTACATTGGGTCTGGTGGCAATGGTATGTTTCGCTACTATATCTTTTATTTCTCTTTCTGGACTCTGGACATATCGACACTTATCTGCTCCTCGTCTCATGCCTCCCCGGAGAGTAGTAGACTTTCCACAAACGGTCCAACGGGGATCTCACGGCAATGATCGCAGGGTATTTAGTTTCTTTCTTAAGGGTGAACAATCTCCGCTCAATGAGCAAGAGCAAGCATTTGGCCATAGCATAGTACATACACACTTGTCACAAAACCCTCTCTTGCTTCATTCATGCCACACCTCCTTTGTCTCAAGTTTGTTTTTTTCCCATTCATGCCAAATCACCCCGAACCCTTGTCGTTTGATTTTCTACGACGACTAAGCTATCTCGCGACTTGCCTAATACAGTCGTCCTGTCGTCGCTAGTGCCGTTCTGATAGGTACTGAACATTTTTCATACAATACAGACACAGCATGGGATATTGGACATCTATTTCCATTTTATCTAAATGTGGAGTGATTGAAAATGTGACCACTAATGATCTACCGTGTCTAGAGGTTTTGTCATGTTCATTCACAGCCTAATACCGGAGGAAATTGCCTTGCATCTTCCCAGGACTATTTACCTATCACTAGGACATTGATTGTTGTTAGTTTCTCTTTAACAATAGTAAGGTATTAACCGGTGAATTCTATGGACCTTTTTTTAATCTGCTCAATCTGGAGAAACGAGATGAGGTACCTACCTATAACTACCACGTAGCAACATACAAATGGATCATGATTCTCTCCTGTTTCTGTGGTATTTCATCATCCAACCCATTGCCATCTAGGTGGTTGGATATGTGGGTTCAGCTGACGGAATATTTCTTTTCTACCCCGGAACGTCATGAATGATCTGCTAGTTATGTTCGCTTAATGATAGTTTATGAATCTGGTTAAGATTAGGTCTATAACCAAGTTAGTTGGAGGCCACCGGAGTTCTCAATCAGAATCAAGAGCTACAGTAGATTCGGAACTCGAAATTAGAATTGATTCAGTGCTTGAACTGTAGTAAGAACTGACTTGGTTCCAGAACCAACAGCTGGTTTCTAACCAAACAAAACCGCAATTTAACAATGGTTTCCTGATAGATTACTTTGCTTCTGCACTGCAAAATATGTGTATTCCCAGTACGAAGAATTCCATGCAGCCGTTCCCCAGTCCACAAGAGCAGCTACCTCATTTTCATCGCCACCTACTGTCAATTTTAGCTGTACTTAAGCCCTTTATTCTTGACATGGTCAGAAGTGTAACCGTTGCTGCTTTGGTAGATGATAGAAACTATTCGATCGAGAAGGATGGTACCGGAATAAGGTCATCCGCAACGTAACCACAAACCCTGGCAACAAATTCGAATTCATGATCGTTTCTGCAAGTTGGTAGGTCTGACCATTTCTCCTTCAAGATGCGTTGACACTCTCCATCGCCTGCTTTCTCATCCTGTAGATGAGCAGAGTCGAACATGTACCGAAGCACTGCCCGACAGCCCATCTGCCACCCAGCGCGTCGCAGGTAGTTCTTGGTGTCCGGTGGCCACTCGCTCCGATAGTGACAGCACCGCACGAGATTCTCTGCGGTGGGGACTCTGTTCGCATTGAGACACTCCACGGCAATTTGGAAAATATTCACAAAGCCTCTTCGAAGTGACTTGTTGGTTTTGAGGTTCTTTCGCACATCGGGATCGAGGTGCACGAGGAGGTCGTCGTTGGCCTCTACCCAAAAACCCCCATCATCAATTCCATCCTGGTTAAGATCGTACATAGTTTCACCATGAAAGATCAAGGAGCTCCTCATTCGGGCGGATAGAAATCCTCCCAGGCATTCTCCGCATGTACACCCGTATCGGAGGCATACGCCATTAAGCAGCGAAGTATCCCGTTCGGACAGCAAGGCGAGACAGAGCACTGCAGAGTCGGGATACCCTTCAAAGTAATCTGATAGGTCCAAAACCCTTGAACCCCCCCACTGCTTTTGTGTTCGCATTGTCTCTAATTTTTCTTGCAATGCTTCGAGCGGCGTGTACCCGTTAATATCACGAGCCGTCTTCCATACTTTGGCGTGGTGAACATTCTCAAGTAGCCACGATGTACACAGTGGCTTGAGCTCGCAAGCTGTTAGATGCAGAAGCGTGGCTTCAGATTTGGTCACTCGATCCCAACCAATCTCATCGTCCGCATGAGTGACGAAAAAGGCTTTGAGTTCTTCGTCTGCCAGAGTGAGAGCTGCATGATGCAGCGGCAACGCGTCACGAAGTCTTTCCATTTTCAGTTTCTCAACATCCGTAAGATGATTTGCCTCATAGATAACTCTGAGTTCTTCATTCTCAAGAGCTTTAGTATGGCTCCTACGCGGGTCGAAATCAGAAGTCGCTGCAAGGGCGCGAGACTGATGGTGGAGGTCGAACGAAAATGCAAAACAGCGAGATGCGCCGATTCGACGAAAACCGCATGATCGCCAAAAATCAATAACACCGGATTGAAATCGGATCCGTGTCATCAAGCGTTCTTCTGCGGACTTGCCCACTAACTGCGGTTCGATATCAGCTGCCAGTATTCCGGGACTGGCCAAAGCATGTAGGGTCCATGCTCGCTCGAAGGCCTCGTTAGAACCGTAGAAAAGATCTGCATATTTGCCGTCTGGCTTGTCATCTAGGCAGAACTGCTTGGCTTTGTTCAACATTAAAGCCACTACTTTCTGCCCCAGCCCTTTCCGACGCAGTTCCAGTGCTGAAACATGAAGATTTTCAATCAGGAAAAGAGGGCCGTTATCAAGCTCGTTTCCCCATACACCAGTTCCTCTTTGCACTGGATGATCTTTATACTTATTCTTGGCTGTTCCATATCGATCAAAGACATCGAAGGCCACATCGCTTGTTTCCTCGCTGGGCTCTTCCATCTCCTTCCAGAATCCACGCATACCATGTCGATGAATATACCGGGCTATAGCGGTGGCGACAGCGACGCCATCACAAGTGCATTCGGCGACATATTTTCTTATTCACCTGGGCTGGAATATTCCTTCATCAGACACAAAGAGCCGAATCTTCACCGTTCGTGCCGTGTCACCGGGGATAGTATATTCATGCTCTTCAATGTTCTGTTCTGCGGGAAAATATTCGCTCTCATCTTCCTCATCTTCCATTTCATTTTCCTCCCACCACCATGCTTCTTCCTCCGAGTCATCAAATTCATTGTATTCGAGCCATTATCTGTCGACTCATGGTCTTCGAAGTCCGCCCCTAGCCGTGAAAGATTTGTTAGCATGCCTCACGCCTCTTATATCACGCCCCCTTTGTGTTAGTGGAAGGGAAAGAGAGCACGCACTGCTTCGCTTCAAGGATGCTTGCCCCCCCTCCATTTTCTCCCCATTGTTTTCCATTCTGGTTATCAACCTTGCCTCTTGACCTGGTTTGAGCAAGGCCTTGATGAGATAGGAGAAGAACAGCAGGTGAGCAGCCAGAGGGACAAGAGAGGCGGGGTCAGGGGTCCGTCACCTAGTGAGAATTAGGAGTGTGATACGAGCCCTCAGTTGCAGGGGTATAGACACAAGGCCATTGCACCGCCCCTAACGGCGCGGTGGGCGCGTACTTATGTTATCCATTACATTGCCTATCTGAGACCCCTATTAGGAGGTTATTAAAGTACTTAAACAGAAGAACGAGGCATACTCTTTGGACTCATTTCTGGCGTCGAAAGCGGTCATTTTATGCGTCGATTCCACAGATCCTCATATATTCTAGTTGTATAAAACACTTCGTCATTCGATTCAGATTCATTAGAACTCGAAGCGAAACAAGAAATAGAATAGCAGCTCGCTCAAAGACTTATTGTAAATACTCGCATGCGCTATAAAACAAATATTAATCCCGAAATTATTCATCATTATCATCACAGCTTTTGGTTAAAGAAAATAAACAGAAAAGGTATTGGGTATTGCTTGTATGCGTTTATGCATTGTCCATCAAATTGTACGCCAACAAAGGATCAATCATGGCCATGTCATCTGCATTGGGTATCTTAGAACTGAAATCTTGCATCATTAAATCAGAGCCGAGTTCCGGTTTGACGGGTAGGTCGGCTGAGTTGTGGTCTGCGTAGGGATCGACAGACAGGGACGGAGCGGAGGTCGCGCCTAGGGTGTATGGGTTGTAAGAAGAGTAGGACGGGTCTTCGTGGTCGAACTCGAGACCGTAGATTCCGGGCATGCTGTCGGAGAGAAGCAGGAGAGGGTCATTGTTGTTTTGGGCGTCGAGGGTGGTGGTCGAATCCGCTAGGAGCGCGCGCTTCATGAACAAGTCTCGGATTTCGTCCTCGAGAAGACCGTGCTTACTGCCCATGTGTATCCACAAGTCATAGTTGCGGAGGAAGCGATGGGGACAAGACTCGACAAGACAGGTGATGTGGCGGCCTGATTCTTCGGCGTAGCCTTCGCCTGTGAGAGCGGTCAGCGCAGAGAGCCTCGGCTGCGAGGAATTCTGGTGTTGTTGGCCCTTGCTACCGAGGCCGAGACGTTGTCGACGCTCGGCTTTGGCGTTCTGGAAGCCAAGATGGGCGGTGCGGATGTGCTCTTCGAGAGCGAGCTTGCTGCCGTAGCGTTTTCCGCAGCCGTCGGCGCCAGTCCAGCCGAGAACCTTCTTGGAGGCTGAGAGGTCGGTCTCGCCGCAGACGAATCGTCGCTCGCCTTCATGGACCGTCCGGACATGCACGGTCAGGTTTCCCTTCTTGGTGAAGCTGCGGTCACAGCCCGGGACGGAGCATGGGAAGAGCTTTCGGTCTTCGATAGTTACATCGCCGTGGGCGACTTCGAGATGGCGCCGTAGTTCACGAGACGTGGAGCAGGTGATTGAACAAGTGGGACACTGAGGAGGGTGTACGGATTTGATGTGCGCCTGCAACAGCGCATACGTGGGGAAGGACACCGTCAGGGACCCAGTTGCCGGCTTATCGGTCGATGAGGCGGACATCAGGTCCGTGCCTTCGGCGCAGTCCTGCTGGGAGCACTCGGCACAGGTGAATCGTTTGTCGGTGTGAACTCGACTCTCGTGGGCGCGAAGATGGCCTGCGGTGTCGAATGCCATAGAACACTTCTGGCCGGTCGTCGCGTCGACATGTGGGCATTGGAAAGGCTTTTGTTTCAAATGGCACGTCATAATATGCTTTTGGAGCGTCGAGTGTTTCCGGAACGTTTCATTGCACGGCGGGTGTTCCGTGCAGCGATACTTGTCTCGTCCATCGTGAGCCGCCAAATGTCGACGGAGACGGGAGCCGGTCACGAAGTTCTTTCCACAGCCCGGACGATCGCAGACATAATCCCGAACTCCGGTATGCGCACTCTTGATATGGTGGTTCAGATGGGAGGCTCGCAGAAAGGTCTTATCGCAATCTTCATGGGTGCAGCTGAATAACCGCTCATTATTGTGGGAGCGCAGGTGCTCTTGGAGCCGAGCCGGGCGATTGAATGCCTTGGAGCAGCCGTCGAAAGGGCAGCGATGAGTCTTCAGTTCGGAGGGATACTTGGTTGAAGTTGTCGAGAAGGGAGTTGCCGGGGTATCGTGTAGACTGTCGCCGGTAACGACACTCTCGTTGGAAGAAGCATAATCATCATCGGAATAAGCCTCCTCGTAGATAGGATCTAAAGAAGAAAAAAAATTAGGAAAGAGTTCATTTTTGGATGGGATTGCTGCTGAGAATGCGCTTACCAGTATCATCCAGCGCCGTTGGCTTCAGGACCTTTTTCGGCGTTGGGAAGCCTTCAGAAGCTTTTCTTTTCTGGCCCATAGCCCCGACGGAGATTCAATTTTGGAACACCACAAACAACGACCCATTCAAAGTGGTGAACAAAGAAAGCAACACACAGTGCCTGTTGAGAAGCGAGAACAAAGCCCCGAGAATAAAATCGCGAAAGCTGAAAGCCGATGAAGAAAGACAAAAATTTTGCCGGGAAAGACCGTCTGAGGCGGTGAAGCAGGATGGCTCAAAGCGGACTAGCAGCAGGCCGGGACAAGGAACTTTTTCCGCCGCCTTTTGCTTTTGGGGAATCGCGATCTCAATCTTCTTCACCGTCGCATCGTCGATCCTTTCGCTCAACTCGCCCGGGACGTGGTGTGCTCTTTCCTTTTGCTTGTGTAGCTGCAGCATCACCTGATCTCTCTTTTTCCCTATTCCTTCTTGCGAGCTCTTGAATTGGCATCATGTCTGACTACGGTGATCACGGCGATGAAGACAAGTAAGAGACCTTTTTTTCACGATCCTATCTCCCGGTCACAGCAACAAAGAAAGGCGACATCACTCTTGGACATTCCCCATTGAATCGATATCATTCAAGTTTGAGAATTTTCCAATCATTCTGACCTGGCATGTCTCCAGCTACGACTACGACCCCGCGGAGCAACTTGACGACCACGAGCCCGATGACTTCTTAAACCCCGAGGATGTTGACGGCGAAGGAGGCGCTGACGGATATGGCGACGACTCGTATGCGCCGGAGGCCAACGGCGATCGCGTCGTCGTTTCGGGTGACCCCAATGCTGGCTACTCGGGCAAGGTGATGGAACAGGCGCGGGAAAAGAAAGTGCCGAATGAAGAGCGCACGACGACTCCCTACATGACCAAATACGAAAGAGCGCGAGTCCTGGGTACCAGAGCCCTACAGATCAGGTTCGTTTGAAGACATGCGCTTCAATGTTGCACGAAGATGGGGGTTTCTTTGTGACTGACAATATCATCAGTATGAATGCTCCGGTGCTGGTCGATCTTGAAGGTGAAACGGATCCTTTGCAAATTGCCCTCAAGGAGTTGAACCAGAAGAAGATCCCTCTGATTGTGAGGAGATATCTGCCTGACGGATGGTAAGCGGCTTTTCTAACCCGATCAAAACCGAGAGAGATTTGGCATAGCTCGTTCTAACTGCTCTTCTCGCACGATAGGTACGAGGACTGGACATGTGAAGAACTACTTTAGATTCGTGGACGGACTGGGTGGCTGTATATTGAAATTGGGTACCTTGACACTTTACTTTGTATGTTATTCTTTCTATTTCTCTTATCCGGCATAGCGTGTGGAGTTTGGGAGCAGGAAAAACAGACCGTAATGGCTCCATCGGCCACTTTGGTCTTTGGGAACGGGGAAAAGAAAAAAACACAAGACATAGCGCAATGCAGAATTCTAGATAAAATAAAGAAAAAAAAGTTTGATGTTTGATTACGACCACGTTCTGCAATCTACTACATGGCATTCTGCCAGAATCTGGCACAACCCTAACTCTGACATGTCACAAATCTATAGCAATTGCGCAGTGCCGAGTCTCCTGGTCTGATTCATCATTAAAAGCAAGCCGAATGGACTGAACGCTGGTGAGTAGAGCCTGACACTAGAATCTAGTCCTGTGCTTAACAATATCTGCCATATTCCGAGGCCCGTAGCCCGGCCTGAATCGGAGATTAGGAACCCTAAATATAATCACCCGGGCCTTTCTGCTCTGTTAGTGACGATATAACCCTATCCGGTGTCCGACTGGAAGGTCTTCAGGAGTTTAAAGGCGTCCGTGTCTATATGGTGGTGTTCGCTGTCCATACATCCTCCCTTTAAGCCCAGGGCTAAAAAGTGAGACCAGTCCATTGCGTTATGCTTATGCCGATCAAGGATACCGTCGGCGGAGAGATCAATCGGGATATTTTCATCCATGCACAGGCCTAATTTTCCACATGCCGATAGTTATGACTGATTTCTCTCGTGTCGTACTTGCTCAGCGTAGTTGCGGGATTATAAGCCGCATATGCAACAAGAAGAGTCACACTACTTGCCAATATTCGTTCGAAGCAACCTGCTGACATTGATGGATTTGAAATCAAGCTTTGATAGTCATATGTAAACATTGCTTCTATCGCGACATCGACTAAGCATGACGAAAGGGGATATGCAGCCGTCGATCTGGGAGACTGAGGATGATGCTTGGAAATCCAATCTGACAGGGGAATGATGACGAGTCAATCGGTTTAACAATGATAATGTATCAGATTCGGGAATGGACAGGAACAAGACTCGGAAATCGGAATCGAAGTGAATCCCATGTCAAATACGAGAGGATTACCTCAGCAATCGGAGACACCAACTCTCCCCGGCCCACTTTCTTTCCTTCTTCCACATTCCTCGACTGCAAGCATCTTCTTCCTTTTGTTTGCCATCTTCACCAGTTCGTCCACTCTTTGATATGGATCGTTAGGGTCGGTGTGGATACCATCTCGCCTCCCCAAAGTCACATTGAACTCTTCTTCGAATCAGAAACCGAGTTCTATCCCACATCTCACATCCAACGCCATTAATAATGATCCCAGCTTCTTCCCCGCTGGATAAGTCGGCACGCTGCCCAGACTCGATGACTAAATCTTACTTTCCCCTGAACCAATGGATGCTAAACTGGTAAACTGCTAACCCCCCGGCGGTGCTAGATATCACTGGGTTTAATGCAGCTCCAAGCGTCAATAGGCGCTCTTGTGAAAGGATTGGTGCCCGAGATGTTCGTTTTCTCTGCAGGTTGACGGGTCTGATCCCTGAGGCTTTCTTCAGTGTCGGTGTGAACCGACAAAGGTCCAATGATACCCTACAACAGATGCGAGTGACTCGGCAATGGGGGCAAGATATCTTTCCCGGCTCCAAGGTTGTGCTCCCGGAAATCCACTCGGCCTTTCGGCACTCCCCGTACGTGTCCATGAATGGGTCGCTTGTTGGCTTGACTCATTTGTTCACTTCCGCAAATATGGATGCTCCCGTGAGGGTGGATCAACCCTCCTCGAGGGTCTGGCGTGGCCTGCTTTCATCCTTTTTAGCTCCCATGCTTAGCCCGTTAGGTGCCCCGCTAGGTACAAGGAAGCTGAGAATTTTTGAATCCAACGTTTATATATTACTCCTCCCCTCCGCTTTAATCTCGATTCTTGACTATCTTTTCGTCGCCTTTTGTTCTGCGGTAAAGGGTTCATTGACGTCGACTTTTTATTTATGATTTTCACTTTTGAATTCGATTTTTAATGCGCTTTGCTTTCTACCGTAAATAATTTATACTCGCATCTTTCGCTTTATTCCTCTCGGGCTCACACGTTTTACCTTCGGGCTTGGCCATCCTTACCTGTCTGTCTGGTGCAAAACCTTTCGACCTCATTCGGAACTAAACATGGGAACAAATGCTGATGCAGAGAAGACTGTTGTGGACTCCTTGAATGACAGCGGCAATGGCAACGAACAGACTTCTAACACACCAATTCCTCTCGATGAGAAACCCTCGGAAGAGCCGACTTTCGACACCGGTCTAACAGCGTGGCTACAAGTTCTAGGATCATTCTTCTTGTTTTTCAACTCATGGTATGTGCGATAATCAGCGTTTCCACGTGCACTTCTTTCGATAGCAGATTTTCGATTTACTGACCATGTGTTTTATAGGGGTGTCATCAACACGTGGGGTGCTTTCCAGACCTACTATGAACAGAACATCCTTTCTGACGTGTCGTCATCGTCCATCGCATGGATCGGATCACTACAGTCTTTCCTTCTTATGCTTTTTGGAGTCGTGACGGGGCCTTTGTTCGACGCAGGCTATTTCCATGCCCTCGTTGGCTTCGGAACTTTCATGCTCCCCTTTGGGCTTATGATGACCAGTATTTCCACACAGTATTGGCACTTCATTCTTGCGCAAGGTGTCTGTATTGGATTGGCTAGTGGTTGCCTTTTCGTGCCCTCTGTGGCCATTCTACCGCAGTATTTCAAGAACAAGAGGGGTTTCGCCAATGGACTGGCGGCTTCGGGAAGTAGCATCGGCGGTGTCATCTATCCGATCATGTTCAACCAATTACAGAGCAGGGTTGGATTCCCATGGGCAACTCGCGCAGTGGGGTTCATGGCCTTTGGATTATGCTGCTTCTCCTTTTGTCTCATGCGGATGCGATTCCAGCCGAAGGAGAAGCGCAAGCTGGTTCAGCTCTCGGCGTTCAAGGAGCCAGCTTTTGTGATGTTCGCTATTGCGATGTTTTTGGGCTTCCTGGGATTCTACAACTTCTTGTTCTACGTCCAGTCATATGCCATCGACACCGGCATCGTGGATTCCACACTGGGCTTTTATCTGTTGTCGATGCTGAATGCCGGATCCACCTTTGGACGAATCCTCCCCAACTTTATCGCCGATCATACCGGTCCCTTGAACATGCTCACGCCTGCCGCCACAGCCACCGCTATTCTCGCTTTTGCCTGGATTGGTGTCCACAACGTTCCCGGAATTATCGTCTTGGCTATCTTGTATGGTCTGTGCTCTGGCGGCTTTGTGTCGCTGCCTCCGGTCGTGATGGCCAGTCTGACGAAAGACATTCGTGACCTGGGTACGCGCTTGGGCATGATCTTTGCGACTACATCTATTGGGCTGTTGATTGGAACGCCCATCGGTGGTGCTATCTTGAACGACACGCATAAATACCTTGGAGTGCAGCTCTTCACGGCCTGTTGTCTAATTACCTCGGCCTCGATCTTCGCGTCCCTGAGATTCTCACGTACTGGACCGAACTTCTTTGTCCGAGCATGAAAAATAAGATGTGATGATATTAAACTTCACTGGACGACGAATCCTTCGTTGGCCTTCGGACGCTGAGCTACCTGGAATTATATGACCGCCTTGTGGTCAGACTTCTATTCCAGTCGCACTTGCCGCTTCCGTGTACGTGCGTACCGGAATTCTCGAAGACTTTCAACTTCCCGGAATTTCCGGGGTCTTTATCCAACACCGTCGATGACCTGGCCGTTATCCCAACGGCGCCGTCGAGCTAAAACCTATCAAGCCAATCTGGCTCATAATTATAAAAGCACTATCTTTGCATCCTGGGTTGGCGTTATGGAATAAAAAGTAATGTATATACTCATCAAGGGACATATGGATAGGCTGTCATAGATCAGGGAATCGATACATACAAGCATCCTACAGACATTAATCTACAACTCTACACACGAACAGCAGGCCCTCGGCTAGACAGTAGTATGTTCAATAGGTCTCATCTGAACATGGATCTTCCACATGGCATCTAAACTCGAAGATAACGAAAGAAGCGACTCACGAACTCCCCCAACACCAAAATGCTAACCCAACAATGACAAACCACTTTTGTATCTCATCCTTTGAGTTTCCCGACGCTGCGTTACAAAACCCCAATTCTTCCCGCCACGATCATAGCACATCTTCAGGCCCGACGGGGAAATTCTCGCCATTCTCGCGCACATGCTGTAACTTCTTATCTCGACTGCAAGGTTTCCGCATATCGAACGCGTCCTCGCCTGACTCTGACATGCCTGTTGGATCGTCGCTGTAATAATTGACCACGCGACGGAAGACGGAGTACCTATTTGGTTAGGACCATGGTATCAGTATAAATTCCAACAAAGCGCAGTACGCTAACCCGGCCGATAAACCATCGCGACCCAAAACAAAATCAAAACGCAAGGAGTGAAACAGAAAGTGAAACATACCCCATGCCCTTATACATATCCACCGCGACCTTATTCCCCGAGCGCACGTACAGATCAACGAACCAGGCATCGTTGATATCGGAGCCGCGCTCCAATCGCTCGGTCAGACGTCGCGCGTGGCCGAGGCGGCGCGCTGCAGGTGCAACGGTCAGAACGGTGATGTGGCCGTGCCAAGGGGTGTAGTGTTCCGAGTGGCGCATGGAGGGGTGCTGCTCCTCTAGTTTGCCCATGACTTTTTGTTTGTTGTGTGACGTTAGCGTTTGGTCTGGTCTGGATTCTCTCTGGGGGGCGGGTGGTTTTGACGAGGATTGGGGGAGTGTTGGGTAGAGGTAAGGGAAGCCGAGAGAGAGTTCAAGACATACTGTAGCCAACGATGCCGTCGCGACGATCCTGGACGCTGCTGAAGAGCGACGGCCAGCGCATGAGGTAATTGAGGTAGAATCCGAGGTCATAGTTTTCGGTCAGGGGGTCGAGGTTGGTCAGGTTCATGGACAACAGGTCCGTCGGGGACATGCGACGGATGGCGCTCATCTTGACGGTTGGAACAGGAACAAATTGAGGAAGGAAATGGAGGGGTGACAGGAACCGAGAGAGCGGAAGAAGGTAGGTAGCTCAGGCTTAAGGGAAGCATCCACGGCGGGGGAAGCAAAAAGCGGTCCGATTGGGGCTTCGGCGGTCACGGGGGAAATTCCGGCTCATTTCGGCCTGCGACTTTGTTTCCCTCGACTTTCCTTCATCTGAATGAAACCTGCAGGGTTGACCTGGTCTCTTGCCGTCAACCGTTTACACCTCATTTTTTAGCCTTTTTTTTTGTCTGTCTCTCTTTGTGGTGCGCATCCTGGTGATGCGATCGACAGTCCGTTGTTGACATCTCCTATCCTTTCCTTTCCTCCCCCCTCTCTGCCTGCCCCTTGTTGTTCAACACGTTCGATCGGAGTTTAGCTCGCAGCTGCAATTCGCGGGTTCCCCCTCCTGAATATTAAAGGGGTGTGTTCTCGGTTTCTCAAATTTTATTAGTTATTTATTTTTCTGCTTCCCCCCAAATTGTCATTCATTCCCTCTCTACATTCCTGCGTGATCGACCGTTATCCGACTACCGAAATTCTCCTTAACCTGCATATCCGACCATCTCCATCATGCCATCCGTCCCTCCCCTGAAATTATCTCACCGCCATACGCAGAGTCAGGCGTCGAGCGTCGACTTCGACCCAATCTCCCCCGGCACATATGCTCCAAACCATTTCTCCCACGGCTCTCCGCGGTCGTCCGCCCCTAATTCTCCCGGCCTACCCCGCCAGCACCATGCCCAGAGCTTGAACGGATTCCAGAGGATGTCGGGCGACTTTGGCGGTGCGGCCGACATGGGTGGGGGGCTGGGGAATCTCGCAGATGAGCTGGCAGACGCATGGGAGGAGGAGGAAGGTGGATACGGGTATGCGTCCGGACAGGAGATGGAGAATGCCCCCGGAGCTTCACAACGTGCGGACCGCAGCGACACCGAAGATGAATACCACATGGCCAACAGAACCCCCTCGTCGGGCTACTCGTCCGAACGGGGCTCTCTGCAACCACCGCGGCCCAAAACACGGAATGGTGGCAATCGGCACCGACGACATGAGTCGCAATATGACGGGTCTGATTACGGACACGAGTCCGACTTGGAGGAGGCGGATATATCACCCAGTTTGGAGAGTCAGATGGCGGAGATCGAGAGCCTGGCTCGGCGTGGCATTGAGAACAATGGCAGCGAGAACGACCATGTTATTCAACGGGCCGTCGAAGCTCTTCGAGACCTCGGTGGTCAGAGTGGCATCGAGAATAATGCAATGAGGTTGGTCTTTCTTGGTTGTTTTCATCTTGTCGATGGACTTCACATGCTGACCCTTTTTGACCTACAGACTCATCACAGCACACTCCTCTATCACGTCGCATCTCACCCATCAAACCCGCACTCTACAAACCCTCACCCACCCTCTCCTCTTCTCGCCGTTCCCGATTCTCTCTCCAGATGCCATCGATGCTCTCATCCCCCTCATCGACGAAGATCTCCTACCGAACCTCCCCTACCCATTTCCTGACCCGTCTCGATCTCGACCCGACACGCCCTCGCAAACCTCATCCCTTGATCCCCTCGTCTCTCTCCAAACTCTCGTCTCGCAAACCTCCGACATCACCCTCTCCCTCCGCGGACTAAGCGACACCCTCTACGAATCCCGCCAGCTCACCGCGACCGCCTCCCGAAGACTCCGATCCGCACGAGAACTCGTCGCCGAGCTCCGGCGCGAAGAAGAAGGTCGCGAGGAAGGCTCCCGGTGGATCGAACGAGGCGACTGGGATCGTCGACTCAAAGACCGCGAAGCCGGCCGTGAGTGCGGCGACGTGGTCAGCGGATTCGAAGCCATCTGCGGCGAATGGAGGGAACGACTCTTCGGTGCGGCCGGCGCTGAAGTCGCCGCTGCTTGATTGATATGATTCCCCCAGTTCTTTTGCCTTTCTATCAAGCTGAATCTTTCTTTTCTACTTATGACCTTCATACATACACACATACATGCAACTATCTATTCTGCATTTTAAAAAACAGCACATACACGTGTTTTTCCTTTGAGGTCGCGGCATACCCCAGATCAGATCGTTCCTTTTTACTTTACTTTACTTCACTTTTCTTTTCGTTTCAAAGTATATAGACTTCTAGTTTTGTTGGTTTCTCAAGTGGGTATTTCTCTCTCTGCAAAGGATTTCTTTTAATTATTGTTGGGGATTGTGTATTTCATCTAGATAGATGTCAAGTGAAGAATCGTCGTCTATACATACATTCATACAGGAGTGTTGAATCATAGTCATACATACAAACATAAATACATATTTTCTCACTTGTCAATGGCCCTACAGGATATTATTGAAATTTGCTAGTTCAGCACAGGATAAAGGGGACAAATATTTCAGGTATCTAGGACACCGACAATTTTTTGCGTGACTCCCGGCGCTTCAATCTTCCATCGCAAGTCAAGCCCGTTTCTTTACATTCTCCAACATGGTATCGATCACCTAAGAGCAATCCATAATAATCCGAAATTTTGCAGAGGGTGAAGTAGTATAAGAGCGCATGTCGAAGCTGCAAGCCAGGTTTTAATTAATGCAAGTTGAATGAGATGGAAAAGAGAATCTGAATTGACTAGTCTATGAGTAACTAACTCATGTAAACCCCTTATCACTCCAGCCATCTACATCCTCTCAAAAAAAAATCAACAGCACGATGCCTCGCCAGAGCTACATGAACATAGTGCCATAGACATGAGATGCCTGTTCAACTACAAGAAGACCTGAGACATATGTTAGCAATCAAATATTGCCAAAGTCATGAGTGAAAAGCAAGTTTCAAAGTGAGGCTTGGCGTCAGCAAAAAATTAGAGTGTTTGTTGTTGCATATTTTTGATCTTCAGAGCCACCCACCAGGGTGATTGCTCGGAGTTAAAAATTGTATCATCACTCGCCAAAATGTTGTGGTGAAAGAGGGAACGAACAAGGGAGGGGGGAAGAGTCATAAATGACAAACTCACCATTCGGGTCAAGAAGATAATGGAGCGTGACTACGTTCCATATCTAATTGAAAAGGAGTAACCGATTGCTCGTCATCCATGAATCATTTTCATTATTGCCAGACAATTAAGCCTCAGCATAAAATCTAATACATGGTAGTTGAATCTCGCGGATTAAGACGAGAAGTTTAGTCGAAAAGACCGAAGCCCATGTCGGCGTCGGACTCCTCCTCTTCCTCCTCCTTAGCGGCAGGGGCAGCCTCGCCGGCAGCGGGAGCAGCAGCGGCGGCAGGAGCGGCGGCAGCGTAAGCGTCAGGGTTGGCGATACGGTCCTTGAGCTCCTCAATCTCAGGCCAGCTGAAGTCGGTCTCGATGGCGACAGCGAGGACCTTCTTGTAGCTGTTGACGAGAGAGTGCATGACAGCGGGGAGGGTGGGGAAGCTGGTGGCCAGGGAGATGGCGGTGATGGTCTGGATGGCGGTGCTGAAAGCATCGAGGAGCTGGGACTCCTCAATGTCCAGAACACCAGCGCTGAAGGTCTGACCCTCCTGGTAGACCTGCTGGATGGTCATACCGTAGGTGAAGGGAGAGATGTTCAGCAGGTTGAGCAAGGTGGCCTCAGAAGGACCGACCTTGGTGCCAGCCTCAACGAGCTTCAGGTCGGACACAATTTCGATGGTACCACGAGCAATCTTGGTGGGGACACCAAGAGCCTGGAAGAAAGAGGTCTTACCGGGTTCCATACCGGTGTTACCGGCGGGAATCCAGACATCGCCGGGGGCGACGGCACCAGCACGAGCGGGGGCAGCGACACGGTTGGCCAGGATCTTCTCCTTGGTGGCCTTCAGGTCGCCGTTGGTGAAGATGAAACCAACGTTGCCTGTCAATCAGACCAGTCAGAAATTGGCCTCTGTTATAGAATGATTTGTTGGGTTCTTACCGCGGACGTGAGGGAGCAGACGCTCGTACTCGGGGTTTTCAGTGACGAAGCCCTTGATGGCACGGCGAACCTAGAAACAATCGCGAGTCAATTGACGCCCAATGAGGTCCGAAAGCCGGCAAAACGTACCATGGTGTTCTTTCCCATGAGAACAACACCCTCGCCACGGAGACTCAGACGAATCTCGTGCATCTGCTGAGAGCTGACATTGTCGACACCGACAATGAAGACGGTAGAGTAAGCATCGAGAAGGGCCTTCAGCTTCTCGAAGTAAGCGGCCTTGGTAGCAGACTTGCCCCCCATTTCTCCTTAAATCAATGAAGATAGGTTGTTTAAGGGCAAGTGAAAATTTCTTTTAGGTGAACGTGGTGATGGTGTCCGAATTGAATCGCGACGTTGGAGGTCGGGAAGAATTTCGATTTTGGGATTTTCTTTTGGTGTGCACTTCGCCTAGTGCGGTCACGTGAGTGCGCTACTCGCTGCCGGGCGGCTAGACATGCGATAGACTAGCGTCGCATTCTATGAGCATCGGGAACTTTTTTTCTGCCTCGAGTTGCTCGATCAATTGAGCTCGCTCGTCCCATCTACATACCCAGTCATGGTCGCCATCTTCCAACGTCCCTTCCAGCGCCTTCAGGTCGTGGACCGGCAGCATGTCGGTCGTCAGAACCTCATCGTAGCGTCGGCCGGCTCAAAACTCTACTCGTATGCGGCCGAGACCGGACAGCGGCTTGCTAGTTGGCCCCAGGGTGAAGACCAGAGCACTGTTGAGAACCAGGGTCCGCCAGAGAAGAAGCGAAAGCTGTCCGCGACGGATGAGACGGTAGTTGAACAGCCCACCCCTACCAATGAAGCATCGGGGAAACCCAAAACCCCATCCTGGTCGAGCATTCCTCTCGTGGTAGCTTCTTCTACCGGCGAGCATGTGGTTGCGATGACATTGGAGGATAAATGCGTCCGTGTCTTCCAACTGGGCGAGGGCGGCTCATTCCAGCAGTTGAGTGAAAGGTGAGTGACCGTCGAGTCTATGGCTAGGGCCCTCCTGCTCATCCGGTTCATAGAGTCATGCCGAAGCGTGGCTGCGCGCTTTCCTTGGTCAGCAATGACAGTTTGATCCTACTTGGTGATAAATTTGGAGACGTCTATTCCCTGCCTCTCATTCCCGGTGACGAGGAAGTTGCGGCGCCCAAGGTTGCCGCTCGCAAGATGAAGCATAACTGGCCCGCAGCGACGAATCTAACGGTGCACACCAAAGGAAACCTGGCGTCTTTGGAACAGCAGAAGCTCCAGTACGACGCAAGAATGAAGAAGCTTTCGGAAGAGGGTTCTAGCTTGAAATTCGAACATCAATTGCTCGTTGGCCACGTGTCTTTGCTCACAGATTTGGCTTTCGTCTCGGTCCCCGTGGACGCGTCGGGCGATAAAAAGCGCACTTATATTTTGACTGCGGATCGAGATGAGCATATTCGCGTTTCTCGCGGACCTCCTCAGACGCACGTCGTTGAGAATCAGTGCCTGGGTCACACCTCGTTTATCACCAAGCTCTGCGTTCCCGTATGGTCTCCAGAGTACCTCGTTTCCGGTGGAGGCGACAATTATCTGCTTGTGTGGAAATGGGCCGAAGGGCGCACACTGCAGAAGGTTCCTCTGGTGGAGGAGACGTCAGAGTCTGCTCCGATTGCCGTTCGTGGTATCTGGGCGACATCATTCGACACGTTGAAATTGATCCTGGTCGCGATCGAGGGGTGAGTAGCTACCAAAATTATCCAAGTCAAAAGATTTACGAAGCTCTAACCAAGCGCTAGATCCACGCAACTCCGGTGCTTTGTGCAAGAATCAGACGGCACGTTGAAAGAGCAGCCGTCCGTTAGTGCTTCGGGCAACATTCTCGATGTGACGAGCAACGAGAAGGAGAACACGGTCATTATCTGCGTTGACAATGTTCGAGAGGCAGGATCGACACAGGAATGGAGAACCAGCCCTGCTGCGGCTCTTGTCGAGGCTTTCCGTGCGAAATCCGAGGGCGAGAGCTTGTCTTGGGAACCGGTGACGGACTCATCGATCACCAACATCAACTCTAGCGGCACTTCCGACTTGGAAGCCATCGCAGACGCCAAGAAACGAAAGGAGGCCAACGACTCACTATATGGGTTGGGCAATCTGCGAAAGAAGCATATGGGCGAGGATGACTGAGAACAGTAATATCGGGAATAAACACCTGTTTTGTCTATAGATCAAAAGCTATTCGTATATAAATTTACATTATTTATCGTAATAATATCAAAATCCCCCGTAGTGACTTGTAGTATGCCGCTGTAGATTTTCTGCTGAAGACTCCGGCAGTCTCCGCATGATTAGCGGGCCGAGACGCCGGGCGGACTTTGACTTGGACTCCCCTCATCCCACTTCGTCCCCTCATTCTACACTTTTCCTGTGCTTGATCAACCGTCAAAATGCAGGTGAAAATTGAGCCATTGAAGAATGACCTTTTGTTGAGGGCCGCAAGAGGTGACTTTCTGATTATCCGTTGAAGCAGAAATTGAATAGGCTGATGTCATTGCAGGCGAGAAGGTGGAACGCCCTCCCATTTGGGTTATGCGCCAAGGTACGCATTTCACTCTGGACCCTTTCCTTTTCCCATATCCTTGCAGCTGTTCGCACTAGAAGATAAACAATTACTGAACGAGAATTTCCTCATACAGCTGGTCGTTATCTCCCCGAGTACCACGAAGCCAAAGGCGGCCGCGATTTCTTCGAATGCTGTCGCAGCCCCGAGGTCGCCTCGACTTTGACCCTCCAGCCCGTGGAACGGTATGCAGGACTTATCGATGCCGCGATCATCTTCTCGGATATTCTCGTCATCCCCCAGGCCATGGGAATGCTGGTGGAAATGGTCGACAAGAAGGGGCCGCACTTCCCCGAACCACTCAAGTCGCCGGACGATGGACAATATGAGCGGGTCATGCAGAAACAGGTCGATGTGAAGTCGGAGCTGGACTACGTCTACAAGGCCATCACGCTTACCCGCCACAAGCTGCAGGGTCGCGTGCCCCTCATCGGCTTCTGCGGTGCCCCGTGGACGTTGCTCTGCTACATGGTTGAAGGTGGAGGCAGCAAGCTGTTCGTTCAGTCGAAGACGTGGGTCTACAAGTATCCCAAGGAGTCGCAGGCGTTGCTGCAGAAGATCGCGGAGATCTGCGTGGAATACCTGGCTCTCCAGGTCGCGGCGGGTGCCCAGTTGGTTCAGGTCTTCGACTCGTGGGCGGGTGAACTGTCCCCGTCGTCTTTCCAGTCGTTCTCCCTTCCTTACCTGCGCTATATCTCGGCCAACTTGCCCAAGAAGCTGACTGAGATGGGACTGGAGCCGGTTCCGATGACCGTCTTCGCCAAGGGTGCCTGGTATGCTCTGGAGGATCTCTGCGAGTCGGGCTACAACGTCGTTGGACTCGACTGGTTGCACGATTCGGCTGAGGCTATGCGCATTGCCAACGGCCGAGTGACCATCCAGGGTAACGCTGACCCTGGAGTGCTCTACGGAGGCCCGGAGGCCATCACGCCGGTGGTCGAGAAGATGGTCGAAGGATTCCGGAAGGGCAAGCAAGGATGGATTGCTAACCTGGGCCACGGTAAGAACCCGATCCTTGTGCTTTTGTATATTCGAGATCCTAACGGAAGCAGGTATCACACCCTTTGTCAAGCCAGAGAATCTGAAGTTCTTCTTTGAAGAAATTCACCGTCTTACTGCTGCTTAGAATGGTCATACGTGATCATATTCACCGTTGATTTATGCAGTCCTTAAAACTTATGTACATGAAAGACCATCCATCCACCAATCAACGCTGGCGTGTCTATAGCCATTGCAGGGACATATCTAGACGGCAATGTCCTCGTTCCTGGTTCTACAGTCAGCATTCGGTGGACATGAAACCTTGAAACAGGGAACAAAAGAAATATGGACTTGATCGCATGCAGCACGATACAAAAGAATAAAACGTACCAGAGCTCCGGCTTATCCTTGATGAAGTTCTCCATTAATTGCTTGCACTCCTGGCTGTCCAGAACGATGACATCCTTCCCGCGGTTCGTGAGGTACTCCTCGCCGCCGAGGAAGTTCTTGTTCTCGCCGATGACAACGCGCTTCACCTTGTAGAGCACGCAGGCACCAGTGCACATGTCGCAAGGTGACAGGGTAGTGTACATGGTGGCACCCTCGTAGGCAGAGGCGGGGAGACGTCCGGAGTTTTCCAGAGCCGACATCTCAGCCTACGTAGGTGTGTTAGTCTTGGCCCTTGGGGACGGGTGATGGCTATAGATAAGAATCTCTCCATCGAACTGACATGTAGCGTTGCGCTGCCCTTCTGAACACGCATATTGTGTCCTCTACCGAGGATCTTGCCATCCTTGGAAACTAGACACTGTCAGTTACGCCCTTCACATAAACACTCGTCCATGACATAGACATAAAGCCGAGGAAACTTAATCACATACCCAACGCAGCACCAATGGGGACTCCGCCCTCGGCCAGACCCTGCTTGGCCTCCTCCACGGCAGCGATGAATCCGGGGTCCTGCTCCATATTGGCTAGATGAAAACAAGTGATTTAATAAAAGATAGGTCTGCTAAAATGTAATGCAATGCAATGAATAGGAAAGAGATACTCTAATCTCTACGCATTAAATCAAAGGTGGGATCAAGCGGTACAAGCTTAGTAACTGCGGGCAAAATTCTGTGGCCAACTGCCGTTCTGGTGCTAGTCCGACCCGCCTTTTTGATAAGAGATATGGAGAACCCCTCATGCTGGCCGGATATGTGTTTACCAGGTTGGTAGGGGCAGAGAGTCGAGGGTGGGATGTGGTGGGTGGTGGTGGTGGTGGTGGTGGCTTGTACTGTACTACTTACGAAACTAGGTTGCGCATCTACTCCGTACATACTTTAGTTTGGTCGCCAGTGCTAATGTCATGTCATGCAGGAAGTCTGGTCTGTCAGAGGCGAACCGGGTAACGGTTTGTAGATCAGGACCTTGTGGTATAAGGTATATGAGAATGATTTGCAGCAGCTAGTGATTGTGGTATTGGAATATTTTTAGATCAACTTAAATTAGATGTGCAATTATTACCTTCATGTATCTGTGGTAGCCGTCCTCTGAAGTGAACCAAGTTAGTTCTATGAATGATATAGAACAAACTACTCCGGCATACTGTGTAGGGCATTCATGGTTCCTAAGGCAGCCCAGCCATTGATATTGGCGCCTGACACCCACATACACCGTAAGACATCCCTGGGTCCCTGAAAAATGAGAACTCTTATTGTTTGCCTCCCCCTCCTTCCACTTCGGGTCATTGGCCAAGCAGTCGCTTATCGATAAGGTCTGGGCCGCTACATTCCAGCCTGAGGCAGGGACCTGCGCCACCCGAAAAAAAAAAAGAACCAAAGAACACAAAACTTTAAGCCAACTCGTAATGTGTAACTAACTAATAGTTACATCTAACAAGATTAGTAACCTCTGGCTGCTGCTTCTGTGTGTCGCCCTGTAGTTACGAAGGGATGCAGTGGTCAGATCAAGCGCAATTCTAATCCCAGCGCTTGTATCATCAATCTGACCTGTCCAGCATGCGTCAATGGAAGGCGATGGAAATCTCCCTGCAAGGCTCTGTCAGCCCGGATGGCCGTCACGGGCGCGTAATTTACGGGTTGGAGTCAGCCGTGGAATCGCGGCGAAAGCGATGGAAGACTGGAGAATCGCATGGAAGTCGCCCGGCCAGCGCTCGAGCCACGCATTTGCAACCGATCGAACCCCGTCAGGATGGACGACTTCAGGGTTGGAGAGAGGTAAAACCGGCACGATTCGCTTCCAGGTGTGCTCCAATATTTTCAATTTTTTTGTCAATATTGTCGTCTCGTTCCGATCGATTATTCTAGTATATTAGAATTCCCTCCCAGATAGATCGGGTCGCCGTATCCTATCTCCGGTATCGAAATACCCACAAAAAAAGTGCGTTGGTGCCTGGTCCTGGTATTGCCCTTACGGCCTTACGATACGCAGCGGTAGCCGCTTGTCGCCGCTCTTTGATAATAATATTAATCTCCAAGCGCCTTCACAACCCTTTTTCCTCCCTCTCATCAACAAGTCCCACCTTGGCTCCTTCGGATTCGAGGCATCTCCCTTTCTCTCCCCTCTAGTCTCCTCTCCTCCCAGAAATCACCCGGTGATTTCCCTTTCGCCTCACTCTCCGTGCTTATCGTTCTTTCGCCGGCTATAACCCCCCATCCGGCCGATCGTTCTCTCTTTTCTTTCCGTGTCACTTTTAAAAAGTTCTGGTTTCATTCTCCTTACCTTCGCTAGACTCAGTTCACAATGGTCAAGGATACCAAGTTTTACGACACCCTCGGGGTAAGTTGTTTCGTTTTGTCTCATCCAGTCGGATTCGAAAAAAGGACAAGAAAAACTGACGGCAAGACTGTTTAGGTCTCCCCCACGGCTACCGATGCCCAGCTGAAGACCGCCTACAAGAAGGGCGCTCTGAAGTTCCACCCTGGTACGTTCGATCCGACGTGAACAACCGCCGCAACCGGGATCAGTTGGATCTTGAGCGAGCGGATTCTATTTAGAACGAATCTGAAAACTAACCCGAATGCTCGCATAAAGACAAGAACGCCGATAACCCCGAAGCCGCCGAGAAGTTCAAGGAATTGTCCCACGCCTACGAGATCCTGTCGGATTCTCAGAAGCGTGGAATCTACGACCAGTATGGCGAGGAGGGTCTTGAGGGTGGCGGTGCCGGTGGCGGCATGGGTGCCGAGGATCTCTTCGCTCAGTTCTTCGGCGGCGGCGGTGGTGGTTTCGGAGGCATGTTCGGCGGTGGCATGCGCGACCAGGGCCCCAAGAAGGCCCGTACCATCCACCACGTTCACAAGGTCAACCTGGAGGACATCTACCGCGGCAAGATCTCGAAGCTGGCTCTGCAGAAGTCGGTTATCTGCCCCGGCTGTGATGGTCGCGGTGGTAAGGACGGTGCCGTCAAGTCGTGTACCGGCTGTAACGGTACCGGTATGAAGACGATGATGCGCCAGATGGGTCCCATGATCCAGCGCTTCCAGACCGTCTGCCCCGACTGCAGCGGAGAGGGTGAAATCATCCGTGAGAAGGACCGCTGCAAGCGCTGCACCGGAAAGAAGACCGTCGTCGAGCGCAAGGTGCTCCACGTCCACGTCGACAAGGGTGTCAAGAACGGCCACAAGATCGAGTTCCGTGGCGAGGGTGACCAGATGCCCGGCGTCATGCCGGGAGATGTGGTGTTCGAGATCGAGCAGAAGCCCCACCCCCGTTTCCAGCGCAAGGAGGACGACCTGTTCTACCAGGCCGAGATCGATCTGCTCACTGCTCTTGGCGGTGGTACCCTCAACATTGAGCACCTCGATGATCGGTGGTTGACCGTCAACATTGCTCCTGGCGAGGTCATCACGCCTGGTACGTTTATTCTATCCCGCACTTGACGATTTGCCTGCTAATTTTATCTTTTTTTCATTAGGTGCCATCAAGGTTATCAAGGGCCAGGGTATGCCCTCGTACCGCCACCACGACTTCGGCAACCTGTACATCCAGTTCGACGTCAAGTTCCCCGAGAAGGATCAGCTGCAGAACCTCAACCTGCTGGAACAGGTTCTGCCTCCCCGCATGGAGCAGTCGAAGGCGCCCGCCGACGCCATGGTTGAGGACTTCGAGCTGGAGGATATTGATGGCAGCGAGTACTCGCAAGCGCGCGCCCACGGTGCCGCCGGCGGTATGGACGAGGACGAGGACGATGTTCCTCCTGGCGCCGAGCGGGTGCAGTGTGCTTCGCAGTAAACGTGTTGCGTGAGGGAGAAGAAGAGATATTGCGGTGATGGTGATGATGACGATGACGACGACGGATGAGGATGGAGTGCTGGGGCATTGATGAAGTTCGCTTTATGATACCATGTAGGGGCGAATATCAGCCCTGGTACGACTGTTAATTTTCCTTTTTTCCTTTTACACCTTGGTTTACACTCGATGATTTGCTCTTGCGATGGCGTTTGCACCGAAGATTCGGAGGAGATGATCCGGAAGATTTTTCATATTCCTTTTCCATTCCCATTTTATTTTACATTCTCACAAACCCTTCTGTCTTCGATTCCCACGCCTTATTAATGTTTCCCATTTTCTGTGTTCCTGGGGGTTATGGAAGACCCGGCACTGATGAAATGGATGAGATCATGGTATATGGCAGTCATCTTTTCTTCCAGTTGACTCCGGGATGGGAGTGGGAGCTGGAGAGTGAGTGAGAGACGAGTGTTTCACGTATAGACTATAGCGCTGACTTGGGTATGAATATTTATTATGATACATTCGCTATTCTAGAGTCGTAAGAGATCAAGTTTTGAAGTCGAACTCTACTTATTAGCTTGCATCTGTATACATAACCAGAGATATAGGTAAAGTAACCAAAGCCAACCTTTCCCCATTTCTCTCAACCTGGATAACACAATATCAACACAAACAATTCTACTCGTCCACTCATCCACGGTCTTAGGACTTAATTATCTACCCCTCCGCCAAATTCGACATCTTGGCGGACTTAAACGGGGCTAAAAGATGACCGGCCCCTTCTTCATACCTAGATGAGGAAATCCAAACGGGAATTCGCGATCACTGGTAGGTAGGTAAGAACTTAGGGGCTGGAGGGATGAGTATCGTAAGATATATGCTTATTGCTTAGTGCTCACGAAGGTTGATTGGGTAGGTAGGTAGGTAGTGTAGGTAGGGAAGTATTCTGGAGTAGTATATATAAGACCGACGGATCTGGATCTGACGTTTTCAACTTACCCCTCTTTTTTTTTTGTCTTACTCTCTTACTATTGTTTTTCCGATTTGGTCAGTCAGTCAGTCAGTCAGTCAGTCAGTCAGTCAGTCAGTCAATTGAAGATTCTTCAAATTTATCTATCTATCACCCATCCATCTACCAGCTCATACCGAACCCCCCAAAAGAAAAAGAAACACTCAAAATGTCCACCTACAACTACACCCGCCTTGCCTCCAAAAACATCCTTATCATCGGCGGAACCTCCGGCATTGGCTTCGCCGTCGCAAAAGCCTCCCTCGCCGCCCAAGCAAACATAACCATCGTCTCGTCCTCCGCCACAAAACTCGCCTCGGCGGTCTCACGTCTGAGAAGCGAGTTCCCCGCCACCGACGCGGGGGCCATCTCCGGCGAAACATGCGATCTGTCACAGCCGTCCATCGAGGCTGATCTGGAAGCTTTGTTTGAGAAACTCGCCGCCAATGGCCCGATTCATCATATCGTGTATACGGCAGCGGATGCGCCGGCGATCATGCCCTTGGCTGCGGTCAGTCGCGACGCGATCCTCGCGACGGGTCAACTGCGACTCGTGGCGCCGATCCTGGTCTCGAAGGTGGGCAGTCGCTATTTGGCACCGGGGCCGGAGAGCTCGATTACCTTGACCACGGGGGCTGGGTGGGAGCGTCCGAATGACGGGTGGACGGTCATGGCAGGCTACCTGGGTGGGTTGGTCAGTGTAGCGCGGAACTTGGCGCTGGAGTTGAAGCCGGTGAGGGTGAATGCTGTGTCGCCCGGGGTGGTGGATACGGAGATGTGGGATGGGTTTCCAAGGGAGCAGAAAGAGGGGATGTTTAAGTTTTTTGAGGGCAAGTTTCCTACGGGGAGGATTGCGGGGCCGGAGGATGTGGCGGAGGCGTATGTTTATTTGATGAGGGATTGGAATGCGACGGGGAGGGTGTTGGGGACGGATTCGGGGGCTTCCATCGTGTAGGGTTAAGAAGAACGGTAGGTTTTTGGGATAGTGCTGGAGATGAAATTGATCTCATTTGGGTTTTGGATGGGCTGTTCTTCCAAGAACATGCTTTGTATGTATCCTCCTGCATGGGTTAACGGTCCTGATATGCAGTCCAGTATGCAATCAGATCCAGCCGTTTTCTTGTCAGAGTCACGACTGGAAGGTTTCATCGCCGGATTGGTTATGACATAGTTGTGGATATGTGAGGTAGTGAAATACACTTTCCGTTTGTAGGCCTGGCAGTGTCTGGCTACTTGTCACTGGTAACGTAGTTAGTCTTCATGATGGTGGGTTAGTGTCCATCTTGGATGTAAATGGCGACACCCTGAAGTAGGCAGTACTTTAGCCCGGTATATCCAATTTGGCAGCAATTGCAGCCAAATCGCAGGGAAGTTTGCATTTATATGGCCAAAACTAGAACGGAGCATAATTGCAAACCTAAGCATGCACTGTCAGCTTCCCATGTGCAGCCCCGAATACCACGTATCCTCGGACTACCCCACAAACCCTCCCCCGGTCACAGGTCGGTATCACATCACCCTGCAGATGCAGATGATCAACCTGGCGGCTCTCCGCGCTCGGATCTCCACCCCGACAATGATATGACGCAGGGATAGAAAAGGTCAAAATGGAATCCCAGACGGGAGTATGTCTTCCGACGAACCTGACAGACAAGGCCGGCGGATCGCGTGACCGAACCAGACTAAGAAAACGACAGGTAAGAGAAGATGCTCGATCTCCACGTAGCTTGTAGGTCGGAACTGAGTTCAGGTGAGACGGACAACGTAGAATGACGTCAAGCGAGATCGACGAGTTCGCGAAGAGTCATGCATGATTTCATTTTAGGCGCTGGTGGTGTCTGGGGTAGGCATTGGGCGGGTTTCGCTTTGGCTCGGGTGGATTGACCGAGGTGGTGGCAGGTCTATGCGGGGTTGGGCTGGTCGGGTTAGCTTGACGATTCGATTGAGATGGACGGCAGGGAGGGACGCGCTAGAGAACATGAAAGCGAACTTACGCTCTTCTGGGATCTGATTGCATGATCTCGACTAGTTAATCAGGTGAGCTGACGGTTCTGTTGTTTGGGAATGTTTGTTCCATTCATTCATTGACCAGGACGGCGGAAACCGGTCCATGTGACTGATATGACCGTGCATGAGGTGTTACTCTATATCGATATTCAGTATATCAAATCCAAGACTAGTCGATCAAATCCCAAAGCATGGTCACGCGAGACTACACCCCAGAATTTGGATATATCGTTTGGCGGGGTAGCGCAGTCCGACGCTTTGTCCGGCATCTTGGCCATGGATATCCCCATCCTTGAACTTGAGTTTAAGGAACACCTTTATAAAATTACCCGGTCACAAGGATCTGAAATGTGACACCAGATAGCCGTAGACGCAAAATGAACCGATATGGAGATGGGGTTGATGCAGCCCGGCCGTGTTACTGGATATCGCTCACAGCGACGACCGGGGTAGATCTGGCAGATGCACAGAAGTCTCCTAATTGGCGAGTAGATGCTGCATGATAAGACGAGTTGCCTTAATGCACCATGCAAGGCTCACTGCCGTATGGTCGTGTTCTGCCAATGGGCGACAGCTGGAGGAGTCACGATGTCGCATGTCCTCGAGGTATCGACGAGGCTGAGACGTGTTCGTTCAAGAAAAGCCGTGTTGACAGTATGCATTCCGAGGGAGCCCTTGCATGAGGTCCCGTTGGACAAGCATCGCTCTAGGCACAATGTCTCGTGTCATGTCTGGTGTGAACTTTTCAGTAAATGGCAGCACATCAATACTTCGTAAGGTGCCAAAGACCGATCGGCAAGGGGCCCAGTAACGAATACGAGCGACAGGAAACGAGACCAACAAAGACTGTCTGGGTAGTTGCCTGCTACCCACTGCTGCAAGACTGAGACATCTTGTTAAACTTATCAAACGATGTGATTAGAAAGCAGGCTGCATCGCTGGATGCGCCACATTCCGGATGTATCCAAACGGTATCCCACGCCGAGACGAAAGCCCATAATGTATTACTAGAATAAATTGAGCATGTACTTGGAACCCAGAGCCACAACACGACAAACGTGTCAGACCATCTGCGACGTTGAAAAAAGACCTCAACCAGGGGCTACATGGTCGTCGGGATTGACCATACAGAGGCGTGGACAAGACGCTAAAAGTGATAAGATCGATGACGCGATTTTGATCTGGATGGTGTTATAGTGGGGCGCAGCATGCAAGAGCTTAGTTTGGCTACGATTCCAACATCCCTGCAAGTGAAAATGTCCGGAGTACACCGTACACCGTAGTGGAACAGGACGAACAGAGTTGGTGCTCCGATACTTGATACTGCGTGGTACGGCATGGCATAAAGGAGTACTTTGGCAGCGGACAATCACCGAGGATAGATGATTTGAGATGTTGTGACTTGATGCTGGACTGAGAGTCTGTTGGACGATTGTCATCAAGCTTTCATTGCGAGAGGGGTTACTGTGGTCCGAGGTTTTGAGCAAATCCGTCGTGGCAATCTCCGGAGGATAGAGGCCTCTGGCCATACTAGATGCAATACCTAGGTTGAGCAGATGGATGAAACGACAACAGCAGCTCCTGCGTGGTCGATGAAGCCTTCCGGATTGGGACGGATGCCTACACCATAGTAAAACTGTGAATATCTCCATCGGTCGGGCTAACGGTCGGTGTACAGACGGGCCACGCTATTCCCGTCTCTAACCTCGATCAGTATGAAGGATCATACGTAGTATACTCCGTCGTTCCCAGACAGTCAGGGATCATCATCAATTACTGGTTTAGGCAGCACAGGAGTGACAGCATCTGAGCACCGAGGAGGTGGAAGTGAAAGTGTTCTGTTAGTCATAAGTCAGCACCAAAAGGACCGAGTCGGAGATCGTTGACGGCTTTCCCCAAGCGGGCGCTGCATTGCCGAAGGGTCTTGGCATGGGCCGGAAGCTCGAACTAAGTCTAAAAGTCCCCAGTTTAGCTGCAGAACTTACCGCGGCCGGTGGAGTTGGGATTAGGTTTCTCCGAGAGGTCTTTAGCTTATTGCGAGGTTTACGGAGTACGAATGGTAGTCAGGTTGATATTAATTCTGGAGATCTGGCCGCGGACTACGCGGACTACTGGTTAGTGTGACTTTGGTATGCTCCGTCGAGCATCCGAGTACGTATACTTTAAAAGGAGGCGCTCTCCTCAACGGAGTCAGTGTATAGATGAGATGGAGGTGTCGCAGAGAATGTTATGGAAGAGTCATGGCGCACAGTTGAATTTGTCAGAAGAGAGAATGAAAGAACAAAGATAAAAGAAAAATCCGAATCAAAAAAACCCACACGTGGATCGGTGCTTTCACCATCAGCCTGAGCGATGGCGTGTTCTCTGACGTCCCCCATTGGCGGGTGGCCGCACACGACGACATCACCCGCCCCGCTCCCGGGAGTCTCGTGATTGGCTAGGCCCTCGTTTATGGTAGGCCCGGTAGGCGGTGAGGCGGGGCAGTATCGCCGATCGAGCCCCGGGGATTCCACACGGAACCTGTGCGAGTCGTTCGCCTACCACTGTTCCAGTGTTCCTACGGTGCAGGTTTTAACCTTTTGCCTCCATTGTGGGGGGTCATTCTGTCCCCATCGTCAAACCAAAGCAAGGAACGGTCAAGTTTCTCTGTTGTTCTACCGCAAGAGTTTCCTGGGAAGATGCCCGTTGCTCGCGGACTGACTACGGGCCCAGAGGGGGAACAGCGGAACCCATCTTGCTCCACGATCCAGCGTCATCACCACTTCCAGGCCCTCGTCACTTACCCACCCCATGCGGTACGCTCGTCGCTCTTACGCCAGCATCTCCGGCCTGCAGGTTTAGGAGCGTTTTAGCTGCTGTTGAGGATTTGGGTGCTCCCGCCGGCCTCGTCGTCTTGCCTTGGCGATCCGGTGGATCAGCTGCCCCCCTGCCATGGAGCACGGCGATTATAATTATTAAAACATAAGAAAATAGAAATAAAAAAAAAAGAATTATGGACGCATATCGGATCGGGTACTTTCTTCCCTCTTCGTTGGTTTTTTGCCTCCCCTTTAAAACTGTCAATTCCCCTTCCTTTCTCGGGAATGTCATTATTCTGAGACTGGATCATCTCCGGTACAGAGTACTACGAAAAGGAAATCCCCTGAACGGAATTACCGAATCCAGTGGGCTCGTTGTTTTAGACTCATTGTTGCTTCCTCTTCGGAGCCCCGTTGTCGTTTGATCAACGCTTCCTTTTCCATATCATTCTCCTCGCCTGCCTTTCTCCACGGGCGACCCGTGTGGCCTTACTCTTTCAGACCATTCGAGACGCAAACCGTCGAGACGATCTGGCCGGGAGCTTGTTTTTAATCCTACCTTCCCGCCCGAACCTTTGATTGATCTTTCTGTTCCGTCTCCTCCCCGAATCTGGTCGCACGTCGAATTGCCGCCGTCCGTGCTTGGAATCCTCCTTTGAAGTCACCTTTGTGTGCTTTTCGACCTTTTTTATCCTCTTTACAACCCCCTCCATATTTTATACCTATTTAAGTATTCAATTTCTCTTACCAATCTGCTGGTTCGTGTTAGTGCCACTGCAGAAAAAGCTTGTGTATTCGCATTATCGGTCCCTGATCACGACATCGCATTAGTCTCGTGATCCATACTTTTAAGCATCCACCCTTCCAGTTTCCATTCTCGGTACCACTTTGACATCTGGCTCGCAATGCCCATTGTTTGAGTTTGTGATCTGATATTACTGGATTTTCTTTCTCTATATCTCTTTCGATCGATTGTTTTACCATTCGACTAGAGGAAATTCTTCATCGGTTCTTCCGGATCTTGGTGATCTACTACTATTCTCGGGCTTTGCCCCAATCTTGAACCGGGTCTTGTTCGAAAACTCTCTTCCGTTCTCTCACATCAGCCATGCCGGAAGACACGAAGACTAAGGTTGGCCACGGCGTAGCCAAGGCCTTGGGCATCAAAGTTGCCTATCGCGATCCCCTCGGAGCCAATTCGGACCCCGTCACCAGAGGCGAATCGACTTTCTCGGTTGGAACCGTCGACACATACTCCTATCTGGAGCCTGAGCCTACGAGTCTCGACTGGCTGAAGGAGCTGTGGCCTACCTGGGGACAATTTGGCCGTTATGTATACAGCCTCTTCCCCTTCCTATCCTGGATCGGGCGATATAACTTGCAATGGTTTATTGGAGATTTGATTGCCGGTAAGTAATGGCCACCCTCAACTATTGCAAGCCACGCTAAACGTTCCCTCAGGTATCACGGTCGGTGCTGTGGTGGTCCCGCAAGGTATGGCGTATGCCAAACTTGCAGAACTGCCTGTCCAATTCGGTCTCTACTCGTCTTTCATGGGTGTCTTGCTTTATTGGTTCTTTGCCACGTCCAAGGATATCACTATTGGCCCGGTCGCTGTGATGTCCACGCTGGTCGGAGAGGTTGTCATCGAAGCTAAGAAGATCGAGCCCGATATTCCCGAGCATGTCATTGCATCTGCCATGGCCATCATCTGTGGTGGTATTGTCTGCTTCATGGGCCTGGCCCGTCTCGGATTTATCGTCGACTTCATTCCGCTCCCCGCCATTTCGGCCTTCATGACGGGATCCGCCATCAACATCTGTGCCGGCCAGGTAAAAGACATGCTTGGCGAGTCGGCCGACTTTTCCACCCGAGGCGCGACCTACATGGTGATCATCAACACCTTGAAGTATCTTCCCTCGGCCGGCATCGATGCCGCCATGGGTGTCAGTGCCATGGTTATGCTCTACGTCATTCGCTCGGGCTGCAACTACGGTGCTAAGCGATTCCCTCACCGTGCTAAGATCTGGTTCTTTGCGTCGACCCTGCGAACGGTGTTTGTGATTCTCTTCTATACTATGATCAGTGCGGCCGTGAATTTGCATCGTCGGGATGACCCAATGTTCAAGCTCCTGGGCACGGTTCCTCGTGGTATGTTCCGAGTCCCAATAGGCCCATTCCCTTCATGTCCGGACTTTGCTAATGTTTGTGGCTCGTAACAGGTTTCCAAAATGCAGCTGTCCCAGTTGTCAACGCCCGGATTATCAAGACCTTCGCAAGCCAGCTCCCTGCGTCCGTTATCGTTTTGCTCATAGAACACATCGCCATTTCGAAGTCCTTTGGTCGTGTCAATAACTATACCATCGACCCCTCTCAGGAACTGGTGGCTATTGGCGTGGCGAACCTCCTTGGTCCCTTCCTTGGTGGGTACCCGGCCACCGGGTCTTTCTCCCGGACTGCTATTAAGTCCAAGGCCGGAGTCCGAACGCCGCTTGCCGGTGTCATCACCGCTGTTGTTGTCTTGCTCGCTATCTATGCTCTCCCGGCCATGTTCTTCTACATCCCCAAGGCTTCTCTCTCCGGAGTCATCATCCATGCCGTGGGTGATCTTATCACTCCCCCTAACACGGTATACCAATTCTGGCGTGTTTCGCCGTTGGATGCGATTATCTTCTTCGTCGGAGTCATCGTTACTATCTTCACTACCATTGAAATCGGCATCTACTGCACGGTCTCCATTTCTTGCGCCATCTTTCTGTTCCGTGTGGCCAAGGCCCGTGGCCAGTTTCTTGGCCGGGTCACTATCCACTCGGTGGTTGGCGACCATTTGTTACAAGGAGATGGAAAGTACGGTTCTCCCAATGAGCCAAACGCCTCGTCCCACGACGATGTTTCCCAGCGAAGCATTTTCCTCCCGATCAACCACACCGACGGATCGAATCCCGAAGTCGAGGTGGAGCAACCTTACCCTGGAATCTTCATCTACCGCTTTTCGGAAGGGTTCAACTACCCGAATGCCAACCATTATACCGACTACCTCGTGCAAACCATCTTCAGCCAAACGCGCCGCACGAATCCCTTCGCCTACGGCGCACCCGGCGATCGACCCTGGAACAACCCCGGGCCGCGCAAAGGAAAGGCGGAGCCCGACCGTTCGCACTTGCCCACTCTTCGCGCTGTCATCCTCGATTTCTCCTCGGTTAACAACGTGGATGTGACCTCGGTGCAGAATCTCATCGACGTTCGCAACCAGCTTGACCTCTATGCCTCCCCGCAGTCCGTGCAATGGCACTTCGCGCACATTAACAACCGCTGGACCAAGCGAGCCCTCGCGGCTGCCGGTTTCGGTTTCCCGACCCCGACATCCGAAGATGGATTCCACCGATGGAAGCCGATCTTCAGCGTGACCGAAATCGAAGGAAACGCGTCTGCTGCGGCCCACGCGGAAATGATGACCAACGAGCACGCGTACCAGGCCAGCCACAAGACCGGAGACCTCGAGAATGGCCTTAAGCACGAACCCCATACCACCGAGCGCGAGACATACGGAATCGAGGTGTCTTCCGACGGCAGCAGCGGCCAAGAAGACAAACTGCAGCACGATCTCAAAGACAGCAAGGCGTACCAGAACCGACGCAAGGTGGCTTTGGTGCAGGGCATCAACCGGCCATTCTTCCATATCGACTTGACGAGTGCTCTGCAGAGTGCCTTGGCCAATTACGGCGAGGAAGAGCCTGTCAAGCCGGCTCAAGATGCCTAAGCGGCGTCTTTCATGTCATAACCTCCCTGGTTGGATGGTTCAAGTCCTCATGATGATACCTTCCATGTTATCCTCCATTTAATTGTGTATTTGAGCGATTTGTTGTATACTTGATCATTTATCTTTCATATTGTCATTATACCTCGACGTGATATGTTGCTTGAGTCATACCCAAGATATAGCTCCTTGTATATAGATAGACATTCTTCTGCTTAAAATGATATTCACTCATGAGACTGAATTTGCAAGCAATACGTAGTCGTTAACTAAAGAGGCAGCTGGTTAGTCAGAAGGTTGATGGACAAAGCTTTTTTAGGGCTGAGCCCGCTCGCTGCCTAGATTCTACCGCTGGCCGCTAACGCCCGATCAGGTAACCAGGTTGTCGCACAGGTTACCCAATCCGGAAAATGATCGTTGGCCGCAGTTTCGCCCAATCAGCGGCCTCAGATCCAGTCCTTCAGGACTAAATGTCCGGTGCTAAGCCTTTGTTGATACGAGTCTTAGATTCTACATGGAACTGACAGCTTCGCTCGCAATGTATACCCTAAATACGGCAGGTGTTCACTCAGTTCGATAAAGAGTTGCCTAGCAGCTCTGGCTGGGTATATAGGTCGACCATGGCGGTTCTTTCGAATTGGGATTGTCGTCTTCAGAACTATTCCCTCTTTCATCCTTTGTTGTACTGCCTGTGTGAACATGTTTGTGGCGTACAAATATATCCGTCAAAAGACTAGCAAGTCCGGCGAGACGTCATCGCAGAAGAAACCCGAGAAACCTCTCTGTTCCCACCTCGCGCGCCAATCCCAGATCGAACATACCCCTACAAGAGATACCAGCGACGAAGTACCGTTGCGAGAATTAGGATCTGGGTCGGCACAGGGCCGATACGCATCTCATAGCTCCACGCGTGGCGATAGAGATAGAAAATGCCGACAATGCGAAGAGCAACGACGTCGCGAACGAATCTACAGCTGGAAGTTGATCGGTGGACTCTGTTTACCGTTTACGTTGGCGACATTGGACTTGACGATTGTAGCCACTGCTGTGCCGTCTATTGCTTCGCATTTTCGTAAGCTTTACTTCCCTCACGCGCTCCATCGACAGAAGTTTTAGACCACATATTAACCAACAGACTAGATAAATTCGACGAACTCACCTGGGTCGTCACGGCCTTCACCCTGACCTCAACAACCTTCATCCCTGTATTCGGTCAACTAGCCGATGTATTTGGCCGTCATGCCGTGCTGCAACTAGCGCTGTTCCTGATGCTGATCGGGAGCGTGCTGTGTGCTGCCGCTCAGACATGGGGTATGTTGCTTCTGGGACGTGCGTTGCAGGGCGCGAGCTCTGCGGGACTCATGAATATTATTATGATCATCTTGGCGGATAAAGTGTCGTTGAGAGTCACAGCGAAGAACAATTCGTTGTTTACGATGGTAGGGGGTGTGGGGTATGCGATTGGGCCGGTTATAGGGGGGTGAGTGGGATTCCCTTTAGGCTCAGGGTTGATGATACTTGATGGTGCTCGATGATGATAGCCAGTGCTAACTGGTTTGTGCTCAGGTATTTGACAGATGTAAGGTGTCAGATTGAGTGGTGTGGTTGTGAGTATGGATGGCTAACGTGGACAGGATAATTGGAGATATTGCTTTGTGATACCGATTCCTGTAGGTGTCTGTCGGTGTTGATCGAATGCTGAAGAGTTATCTACTGACAGATGAAATTAAACGATAGATCGCATTCATCTCGCACATCCTGATATACATTCTACTGCGAAAGGAACTTGTCGAGGGAACGATCTTCCGCAGAAGATCCGGCATATCGGCTATACTGCCAGGCCTGGCGACTGTGGATATCTTCGGATGCATTCTGTTCATGTTCGGCATTGGTCTGACCATCCTGGCGACGGCCTGGGGAGGAGCCACGTATGCGTGGTCAGCGCCTCAGGTTCTCGGACCTCTCGTTGTCGGAGGGATCTGTTTTGTGCTGTTCTTCGTGTACGAATATTTTCTGGAATCGGGTAGGGTGATCGCGAGGCTGTTTCCGAAGCAGGTTCCCATGCTGCCGTATAGCATGTTCACGAGGAAGGATACTATATGGCTTACTGTAATGGAGGTGTCGATAGGTGCATGTATGTCTCTCTCTTGCTTGCTTGCTTGATCTCAAGTCGAAAATAAACTGATATCTCCAGCAATGTACTCCGTCTTCTACTTTATCGGCATCTACTTCACCCTCATCGAAGCCTACCCTGCCTCAAAAGCCGGCATAGAGCTCCTCTACTACATCCCCGGTCTAGGAGGTGAGCAGCACAACCCACCCCCCTCACATCTATCCAAGGATATAAATAAACAAAACCTAACCCCCAAAAACCACCCGAACAGCCGGCGTCTACCTCGCCATGCTCCTCTGCAACGTCTTCCCCGCACAAACCTTCCACCCCCTCAACGCCGGCACCATCCTCACGACCCTCGGCCTCGCCCTCGTCATCTACGCCATCCACACCCAAAACACGCCCCTCCTGAACGGCATGATGGTGCTTACCGGCGCAGGGACCGGACTCCGCTTCATGCCCTCAAACCTCCACGCCGTGGGCGTCTGGCCGGAACGAATCGCCCCCGCTCTGTCACTGATGCGTTTTGCGATGCCGTTTGGGGGAACGATTAGCTTGACCATCATGGGGAGTGTGTTTAATAATAAATTTCAAGCGGCGGTTGGAAGTCACAATCATAGTGGTAGCGTCGCCGAGAGCGGAAGGGGGAGCGGGAACTTGAATATGCAAGATACGTCGTCTTCGTTGTCGTTTATTGATGGATTGGCGTCTGATGAGCAAGTGGTTGTGAGGAATATGGGCGGGGATGCTATCATGTGGGCTTATATTGCGATTATGCCGATTATGGGAGTTAGTTTGTTAGTGGGGTTGGTAATGGGGAATGTTTGGATCAAACCGGATGATGGTAAGTCTGATATATCGAGGGATAGGAGGGTTGAGGAGGAGCAGGTTGGTGTGGAAGTGGCTCAGGAAGAGATGAGACATAGTGAAGTGATTTATGTGCCGTTTTTGTGGGCTTTGGTTAAGGTGAGCTCTCTTGATTGTTTTGCTTTTTCGTTTGGATGGTTGGTTGGGGATGATGAGGCTGCTGACTCTGACTGACCCTTGGTAGGGAAATGTCAATTCGTATAAGCATGTCAGTAGGCCGGTTTCTGAGACGGAGAAGCAGGCGGGTAGGTAAGGGTATATGCTGGGTGGATTTGCATGAGTGTTGACATAGACCAGAGAGTGATATGAGAGAGGACGAGACATAGATAGATAACAGACAACCTATCCCCTCAACCCCGTCAGTCAATATAATAAATAGTAAAGTACAAACTCTCCCTCTCCATGCCAAACCAGACACAAGAGTAACCCATCAGCCCTTCCCCCTTCTCACCATATATCAAATCCCCTAATCACAAACGCTCCTCCCCCTCTCAGCCTCATCTCCAACCAGACCCGGTCAAATAAAAATCACCTCAAAACCCCCCCAACACCGGCCCACCCCAAGACGAACCCCGAAAGCGCCTCCCCAAAAACGCCTCCCCCCAACCAAACATCCCTCCAAGCGCCCTTCCTTTTCACCGTAACTCCATCCTTCCCATTTCCCTTCCCGATCAAACCCCGCGCATTAATCCCCTCAATCTCGCCCGGCGTAGAACCCGGGAAAAACGCCCCCGCGCCTGCCCCGGTCCCGGATCGCGAAAGCAGCACGGCGTGAAAGACACCCGAGACGACGACCGTGCCGAGGAGGTAGAAGATGAAGCCGGTTGCTGATTGCAGGGCGAGGATACCTGCTGTGAGGCCGAGGAGGAAGGAGGTGAGGGAGTGGAGGTTTGAGAGGACCTAGAATATTGATTTTGGTGCTTAGTGAGTAGATTCTTGTAATGAGAAGTTCAATGAATAGGGTAGGAATGGAACTGAGATTGAGATAGGGAAGAGGAAGTAGAGGAGGAGAGCGCAGGGGCAAAGCAAACGTACGCGATTATTATGCTGCACCGACTCCGGGACGAGCGGGTTGATGAGCAGTGAGAGCTCTTGTTTCGTGGGCGCCATTGTTGAGGTCTTTTTCTGGCCCTTTGGGATTATTGGTTCTGGGCGTGTGCTAAGCACTGCTGGAAGACGGCGCGATCGGTCGAGGATCAGATAAGTTGATGATTCCTCGGCGTTGATTGACTTGATGGGTGGATTGAATGATTGATAGACAGACGGAGGTGTGGAGATAAGGTTGCGTTCTGCCGGAGGATACCGCCCTTGGGGTGGACTGGCTGACTCACTCGTTTGTGAAATACGTTAATCCGTAAGCGAGCTGGCCACCCCACCGAGAATTGGAATTGAGGCTATTCAAACATCGATATCACCACCAAAATGCCCAAATCATTAAAAAACGCTACAGAACAAGAGGGAAGACTCTCCTTGGCAGTTGAGGCTTTTCAGAAAGGCCAATTCAAGTCAATTCGTGAAGCAGCTCGTGTTTTTCAAGTTCCTCGCTCAACACTTCAGACACGCTTGAATGGTGTCATTTTTTCGCAAGGAAACACGTGCTAATTCAATGGAATTGACTTCGTTGGAGGAGGAATCGCTCGTTGAATGGATCCTCTCTATGGATCAACGTGGCGCGCCGCTGAGGCAATTCCAAGTTCGTGATATGGCGTCAATCATGATCCGGAAGCGCTCCCAAGATACAAAAGCCTTTATTGGAGAGAAATGGGTATATAACTTCATCTCCGGCATGAATCCTTGAAAAGTCGGTTTACTCGTCAGATTAACTATAAACGGGCGAAGTGTGAGGATCCTGAAGTTATACAGACCTGGTTTCAACGCGTACAAGCTGCTATTGCCACATACGGCATTGCCAATGAAGATATCTACAATTTTGATGAAACAGGCTTTGCCATGGGCCTGGTAGCCACAGCCAAGGTGGTAACGCGTTCATCCTGCGAGGGAAGACCCTTTTTTATACAGCCAGGAAATCGGGAATGGATAATTTTAATCGAGTGTATCAACGCCACCGGCTGGGCATTGCCGGCTTACTTGGTAGTAAAGGCGAAGACCTATATACAGGCCTGGTCTGAAGGCGATATACCCTCTTCATGGCGTATCAATATATCACCAAATGGATGGACTAATCGTGAAATTGGCGAACATTGGCTTAAAGAACACTTCATTCCTCATATCAAGGACCGGAAGACGGGCCAATATAGCCTTTTGGTTCTTAACGGGCATAACTCCCACTTAACACCTCAATTCGATGATATATGCCGTCAACATGATATTATACCAGTCTGCATGCCTGCCAATTCTTCTCATCTCTGCCAACCGTTGGATATAGCCTGCTTTTCACCCTTGAAGAGGGCCTACAGCAACCTCGTGGAAAGACTTATACGAACAGGATATCATCATGTTGATAAAGTCGACTTTCTTGATATCTATCCGGAAGCCCACGTCCAAGCCTTCAAGAAAGCAAACATCTAGAGTGCCTTTCAAGCAGCCGGAATTGTGCCTTTTGATCCGAAAAAGGTTCTGGATAATCTTATCTTGTATAGAGAGGAGAGCCGGCCAAGCAGCCAAGGAACTACTTCAACCGTTACCAAAACGCCTATGAATCTGAAGCAACTCAAGAAACGTGAGTCAACGTTCTCTCAATTAATCCTCCGGCTTCACCCATGCAAACAGCACTATCATACATCTTTAAGGGGGCAGAGATAGCCTTGAATCGGGTAGGTCTCTTAGAACATGAGAACTCTCAACTCCGTGAGGCTGTTGAGAGACGAAGAAGGAAACAGCAGCGTAATAAACATCAAATGAATGATTTGGATGGCTTTACAATTCAGGAAGCCCGTGAGGCCTACGCCAACGCGCAGGCTGTAGAGGAAGCAGGCCCTGATACACCCGGTCCTCGCCGGCGGGCACCGCCGCGGTGTAGCCAGTGTCATATTGTTGGGCATATACGTACGAGATGTCCGAATCGAAATTCCTAATTCTGAGGTTTCAAATGATTTAATATATGTGGGAACAGTTTCATTCTTCGTGTTTTAATCAATATATGCGTGTAGGCTGACCCGCGGAGCCGGCCTGCTTGGCAAAGTGGCCAGCTCGCTTACATGGCCAGCTCGGCGGGCCAGCGTATATACCTATATGATTCTTACACCAAAAATGAAGCTTTTCATATCCAAATTAAACTGTTTAGAAGCCCGGAGTTAGATAGTTTGATTCGGGCATCTTGTACGTATATGTCCAACAACATGACACCGACTACACCGCGGCGGCGCCCGCCGACGTGGCTGACTATCCAGAGGTCCTGTATCACCAGCTGTTTCCTCCGCAGCCTGCGCGTTGGCGAAGGCCTCACGGGCTTCCTGAATTGTGAAGCCATCCCTGACGTTAGCTTAGCCTCATCTTGGCGGGGGCGGAATTTCTCTGGGTTTCCCACAACATCCGCCCCCATCCGCCCCCATCCGCTTGGGGTTCCATCCGAGGGGAGATGATGCCTGTTCCTGGTGGAGAATATTTGGAAATCCAGACCAGTTGTTATGGTCTGACTCGTCCCATGAGCGTTGTCTTCATCTCCGAGGCATGTCTACAAGATGCCGTTGCGATTAAGGTAAGGTCAGGTTGCATAAAATAAGCTTAGATTGGCTCCCTCGGCAAGTCGTGGGTGTTGAGATTGGATTATATTACTGCAGGATTCCAGGTACTTTGAAGATGGAAGATCCAATTACTGGACTCCTTGGAGAACTCTCAGGCCGCATGACCCCGAAATCTGCAGACTTCCATCTTCTCGACGAAACTAACCTTGCTAGTTCTCAATGCGAGCGCCGCGGGTGCCGTTGTAGCCGGCTAATTCGATCAAGTCGGTGGCGTTCATCAGGGCCCCTGTAAGCCCTTCTAGGCGGGAGGTGAACGGATCCAACCGGTTTTCCCAGGCAATCTGGCCATGCTCGTCCAGCCAGAGAACCTTGATCGATCCCGTCTCGATGGCCTCTCGATCCAGCAGGTACAGGCCCGCTTGGAACCGTAGCTGCGCTAGACTTAGCTCTCGCCACTCATCCTCGCTCTCCTGGGCCTCTGCGATCATCTCCTCGTTCGCTCTGTCTACTGATGTACTGCATATTGCTTCCGTCGCCATCCATGTCGATAATGCCTCGGAAGTCGGTGATACCAGGGACACGGACTAAGACTTGTCGCCATGAGTCTCCACCGTTGTCGCCAAAGTCGTAGCGAGAGGGGTCGTCCAGGATCTTGTTCTCTGAGACACCCCCTCCGGGTACGTTGGATTTCCTTTTTATCTCCTCGTATTTGGTTACGAGGGCTTGGTCGTAGCATGTACGCAGCCAGACAGTCTGCAAGCCATCACTGCTGACTAGACTGATCATCCGCTCGTGTGCAGTTTGGTGGGCGCTGAGCACGAGTTTCATCTCCTCGCTAAGCTCTGGTAGAGAGAACTGGGCGCGGTGTTGATACGGCTAAGGGACAGTCAGGTCAGGTTGGGGTATCACTCGGCCACCGGGGAAAGGAGAGAATCATACCCAACGCTCCATTAGCGTCAGTTCCTGCCATTCCCAGACGATTTGCTCCCATTGTTCCCGACTGTCGGTGGGGGAATCTGGATTTCAACGCTCCTGTGCCAAGATGGAAAAGAACGGAGCCAGGAACAGGCAAAACCTACCGAGCAGAAGATGTCAAATGGGAGTTTGCCGTAGTCGGCGTTGCTTTCCAGCGTTGCTCCGGACATTTGGGGGCCGAATTGATGAGGGGAAACAATCACGGATGGAGGAGGTGAACCGGAGAAGAGGAGGATGGAGGGAGGAAGTCGGTATCATTAGATGGTAGAAGCGCTATTTTAGCATCTCCGATGTGCTAACGTTACCAACAACCATGCACTAGGGTAAGACATGATACCGGCAGTTCCGCTGCAACGCAAATTGCTTTATTTCCTCTCACCTGCTTAGTGCTAATAGATTACCGCTAGTTCAAGTTTGGAACGGTTTCTGGTTAACCTGGAACATTACATGCCTTACGAAAATGTTTTATATCTCAAAGGGAGAGGCCAATTCCCCCTTTTGATCCATTCCAAGGACCAGTCACCATGAGTCTCCGACGTCTGTTGCCCTATTCTCTCCTTGTGGGAGCTGCGCTGGCGAGTCCCCGTTTCAACCGACGGCAGGATAGCCCGGTTGCCTCTGATACGGCGGCGGATTGTACTTGGTACGACACGGCCCTCGACTCGACCTATAACTGCGAATGGTTCGAGCTCAACTGGGGATTGTTCCATGCCGACTTTGTGTCCTACGTGTGTATCCCTTCATGCAACCCAACCGTACCAACTGACATGAAGTGTAGAATCCTTCCGTACTGGACGACTGCAGTGGTCTGAAGTGGGCAACTCCTACTGTGTCGAGGTCAACAATGGCCAGCCTCGATCGACCACGACGACGTCTACGCCGACCAGTACGACTACCCCGAAGCCGTCTCCTACGTAGGACGGGCTGATTGACACCTGCACGGCCTTCTACTACGCGGTTGTCGGCGACACTTGTGACAAGATTGTCGCCAAGTATGGCACCTTCACGACGGCCGAGTTCATCGCCTGGAACCCGGCCGTCGGGTCGGACTGTAGTGGCATCTGGGCCAAGACCTATTACTGCGTTGGTATTCCCGGCACGCCGACGGCCAACCCTTCGTCGACGACCACGTCGACGGGAGGACCCTCCCCGACGCAGGACGGTATCATCTCGACCTGCACGCGCTACTATAAGGCCGTGGCGGGCGACACATGTGACAAGATCTCTGCCTCTTATGGCACCTTCACAAGTGCCGACTTCATGTCCTGGAACCCCGCCGTAGGAGCGACCTGTAGTGGTCTCCAGTCGGGCTACTACTACTGCGTTGGCACCCCTGATACGCCGACGACGACCACGACGACCACGGGGTCCCTCGCCTACGCAGACGGGGATCATCTCCACCTGCAAAACCTTCTACCAGGCTGTCAGCGGTGACACCTGCGACAAGATCGTCGCCAAGTACGGCACCTTCACGCTGAGCCAGTTCCTGAACTGGAATCCTGCCGTCGGCAGCGACTGTTCCGGTCTCAAAGCCACGTACTACTACTGTGTCGGTGTGCCTGGAACATCCTCGACAACCAAGACCACCACCTCTACAACGACCACCTCCACCTCCAGCGGGCCATCCCCAACCCAGACCAGAATCATCTCCACCTGCAATCGATACCACAAGGCCGTCGACGGCGACAACTGCGCCGGACTCGTGAAGCAATACGGCACCTTCACGCTAGACCAGTTCCTCGCCTGGAACTCTGCCGTAGGCGCCGACTGCAACGGCTTCTGGCTGGGATAATACTACTGCATTGGTACGCATCAGTCCATCCCTTCTCATCCTCGTTTCTTACCCATTGCCGAACTAACATGACTTCATCAGGGGTTCCCGGAACCGCGACGACCAAAACGACCACCACGACCACCACGACAGGCTGCACTAGTGCGCTGACCCCGACACAACCCGGCGGCATTTGCGCATGCAAGAAGTGGTACAAGGTGGCGGATGGAGATACCTGCGACACTATCCGGGCGAAGTATAGCATTACTGCGGCCAACTTCAATAAGTGGAACCCGCAGGTAGGGACGACTTGCTCGGCGCTGTGGCTGGGATACTATGTGTGTGTGGGCGCGTAGGGAGGGCAGCATGAGTATGGTCTAGAGCCTTTTTCTAGAATGGAGGTATTTATGTACTCTTTTGATCTATGATCTCATAGAATTCACAGTGCTTTACGATGTTGCCCATTTCAAGGTGGAATTACGCTTTGCAGTTGCGGAAAAAGGATAGAAATCAACATAATTTCTAACAGACAATCTAAACACTTCTTTCTCTCTCTGTTGCTATGTGAGCTTACCCCACCCTATATCATACGGTGATAATATGTACTTGTTTGATAATCGTGAGATACGCCGGATTTCCCCGCACGACTGGTTTCGCTTTTGAGCCCCCCGCTGTTGTTTAGGGTGGTTTAATGGAGCCATTCGGACTTCGCCGATTTTTCTTTCCTCAACTCCGTAGCCTTCATGCTTCCCTTTCGGAGCCTACGGGAGGTGAGATTCCCATAGCCTCAGAGAATTTAAGAAGTGTTAGTTAGCGTCCAAGTTTGGCAAAGAAAAGCTCTTAACTGTAATGGTAGTATAGACAACACAGCCCTGAAATGAGCCCTAGTATATACCACCCATCCCATCTGACCCCGTAGTCCAAATACTGTCCAAGATGCGATAGACCATGCAAGCTAAACATCTCCACCCAAGAAATCAGCCCTCTCTCCACAGTTTTCACCCCCGCAATCGACCGATCAGCACTTTCCGGGGAACAGACCCACCACATCATGGATGGACACATGGAACATGCTCAAGTCAGCCCAGCTGCAGAGGATCCCCTCCCCGTCTCGATGGAGGCATCGAGGAAGTCCCTCTTCCTTGAACCCCGGTTCTGGTATCCGACTACATGCCTTACTAGGTACCACCGAAAGCATACAGCCAGGTGACTTACTCCTCGATGTGGTGGGTTCTCGGTCATTTCCGGGTATATCATCAATGGTGTGTAGTGCTCCGGATGATCCCGAACTCGCCTGTATGAAGCATCCTTTACTTGGGTGCGGTGAAGCCTGCAAGCACCTGGAGAAAATAATAAGAAGATGCACCAAGCATTCAGCTGAAGGAAGACAGAGTGTTTGAGATTGGGCAATGCTCAAGCTTAAAACAGATCAGTTCAAAGACGTCCAGGGAACTCTGTCTGTGTATAAGGCAACAATCAACCTGGCACTTGGTAGCGCGAACCTGTAAGTAAGGAAACAACGCCTGATATATGGGCAAATTTTACTTACCGAATTACAGCCGCCAACGTCAAGTTACGAAAGGAACTCTTGATAAATATAACGCTATGATCCTGGATACAGTAGGAGCTTTGAACAATCACATAGGCCACGTTTATGACCACCTAAACAACCTACGCTCACAGAGGACCAGCTCCTTCAATGGACAGGAGGAGTTAGAACTGATGTTGAAACAAAAGTATCGAACCAAACAGTGTCTCTATATTTACCAAAAAATCTCAGAGTCAATCAACCGTGGGCGATTGGCTGTTCAAGATGGTGCCTACATAGCTGGTAACACATCATATGCGCCTATAACCGTCAACGGCAATTTCAACGCGGACAAAATAACTGCCAATTTTCCTGATAAATTTTTATTGGGAACAATAAAGACAGGTGCAGAACTTGAGCGAGCCTGTCAGTTGATACAAGATAAACCCAAGCAATTTCCAGCCCACAGAATTGAGGAGGTCGACGAAGTAATTGCCGAACGGTGCCGGAGACGAAATGAAAAAGACATGTTTACAGGATGTCTGTCGATTTGCGATAATGCCACTCGGAGATCAGAACAAGCCAGGATCAATGTTTTTGAGGATATTCATGCTGCTGAATGGGCTGAACAGTCAGATATATCCGTTGTCGGTGATCTTATCTCTGCCAAAAAATATCACAGCAAAGCCGCATTCAGAGCAGGTCCTGGGGCAGGTATCAGCTCCCAAGTTTTTGAATTATCGTAACCGGGACACGAAAGAGGAGCGCAAGAATGGGACAACGGACGCACACAGAAACGGTCTTCGTCGGTCGTACAACTTCGCATTTGGGGGTTTTACGAACTGAAGGATGTGATTATATTGGTATTGATTATAGTTTTACTCCGGCATGTGTAGTAACTCGCTTCACTTACTGAATGCGTATTGAGTGGCATAGATCCTCCATTAGCAATAATTTTGCCTGAAAGTTTCCATCCAAAGGTCACTTTTAAGCTACGTAATATATTACTCTAAACAAACAATAGCAGTATATTTAACCTTTCGCACTGGAAAATACAACTTTGTATCTTAAAGGAAGCTTTATGGCAGGGGTTCTTTCTACAACTCCTTGCCTGCATATTTACTATTTTCCAAGCCGACAAGGCCACATGCATACGGTCGCATGAAAATACTGATACATTATTCTACCCGTAGGCGTGTACAGAGCATGTTAGATGATGTATAACTGTATAACGGATCGTATAATTTAAGCTATATTATAGGTGTTATTTATTAACCTTACGACTAGGATACAATAGGTCCTGGGGCCGATCCGGCGATCCGACCCGCCGTGGCTTCCTTCGACTGCAGCCTCAGACGCCAACACAAACGTAGTAGCCCAGCCAGAGGTTCGTGCACCCTGCGTCGATCTCCTTGTTCCACGACCGGAACTGGGCGAGCGTGATACCTGCCTCCTTATCGATAGACCAGCAGCTGTCCCCATCCTCGATTAAGTGGAATGACTTGCAATTATCAATGATCCCGGGCATCTGGGGCGTGGGCTTGGGCTTGCCAGTCGGCTTCGGTGGTTTTTTTGTCGTCGTGGTTACGCCGGGCGCGTGGACGCAGACGTAGTAGTCCAGCCAGAGATTTGTGCAGTCTATCAGGAAGAGCGTTAGGTTCTGAGATCTGTAGGACAAGGGAAGAAAGATGGTCACATGCCGTCGTTGATCTCGCTGTTCCAGCTCTTGAACTGGGCTACACTGATACCGTGCTTCTTAGCGATAGTGTCGCACTGGTCTCCGGAAGAGACCTTGTAGAAGCCGTCGCAGTTGTCAACGATCCCGGGCATGGTGGGGGAGACGCTCGAGGCAGACTTGGTAGTTGTGGTAGTGGTTGGAGCCTTGGTGGCTGTAGTCTTGAATGTACTGCTCGAAGGGTCCTCGTTGACAGTGCCGAACACGCAGTACATCTTGCTAGTGTCGGGTTTGGGGCAGCTTATACCGGGGTTCAGCTGCTTGAGGGTGTCGACTGACAATCCCCAGCTACTGGCGAAGGTCTCACAGGTAGCGTCAAAGTCAGCACTTGCGTGAAGTCCGCAGTTAATACCGCGGCGTGAGAGGGATTCATGAGCCACAGCATGACCCGAGACGAGACTAGCGGCAAGAAGGTGTGCGAGTTGCATCCTTGAGAGTAAGGACTCCGAGAACAGATAGGGTGACCAAGAAATATAGAGGCTAGAAAGAGTTAAAGGTTTGTGTAGTTGAGAACGATACGCAGTGAAAGGTCAAGTTAGATGAGAAAATGATCATAGCTAACGATAGTTGTTACAGGGGGTTTTATAACTTTCTGACGCTGCAATGGCTCCTACATCTTCCGTCCAATTCTCGATGATACTAATCCTCTTGGTGCGGTCTCGCTTGTGTACTGATATATTACCTACCTGAGATATAGATAGAATTGTGCGATGTCTCATATTGTTACATCACTAGCCATGTTTTCATTTGGAGAAATCACTAAATCAAACGCAGAAACCGGTAGATGCTGGCCAGGCTTTTGGGATGTACTTTTGGGAAACAGGCTAGTCGCGTTTCCTGCTATCTTGGTCGACCTGATGCCGCAGTCAGCCAAGAAATTAAACGAATTAGAGTAATTTGGAGGATGGAGACACGGTGATAATCCGAAGGCCAAAGTCTAGGCTCGAGGAATTACTGGCGAACGGACTTCCAGTCTAATGCTGCAGTGCAACACCGCACTGAATTTTCTCTCCCCTGCATATTGACAGTTCTCCGATTCTAACGGGGAGGGTAAATAGTATACGATCTATCATGAGACCGACAACGGCACCATGCGCAGTTTGCATAGTACAATCTTGGCAAAATGGAGAATGCTACATACAAAGAGGGGTTGCGCCTCAATTGCCGCCTCCAGAGATTGTAATCTATAATCCCTGTTCAGACCAGCCAGTCAATTCGCCTGAACCAGAGCAAATATCGAGCGAATAAACTATCGTTTTGAGTCGGAGCAGACACTGCGCGGGCTTGGCAGCCCCACTATTAACTGTGCGAATCTCCCGGTCTATCAAAATCCTGCTAGGAACAATATGGCTTAGCCTACGGGATATTTCATTAGCACATCTAAGGTACTGCGTTCCCACCAAATGTAAAAGGTGTTTATTTTCTCTCTACACTCTCTACTGCCAAAGTCAGCCTACGATTTGGAATTCTCGCTTTTGCTCAATATGCGTTTTGCCTGGTTGCTTGTCGGCTGCATGAGCGTTATGGCCAAAGTTGCTAGCAACGTCCTGGAAGTGGACCTAGTTTTCCCGCGCAATGATACCTATGCGCCTGCCGATTTGTTCCCTATTGTCTTTGCTTTTCAGAACCCCGAACGTGCGCGACTTCTCAATCCTGATATCTTCTATACAATACGGGACTGGGATAACATGTTTGGGAATAATAGTTTTGGCATTACCTGGTCCCACGACTTGAAGTGGGCGAACTGGTCCAGTCACGACCCCTATTTTGTATACACCTTTTTCCCTGAAAGCTTCAGAAGGGAAGGCCATTACTGGCTTACCTGGAGCATTGGCTGGAATAGCTGCGACATGAACGCCTTTTCTAACCATGGAGGCGGTGACATTGTTAAAAACGACTCAACTTGGTCTGTTCTCTTCACCATCAAGGACTCTGCGCAGAAGGTCGACCTCGTCGCTGCGACAGCCAACAAAACATGCCCCAAAGAGCTTGGGACTGCTATCAACGTTACTGGTCAAATGACTCTGAGAAATGGCAATACTTGCGCAGTGGTGGCCTCGTCTACCCCGACGCCAACCCCTGACCCTTGTCAGGTCAAGATCGATTCGGCCATTGTCGCAAGCATGTCTGCCTCGCAGCATGCTACATTTTGCAAGGGCTTGCACCCGCCAGCTGACTGCCCCGAAGAGGATAAGAGTGCTGCCCAGCAACTGATGGTTATCGGCGTGTCTTGTTTTCTAGCCGCGGTGGGAGCGATTGGGTTCATTCTCATGTGAATACATTGGCGTTTTTCAACTACTCGCCATTTGACGTAATTATTTCTGGAAACAACTAATTACACAACGTTTCAATCGACTGTAGTTTGCCCCTGAGAACCGTGTCTATCTGGCCCCCTTTTCGAAGTGCGCGTGGGCCTAGTCTTCCCTTGGCGGCGTTCGAATGTATCTCGACCAAGGCCTTTTGGACAGGTTTTCGCACTATAGAACAAGTGCCTTGGCAAACTGGTACCCAAGACGGTCCGACGGCAACAGCCCTGCTCCAGTGGCGAGGACCAGTGCGGAGAGAGAAGAGACGTGCCTGGCAAGAATGCATGATTAGGCGCCTTGGCTTTGGTCTAGCCTCCGACTTGTTATTTATACGACACGGAACACTGGAAAGGCGGCGTATTCAATCGAGATAACATAATTTACAGCGGAGATACACGCCTTACGTACAGCGAGACCGCATGAGCTAAGGGCTCTGGCTGCTCGATCGCTCGCCAATCTGCGGCCAGAAATAATATGCCAGGATAGGCTACGCGATCAGTAGAGCGGCTCAACTCACCAATTTCCCATCAAGGTCCCGGCTGAAATTCTTCCATCTAGGTTGGTCATGTCTCAACAAGGATGTTCGGAAATTAGCCTCGTCGGATTTGCCTTCCAATGGCCCATACGACCAGATCAGGGGCCTACCGGGGCAATGGCAGAAGCAATCCGATGCAACGTCAAGGAAGAGAGAATGATGGACTCGAAAGGGATGAAAGTGTTTGGTGAATCAACCTGAAGGTTCCAAGGAAGAAGCGAAGACTGCGAGGTTGTATAAAGGTTACTGCGTCGGAAGGTCTTCACGCTCTCACATCATTCTTTCTTTATCTGTTTAACACCAAGGTTTTTGCTGAATCCATTGTGAAAACATGGTAACTATATCATGGCTCACTTTGGCACTTGGGGCTACTAGCGTTCTTCTTCGTTTTGATGGAGCTGTGGCCACGCCAGGATACAGGAACTCTGCTAGTCCAAGCTACCGCAACACTGGTAACTGCCCAGAGCGATGCAGCGTTTCCGGACCCAACACTGAAAACTTGTCACGGACTGTGACCAGCCTCCGAAGACGTTCCTTCGCGATACCCTATGACCTAACTACCCGATCGGGACTAGCTTCACAACGTAGCTTAGTTTCTTCGTTGAATGCATATCCTACATTTTCGCGATTTCTTATCGCCAGCGTAGCCGTTCGTCACACCCAGTTTGTATAGTGAAATTCTTGGCAAATTGAAGAATGCAACATATGAAGAGGGGTTATGCCTTAAGAGCCGCCTTCAGAGATTGTAATCTGCAATCCCTGTCAGACCAGTCAGTCAATTCACCTGAACCAGTATCACTTTGAGTCGGAGCACACACTCCGCGGGCCTGGCGGCCTCCACTATTAACTGTGCGAATCTCCCGGTCTATCAAACTCCTACTAGGAACAATATGGCTTAGCCTACGGGATATTTCATTAGTACATATAAGGTGCGGCACTCCTAACGAATGTAAAAAATGTTTATTTTCTTTCGTTACATTCTTTTCTGCTAAAGTCAGTTTACGATTCGGAATTCTTGCTTTTATTTAATATGCGCTTTTTTTAATTGCTAATCGGCTGCATAAGCGTTATAGCTAAAGTTACTAATAATGTTCTAGAAGTGAATCTAGTTTTTCTGTACAATGACACTTGTACATTCATCGAGTGATTTCCTGTTGTCTTTACTTTTCAGAATCCCGACCAGACGCGTTATCTCTATCCTGAAATCTCTTACTCAATTCGGAATTGGGATGACATGCTTGGGAATGACGGCGCCTCCTGGACCTACGACTTGAGGCGGACGAACTGGTCCAGTCACGACCCATACTTTGCCTACACGTACTTTGAAAACTTCGGGGTTGAGGGCCGTTGGTGGCCAACATGGGAGATTACGTGTCAAAGCTGCGACGTAACTCCCGCATACTATACTCTGGGCCCTGATATAATCAACAACACCTCAAGCTCGTCTATCCTCTTCACTACCGAAAACTCTGCGCCAAAGGTGGACCTTGTTGCTGCCACAGCCAACAAGACCTGCCCCGAGGAACTGGGGCTTGCTATCAATGTTACTAATAATGTCCTGTCGGTCCCCACGCATGTGAACTGGAGAGGTGGTGACAGTTGCGCAATGGTCGCCTCGTCCACGCCGACGACAACCCCGGACCCTTGTCAGGTCAAAAATGACTCGGTCATTGCGGCAAGCATGTCGGCCTCACTGAAAGCAACCTTATGCAAGGGTTTACACCCGCCAGCCGACTGCCCCGAAGAGGATGGGAGTGCCGCCCAGAAATTGGTTGTTATCGGCGTATCCTGCTTGCTAGCTGCCATCGAGGCGTTTGGTTTCCTCTTAATGTGAGCGTGGTCGGGTATGGACGCTTTGACAATTGATGGCCCTAGAGCCCTAGGTGATGCATTAGCTTCTTGGAAAATTTGCCCCTGAGTATATTGTGTCTAGCCATCACTGTTTAGTTCGCTTGTGCGCTCCTGCCTAGTCTGTTATTTGGTTTTAAGAGAATCTGTTCTTGCGTACCTGGAAAGCGTTGTTATCCTCCCGGACAATTTGACGAGGATTTGGCAAAAGGCTCAGCGAAAAAGTCCCATGAGCCCACTAAATTTGCAATTTCGTGTGTTTTCCATGTATGTGGGTTTTTGAACAGGATCCTTGTCTAGCTGTTCAGACTAGAGAACAAGTGCTTCGGCAAAATGGCACCCAAGACGGCTCAAGATGGCCGTTCTGGAGGTCGACCAGAAAAATACCTTCGACCCCAGTAGAGCACGCGGGTCTGCGCAGCTTGCGGGACAGACATATGGAGAGGGGCAGATACTGTCCCTGCAGGCCTCAAATTTGAGGATGCATGGTTAGGAGGCCACTAGATACCTTGGCTAGAATACAGCTAATTTTGAACTTCCTATACAATGCAAAACGATTATAAAGCCGCGTATTAATCGGAGAAAGTGTATCTTACAATCAGAATACGTGCCCTACGTACAGCGAGGCTACCATACTAGTAGGTACCTACATGTGTTTAGTGACTTGGCGATCGTTGTGGAAGGAGTAGACGCCGACAGACATCTACCTACGCCAGTAGCAAGTCTGCCTCAGCTATGCCAGCCGGAAGGCTTCCAGCGAATATAACCGTGTCTCGGCAAGGATGCTCGGAAATTGGTTTTGTCGCGCTCGACTTGCAATAGTCCCTACATCACGACCAGGGTGCGCGGTTAGCTGATTTGAGCCAGTGCGACGTTGGAGAGAGGCAAATAATGGAATGGGAAGGGAAGAGGAAGCTAGAATGCTTCGGTGTGGTACTTTCAAGAAAGGGGCTAAGTCGGCGAGGTTATATAAATGCAACCGGATGGGAATGAAATCAATGATCTCCCATCATTTTTGCATCTTTACCTGCTTAAAACCAAGGTTTCTGCTGGATCCATTGTGCAAATATGGTGGCTATACCATGGCTCACTTTGGCACTTGGGGCTATTAGCGTTCTTCTTTGTTTTGATGGAGTTGTGGCCACGCCAGGGTACAGGCATTCTGCCAGTCCAAGCTACCGCAACGCCGATATCTGCCCAGAGCGATGCAGCGTTTCCGGATCCAATATTGGAAACTGGTCTGTCTATCCCAGTCTCAATAAGATCAGAAAGTGCAAGGAGACTCTATTCTACGACTTCTCGCTCTACGACAACGTTGACGACCAAGCCTCCAACCATCGCATCCAAGCTTGCTCGTCGTTCGGTCCCGACTTCTCCAACCTTCCCTCCTCGAGCGCACGAATCGCCTCTGGTGAGCCTCTTAACGTCGAATTTGAGATTGGGTGGTGGCACCCGGGCATGGGCCTGGAGGCGTCCGACATTCGATCTCTTGTTAAGCAGATGCGCACGTACGCCGACCATGGTCACGGAGCCACAGACAGGCCATTCATCATATATGGCCAGTCTGGTCAAGCTACTATTGGTCTATACATTGGCCAAGGACTGCTGAACCAGGGCATCAGCCAATCTGCCCTGAAGATCTTCCAAGATAACCTCGAAAATCTTGACGTCTCGACACCAAGCTTAGCCATGCAGCTATGCGAGCCACGGTATGACAGCACGCACATTTTTGGAATTATGGCATCTAGCAATGGAAAGTTTGCTTCCATTCAAGATGCTGTCAGATCTTGGGCCAACGCGACATGCTTGTCTTTCTCGGGATCCACCAAGTTTACTGGGTCGGCTATGCTTACAACACCACTTCTGCACACAAATGGCACCCAAAACTTGACAGTACGGGCTAAAGATCTTTACAACCGCGCAGATGGGAAGTGTAAGACGGTGCAGGTCGATGCTGGCAACGGCTGTGCCGATCTGGCTAAGAAGTGTGGTATTTCGGCTGCCGACTTCACCAAGTACAACCCGGGATCTAAATTCTGCTCCACGTTGAAGCCAAAACAACACGTTTGTTGCTCCAAGGGAGAGCTTCCAGACTTCAGACCCAAACCGAACGAGGATGGTTCATGCAAGTCGTACAAAATCCAGGAGGGCGATAATTGCGACAATCTCGCTGCCGAGTACAGCCTCAGCAAGAAAGATCTCGAGGATTTCAACAAGAAAACCTGGGGCTGGAATGGCTGCAAACTTCTGTTCAAGGATACTGTCATGTGCTTGAGCAAAGGCACATCGCCTTTCCCTGCCCCAATTGCCAACGCAGTATGCGGTCCACAGAAGCCAGGATCAAAACCACCAACCGACGGCAAGGATATCGCTAAGATGAACCCTTGCCCGTTGAACGCCTGCTGCAATATCTGGGGTCAATGTGGCATCACAAAGGACTTCTGCGTTGACACAAACACCGGCTCCCCGGGAACTGCTAAGCCTGGCACTTATGGCTGTATTTCAAATTGCGGCATGGATGTTGTCAAGGGTGACGGAGCCGGTGCTATCAAGATTGCCTACTACGAAGGCTACTGCTTGAGCCGAGAGTGTCTATTCCAGGATGCCTCTCAGATCGACACTTCACAGTATACGCATATCCATTTTGGTTTTGGCACACTGACTGCGTCCTACGACGTTGAGGTTGGTGATAAACTCTCTACATACGAATTTGGTGAATTCAAGCGCATTTCCAACGCCAAAAGAATCTTGTCATTCGGCGGTTGGGATTTCTCGACCATGCCTGCGACGTACCAGATTTTCCGCAATGGTGTCAAACCTGAGAATCGTCTCAAGATGGCTACAAAGATTGCCGATTTCATCAAGAAGCACGATCTTGATGGGGTTGACATTGACTGGGAATATCCTGGTGCGCCAGATCTTCCTGAATCCGACCCTGGTAAGCCTGAAGAAGGCGCGAACTACCTCAAATTTCTTGTCATTCTCAAAAATCTCCTGCCCGGAAAGTCTGTCTCTATCGCCGCCCCTTCTTCCTACTGGTACTTGAAGCAGTTTCCCATCAAAGACATTGCTAAGATCGTGGACTACATTGTCTACATGACCTACGATCTCCATGGTCAATGGGATGCCCACAATAGCGAGGCCCAAGAAGGGTGTGACAGTGGCAATTGCCTACGCAGTCAAGTAAATCTGACGGAAACAAAGCAGTCACTTGCCATGATTACAAAAGCAGGTGTCCCTGGAAAAAAGGTAGTTGTTGGCGTAACAAGCTACGGGCGGTCCTTCAAGATGGCGGAGGCAGGTTGCTGGGGCCCCGAGTGCTTATTCACTGGTAGCCGCTTGAATTCAGACGCGAAGAAGGGAAAATGCACTGGTACGGCTGGGTACATTGCTGACGCGGAGATCCACGAGATATTGAAGGATCCAAGTCGTGTTGTCAAGAGTTTCGTCGACTCAAGCAGCCACAGTGACATTCTCGTCTATGATGAGACCGAATGGGTCGGCTACATGAGCAGCGCAACGAAGAAACAACGCACAGCCCTCTATTCAGCATGGGGTCTTGGGGGAACTTCCGACTGGGCCAGTGATCTACAAGAATATCATGATGTTCCCGGACCATCAACGAGCTGGGGCATATTTACTGAATTGCTCAACTCCGGAAAGGACCCTAAGACAGACCACACGCGCAATGGCAACTGGACTGAATTTGATTGCACGCACCCAGCGATTGTGGACTTCGCAGACTACACGCCCTCCGAACGATGGAGGGCGGTAGATGCTGATGCTGCATGGAGAGACGTTGTCAGGATCTGGGAGGATACGGACTCTGAGCGAGCCAAGTTCACATTTATGCAGTCGGTCACAATGACCCTCAAGATCGGGGATAAGAACGCATGTTATGACGTATCCAGTAACGACTGTAACATGGAGGAATGCCCAAAAGGAGCGGACGAGGCGCTCTCAGGACCTGCAGCGCAGCTGATTTGGAACTCACTGGCGGAGGTCCACAAGCTGCACAAGAGATACTACGACGAGCTGCTTGTGGTCGGCGTACTTGGAAGCTTCTCACTTAAGAAGTTAGAGAACACATTTGCGCCCATTCCCCCAGAGTCAGACGACACGTGGCTGTTGTTGCTTCTTGACCTCATTACTCTTGGAACCCTCGGGGCCGGCGGGCCAATGTTCAACAGCGGCCTCAAGACGCTTCCCTATTTTGCCAAGAAAGGTGGCGCTTTCGATAACGCAAAGGATACCGCAATGACCTTGATAGGACAAAGCACAACGATTGCCAAGGATGTGTTACCAGGTAAAAAGCCTCCTTGGACGGCAGAGGCACAAGATGCCTTCTCTAGCTACATGGGCCAGGTGATCAAGGCCTGGCGCAGGATTACCGAGGTTGCGGTCGAAGACTTGTTCGATGGAAGTCCCAGGTCAATTGAAATCCTTCAAAAAGCCATAGCCGAAGGAAAGCTGATCGATGGAAAATGGGACGGTACCGACTCAGAGGCCGGCGATGGATCAGACGAACTAGAAAGCAACATTGCCAGATGTTTCTACGGCTACACTATCCCGGCTCTCTGGCAAGTCTCACAAACGTACGCCTTTGTGCTTGATTCGGGATATAAGTGTGATGAAGACAAGTCACTCAGCCGGTACCTCGAGGACGACACCATGAAAGCCACGGGTGTCTGTATCGATGGCCATCAATACTACCTGGTACATCCGGAAGGCGCCTCGCAAAAATGCAAATGCGAGATCTTGACTGGGAGCAGCTGCCAGCAAGTATGCGTGGATAACCAGTTCTCGATACCCCCGGGTCTGAAGACACTCCCCGAACCAGACTTTGGAGACATCACCAAAGAGGACTTGGTCAACGGCTCTGTGCGTACCTGGATTCAGAATGGCAAGGAGAACGTCGGCGGCTTCGCGGACATTACCAAACAAGTTACCATCGATAATCTGCTAAACGTAGATATCACGACGCCGGGATTCATGCGCCTCCCCGTCTGCAGTCCGGAACGTGCGTTTAAGGCCTGGGACAACGCCAAAAAGGGCTCAACCAAATTCTACCCCTGTGACCCTCCGCCAAACAAGGACCATTGCAAGGAGTCAACTTTTGTGGACCAAACCAACGGGGCGTCACCCTTCGTCAAAGACTGCCTTACCATAATCAAGAATATCGAGGACGACTACACCTCTGAGTGGAAAACTGGGGTGCTCGCCCAGCCACACCGCAAAATCCTCGGGTACGGGACTTGTATATTTGGCGTGGAGGCCGACGATGTCAAAGGTAACGTACAATTCTGGGTCGGCGGGCAAGACGTCATTGATATCATCAACGACGTGGTTAAGGATTTTAGTAAGGATGGGAGGGTAGCGGCATATGGAAAAATGCAATGCAAAGGTAACATCAAAGACCAGAAGGTTAAGTGGAGTATCTACCACGTGGACGTTTAGATGTGAGACGTGGTCGGTATTCTATAATCCGTCAGTCTGGAGAATGTCATTCGAAATATCTGTACTAATATGAGAATACTTAACTTTCGCTGGAATCGATAATGCAATAACCATATCGGATCAGAGGGTTCATTCCGTAATGAAGAGTCAAGAAGAACGCATCATTGAGTTACATACTTGACAGTAGGTAGGTAGTTTGTGTCGTGCTCAGTGCACAGATTTGGGAGAAGGCATGAATGGCAGGGAGGAAACAGAACAAAGGGGCTGTGGGGGAGGCATTTCGCGTAGTATCAGAATTATATAGCTCTCACACCAATATTGAAAGGCTGGTGTATGAAGGAGCTTCCTCTTACAGGCTTGCTGTCAAGCCTACTGTCCTGTATATGCATATGGCATTGACAGCACCTGTCAAAGACTCTCGAGCTTCCATCTGGCAAATTGTGTCCCAGAATGCACAAACAACGAGCATCATCTCGGCCAGGACAGCCTGCTTAGTATTCGCTCCGATGCAACGTAACCACGAGGCTGGCAGGATCGACATTTGGGTGGGCCGTGCAAGCAAAGAAAATCCATGGTGGAGCTGGAGCAGGCTGTGCGGCCAGGTGATAAAGGGAGAAAGGAGTCTACTTAACTAAGACCAGGATGTGCCAACATGTCTTAGGCATTGGTGAAAAATGATTTCTCAGTTACAAATCCAGAAAATATAGGGTGCTTTCCAATCGCAGCCTTGTGTGGGCGATCGTGTGGAATTAGCAGTATGGAACGTGGCGTTTGATCAGAGAACACAGGCAATATCGTGTCAGTAAAATTCTTCCAGCAGTTCCTAGAATACATTTATTTTGGCTTACTTTTATGAATTCTTTTAGGTAAATTGGTAGGCGGTTAAAAAGCCGGAATTCTTAGTAAAAATCTGATTTTGCATTTGGGTTGTCAACTGACTTCGATATCCGTCTTTCATTCAAATGTCCCACAGTGAATGCGCAAGGTCCTGCAATATTCCGGTAAGATACTTGCATGGTTTGCATATCTCGTTTGGCATAAAAGATATGCTTCCCTCCTGTAAGCAGGGGATTAATAGAGCAAAAATTCTTCTTTTCTACCACCGAGCTGAAACAGTAAACATTACTATAGCGATCACAAGCAACCTCCTGGGCGCATTTTCCCTTATCGAGACCTTGTCTCTCGCTGTCCTGTGCCTGGTATTTATACTATCCCCTTGTCATATCATCTACAAGACTAACTAGAAAAAGACCACCGAATATATAATCCACCAAGTCTGGCTTCATCCGCTGGCGCGTTATTCCGGTCCCTTTTGGGCGAAACTGACAAATCTCTACTCTATCTACTATGCCTTTGAAGTGACCGACACTGCGATCTATACAGACTACACCAGCAATACGGCCCTATCGTCCGGTTCGGTCCAAACCACATCTCCATCAAACATGTGAAGGCCTTGAAGCCTATTTACAGCCAAAGGGATAACGTAAAGAAATTCCGCTGGTACGAGTCCTTCTACAGCGTAAGCATCTTTAACGCGACTGACAATAGCGTCCACGCGCGCAAAAGACGGGCCATGTCTCAAGCCTTCTCGGACCACGCACTTTGTGGAATGGAGCCTCATATTGTCTCTAGCATTCGAGAGTGGTATTGCGCGATCGGCGAAGACACAGGTATCAATAATGCCGCGCAGGACGGCTGGACAAGGCCGAAGGACATGGCGCATTGGAGCGCGTGTATAGTCTTCGACGTGCTGGGCGAGATGTGCTTTGGACGGAGCTTCGAGACTTCGACCAAAGAGGAGAACTATTTCTTCTTTCCGCTGATGGCGCTAAATGTGCGCATCTTAAATATTTTCGGCCAGTTGCCTCCTCTACGGACCTTGGGGCTTGAGGCGTACTTTCGTCGAGGGACGGCGGCGAACCGCGAGAGGCAGATTAAGTTCTCGAGAAAACAGTTGGCGGATCGGCTCGCGATAGATACGGAAGTATCGAAACGGAAAGGTATCATTTACTATTTTCAGAAGGCCCGAGATCCCGACACTGGCGAGGCGTATTTACAATCGGAGCTGATTTCGGAGACGACTTTATTGCTGGGAGCAGGTGAGTATTTTATCTGGCGTAAGGAAGCATGTCTGCTTGTTGCTAACTGTATTTGTAGTCAATAGGCTTCGGTACTGCTAACACAGCCTTGGCCGCAACGTTCTACTTCCTGTACAAACATCCACTAGTCCTCATGCGGCTCTCCGCCGAGATCAGGAGTACCTTCTCAAGCGTGGAAAGAATCGTGTGCGGTACTAGTATGCAGCGAATGGTATATCTACGTGCCTGTTTGAATGAAAGTGTGACAGTCTACAAAGGAGCCTAGTAAAAGACTGGTTTGTTTATGACTCGTAGTCAAGGAATTTTCCCATGGAGAAGAAAGGCTATCTATGAGGGAGGATCTCTCCTCTATGTACTTCCTGAGGCTTCGCCTCAGGTAGGAATGCCTACCGGAGGTTCCTCCATATCAGGAAGTTCGTATCGGAAGTTCGTACTGGGAAGTCCTTGGCTCAGGAGGTGACAACAGTGAGAAAGGCGGTGGCGAAAGGTCTTGGTATAAATATCAGATTAACCCCAGACCCCCTTTTTATAAAGAGATTAGAAAATAGAAGAGTAAAAGGCAACGTTGAATAACATATACAAATCTATATATTCCTGATATATCGCGGGGAACAGTAGGGTGGCGATAATCAATCGGACTTTAGCATAAAGACTCGTCCTGATGTGAAACCGATCCAAATGGTTGATTGTGCCACTGTAAAGGTTGAAACCCTGTGTATTGATGGCAACTTCAATAAATTCGCCGACTTCCATGTGATCCAGGTTCTATCAGAACTCAGTCCAAATCCTTCTGAATATGGGCTGTCCAGAATAATTGGAAAGAATGGCGGGTTTGCGAGGCAAGGCAAGGTAAAAGTACCTTCGTCAGTTTGAAGACATGAATTGATAATATCGAATTTGAGAACCAATTTGCCACTATTCTCCAGGGTATGCAGACACACGCCGCTGCTGGCATCCCACAGCTTAACGGTCTTGTCGTAGGAGGCGGAGGCAAGCTTTGTGGAGTCGGGTGAGAAGACCACCGACATGACCCAGTCATCATGGCCCTGTAGCGTCTGCAGGCACATGCCGCTGCTGGTATCCCACAGCTTAACGGTCTTGTCGCCGGAGGCGGAGGCAAGCTTTGTGGAGTCGTGTGAGAAGACTACCGAGGTAACCCCGTGATCATGGCTCTGCAGCGTCTGCAGGCACACGCCGCTGCTGGCATCCCACAGCTTAACGGTCTTGTCGTCGGAGGCGGAGGCAAGCTTTATAGAGTCAGGTGAGAAGACCACCGACCTGATCCTGTGATCATGGCCCTGCAGCGTCTGGAGACACACGCCACTACTGGCATCCCACAGCTTAACGGTCTTGTCGCAGGAGGCGGAGGCGAGCTTTGTGGAGTCGGGTGAAAAGACCACCGACATGACCCAGTCATCATGGCCCTGCAGCGTCTGCAGGCACACGCCGCTGCTGGCGTCCCACAGCTTAACGGTCATGTCGCAGGAGGCGGAGGCGAGCTTTGTAGAGTCGGGTGAGAAGACCACCGAGTTGACCCTGTGGTCATGGCCCTGCAGCGTCTGCAGGCACGCACTCCAGCTTTCTTCTATAACGTGTTTCCCACTTATCCGCTCTAGTTCCTTAGGCTCAAATTGACTCCTTGTAATACTGCTCCGTGGACTGAAAAACATTGCAGAAGTATAAACTTGAAGTGGATAATCCTCTATCATCAGTCTGTGGTAGATTGTAAATCGGTACGCATCTTGGACTCTACAGATCAATTCTGTATCTCCTGCCTTTGCCTAGAATCTAGTTAGACTTTAACTTTATCTGCACTTATAGGAAAATACCTTGAATAATCCTTCAAGTTTTATTATAGATTTAGCTCCTTCTGACAAGGCTTTGATCAAGCTAAGAGCTTCAAGCCAATGAAGCAGATCCTGGCGAAGAAAAGTATCAAGAAGAATAGTATTCTGAATCTCGTCATTTGTTCCCTTGCTGCTGATGTAGTCGTTGAAGTGATCCACCCAGAATAGGCATGCATATCGCATCGTAGCTAAAGGGTCTGGATCTGGCTGTTTGACTTCACTGATAGGAAGTGTATGATTTTTGATATTATATATATCCCGTTTCAAATTTGCATGCACTCCTTTCAAAGACTTAGAGAAGATAGAGTAGTGTATCTCTTGTATCCCATTAGAAGCGATATTTTGAGATGCATGTGCCTGAAGAAAGTCTTGTGCAGACTGATGAACCAACGTAATTGTGCAAGTTTGCAGAGTAAGAAATGATCCACAGAGTTTTACAACATCTTCGAGATCATTGCTGGTGATTTCGTCCTCTGATTCAAGATATAATGACAACTCATCCAATGTAATAGGACGATAAACAGTTGTAACAATTCTGAGCAACGACAGACATAGCTCGGTGTCATCGTCCAAATCCTGAATATTTCTGAACATTCGACGGTAAAATTCATCAAGCCCAGGAGGGAAATCCTTGAGCTTTTTCTTTAGGTGTCTTGGCCAGATATCTTTCAGTTGCTTGCAAACCAAGGCCACCCAGAGAAAGGTTCCTTTTGCATTTCGTAACAAGTGATTTTCAACCATCTCTCTCGTTTTCAGGGTGTATTTCTTCCTTTTTGATAACTCCTCTACTTTATACTTGATAAAGAAGTCAACAGCAGCAGCTATATTGTCTTCGTTCAGCTCAAGCTGAAGTCTGATTCCTGTTGCATTGTCGAGATATTCCTCGATACTCGGCCAATTTCGACTTGACACAATCCATTTCACATGTTCATAACCTGATGAATGCTCTTCCAGAAACTCAAGAAGTATATCTTGATCAATAATACACTCGTCCAGTGCATCTATCATGAGGTAAGTGCTTTTAATGGCCGGGTCTTGGAGTATCTTCCGAAAGACGTCGCGTAGTTCGAACCACCCATTCTCATTGTCAAGGAACTTTGCAGGAATGTGGGTCTGGAGTAGAGGCTGTTGCTTCCCAAGCATGATAATAAGTCCTTGTAGAATCGCTGTGGCACTGTTAATACGGTTATTGGTGGCTTGGCAGAAAAAGTAGGCAATGTTAATATTGTCTTGGGTAGCTTTCTGCGAAAGCTCATCAATAATACCGCAGATCAACATTGTCTTCCCTTTGCCAGGATCACCCTTGATCCAGAGCATCTGAGCACCTGCAGTGTTTCTCCATTTTTTGAAATCATCATGCTTGAGCACCCAGCAGTATGAGTCTCGAAGAAGGCCACCCTTCTCTTTTTCAATTCGCTGCTTATCAAGCTCAGGATGAATGGCCTATAATAGAAGAAAAGTATAAGTTTTTCAATATTCCAAAATACAATTTTTTGCTATTTCAGTATTACTGATTATCTCACTAACCTTTGAATTATCTAGTTGGTTGTAGTAATTATAGTAAAATTGACTGTTGATCTGCCCAGGATTCTGACCGACCTGGAGTCCAGTATTATGGCCAGTAAAAGATGCTATTGACTTCATCTTGCCAGTTAAGATTTTGGGAGAGTGTGTATAACTGGACGCAGAGTTGAGACTAGACTTAAGGCCCTTTATATGCAAGTCCCCTGGCCACGTCACTCAGCTACCCCGCACCACAAAAAGCAAACATTGCGTGCGTAACCACAAGGGTCCTGATTTCAGCAGTTCATTGTAAGTCCCAAGACGCCTCCTGTATAATGTAAAAGTTTCTTAAGCCATTTGATACTCACTTATCAAATCAATGAGGCTTGAAGATTTAACAATAAGCAAGGGACTAAGCATACAATATTAGATAGATGCTGCGGTCAAAGTCGAGAGGAGATATCCGGTATGGCCACGTCCAAGCGGTGGGCATTTTCTGTGCAAAGATCAATATCATTGGCAGGAACGGAACTTGATTGAACCGAATCTCACGATGCCATTCATCAGGCTACGTAGAGCGTTTGCTTGATGAACATTTCCTACTGCAGGACAGTTGACAGACATCGCATGATGCACGATGGCTCCAAACTTGAAACCCACACAACTAGAACTAATCTACCACATGATTCAGAGTGGCTCTCTGAAAACTTCTCAGATGGCTTATGTCGCTGGCTGCAGCAAACAGTCAATCGTACATATTCGCTTCTAACCTGCAAACATTCGGCAACGTCCGAGCACCGCGCAATGGTGTAGGTCGCCCACGCAGCATTACCCCACCCATGCTCGAAAAACGGTTGAATCGCATACCTGTTTCCAGTGGGCATTGGAAGCTGCTGAAGGTCTTCATTACATACATGAGAAGGGAATCATTGACGCTGATGTTGGGTGCCATAACCTTCTTGTTGACCGATCAGGTCATATTAAGTTTATCGACTTCGCTGGCTCTGGTCTTGACGGAAATGAGCCCTTGGTCTGCTATGATTGGTGTAGTTACCGACCAGGTTTTTCAGTTGATATCAAGACGGATATATTTGCGTTTGGGTCGACTATGTTCGAAATCGAGTCGACTGGAATAAACTGCAACTGATCCGTTTGTGTTGATATCAAGCTATCATCAGGTAAGCTGCCCAGGGGTGGGCTACAGGGATGACGTAGGCGAGCGACCAAAGTTGCTAGGGGTAGCGACATATTCGAAGGTGTTGTCCCAGTGATCAGCGATTTGAAACTGTGAGCTGTCGTCGACGTAGGATGAGCTGTATGTCATTGCCCCAAGAAAAACAGCGCTAATCAATCTAATGCTAGTGCCATGTTCGTGTCAGTATCACAGGTCAATACGCAACAAAGAACGCTCAGTTGAGGAAGCTGCAGCTGACAGGACAAATAATATGGTGAGCGACGGCATGAGTCTACGTCACAGCACTGTTTGTGATGATGAGTTCGGAAGTTTATTTTCTCAGTTTGTCAGAGATTAGAGAAATTTGGGTTGGAAGTCCCAGACAAAGCTGGAGATGTTGACAGATTGCCAAATGAACCCAGCGCCGTCACGTGGTTGACTGGTCTATATGGAAGATTCACTCCTGACCCAGTCGAGGTACCTGGTCTCCTTGATGTGGCAGTTGAGGAGTACAGCAAGTGGCAGCAATCACGGGTGAGTAGGGACATTCTCAAGGACGACATCCGCAAAGCACAAGACTTAGCACTCGCCAATGGTCTGGATCTCCAGCAGATCCATTGTGATCAAGACCCAAATTTCTTTATTAAGCAGGGAATTAGTGTGGGAGTAGCGCGCCGGCTCGTTTCTGAAATCACCCATTGGGTGAAATCGTACGCAAGCGTTCTTCAAGTTCAAATAGAGTAGAGATATACAGAGAATCATTATATTAAATACTGCAACTCAAATACCTTCTAAGATGAATAAATATGATCACCACTTTGCCTCTTTTGTTGAGGTACACTGGGAGTCAAGGCAAGTGATAGCGGTGTTTTGAACGATTATTGTCCGTATTACATCTCAACATTATCCTCAACATTAACGCCTGCATGCCGGAAGTGACCGTTTGCGCTTTTCTCTCTTGCGCCTACGCAGCTCACACACCACTCTAGGAAATCACCAAAGTCTTGGTCAGGATTATCCTCATAGAATGCCTAATGTCTCCGGATAAACGCTTTGAGTTCAGCAAAGAACTCCTCGATAGGGTTCAGGTCTGGTGAGTATGAAGGCAGGTACATTACTTTCACACCCGCATTGAGACACATTTTTTCTATACGAGAACTGATTTAGGTTCAGGCCACTTTCCGCAATGCTGCAGGAGTTCCTCAACGAAATCCTCGAAAATTGACCCGTCGGTCGAACCCTGAAACACTCGTGACATGACGATACCATCCTGGGAGTAGGCTGGCAGTATCTGGTACCGCTGATCGCGATGGAATTTAGAGAGCTGAACCGGTGCTATGCCGAGCGACGACCAACCGGTTCTCCGGAAGCCAAACCGTTTATCACACCCGGACTCATCGATATACACTAGATGGTACGACCGGAACTCGGACAAATTGTGTAGATAACAATCTCGTAGGTCGGCATTCCGTTCCCTCGCCTTCTGTCGCGCAGTCTTCTTTGACCATTTCTTGGAGATCAGCGCTCTCCTAATGCTGGAGGCGGTTACGTATGTGCCAAATTCATCCCACAGAAACAACGCCATCTCGTCGAGATAGAGTCAGGATTTTTCCAGTAAACGGTCGCAAAGAGCATCCAGCATTAGTGGCGTGATACTACGCGGTCGACCTGCTCGAATAGAGGGCGCTCTGGTATCACCGAACTGCCGCAAATTGCTGCGGATGGTGGTGACGGAACGCGCGCTACATTCTGCGGCTTCAGCGATCTGGGCCGTAGTCAGTGATTTGCTCATGATCATATCGCGAATGAATTCTCGGGTGGAGGAGGGTAGATTTGGAGCCATTTGTGTCGTAGGTGTTCATCTCTTGGTGGTGGGGAGGGAGGACCAAGGTGGTAAGTTGCGACAGCTACGAATGACGTATAGTCGTTGTATTAGTCTTGTCAGGTACTTTACATTTCCGTTCTGACGCTCGGAAATGATCCGCAGTCTAGCCAGATTGAGACTAGGCAGTTTCACCATCGGCTTGGCGTTAGGGTCTGGGAGAGTTTCTCTGTGTAAAATGTGGAAGCCAATTTCGAATTTAGCTGTACTCTTCTATATCAAGTTGATCCATATCAGGTTTCAGTCAGCAAGATTGGACTACTCGAGCGCACTAGCGCAGACGCTCATGCCGCCAATGTGTGTGACGGTCTACAAAGGAGCCTGGTAAAAGACTAGTTTGTTTATGACTCGTAGTCAAGGAATTTTCCCATGGAGAA